TGCAGGCGGTGAGCTATGGTCAGCACAGTGCACTCCTTGAATTTGTTCCGGATGGTGGCCTGGATGAGGGCATCCGTGTGTGGATCCACATTGGCAGTAGCCTCATCCATTACCAGGATACGATTCTCGCGCAGAATAGCTCGGGCCAAGCAGACCAACTGGCGCTGACCCACGCTGAAGTTGTTCCCGCCCTCTGTGATTTTGCTCTGCAAGCCAGTGGACATTTTGGCCACCACATCCTTGAGCTTCACCTCCTCCAGGCTGCGCCACAGCTTGTCATCAGAATACTCGTCAAACGGATCCAAATTGTATCTCATTGTGCCGGAGAAGAGCACAGGTTCTTGAGGAATAATTGAAATTTTGCTTCGCAGATCATGGAGACCCATATCGATCGTATTCCTCGTATCTATTAGAATTGATCCCTCGTTGTAAGAAAGTCGGAAGAGGGCATTGATCAGCGAAGATTTTCCTGCACCAGTACGTCCAACGATTCCCACCTTTTCCCTTGGTTTTATAATAAAATTAAGCGACTTTAGCACACACTTTGCCTTCGGATTGGGAATATAGCGCAAGCTTAGTTCATCAACACGATTTTTCCTTGCTCTGGCCACGATTTAGGTGGCTTCTTATCCACTGGTGCTTCCAATTCTCCTTCCGGCTCGATGTCCTCGTACTCAACCACTCGCTCCACGGCAGTCATAAGGTTTTCCAGCTCAGCGGATTGTCGCATTGCAAACTGCACCAGCCCAGTCAAGCCCAGGACCTGATAATCAAGCATAATCTACTATAAGTATTAAAACCTAGAATGATTCAATGGTGATGCACCTGAGTTATGACCAAGCCCACATTTGCGGCATTTGGTGGGGGAAAGGCGAAAAAGCTAAGCGTGGTAATCGTTATGTAAATCACACATATGAAGTCCAGCCAAAAAGCATATGCTCGGGATGTGGTAAGGAAGGTATAAAATGCAGAACTGTGCGTATCCTGGTAGCAATCGAACTCCGCCTCCAGGTGCGCTGAGCTTGGAAAGCGCGAATGGTGGACAGGCCGCTTAGTGATGACGCCAAGTGAGAGTAAACCGGAGATCGGGCTGTAAATAAAGGAGTTTTTAGCTCTTCTTCTGCAATGATGTAATCAAAAATATTAAATCAATGGATAAGTTCGTACCAATTGCATCAATACGCTTCACATCTCGGGATGTTTTCAGATAGAAAGTGCGAAGCTTATAGAAAACTATACTGATCACAAATGTTGGAGTGAGAAGCAACGGATTAACAACGGCTATGATGATGACTATGCCAGTAAGGCACAGGAAGGTTTGGATAACGTCCATCATCACGACAGGAAGCATCTCGTCCACCTGTCCCAAGTCCTTCGAGAAGCGATTAAGTATACGCCCCGGTGGATTCGTGTTGAAGAAGTACATGGAAGCACGCGATATCGCATTGAAAATGGTGCTGTGCAGCCCAATGGAACATTTCTTGGCCAGGTTAAATATTAAAAACGAGGCCGACACTGTTGTTATAATGGACAACACTGTGATTAGCGTAAAAAGCCAAATGTCCTTTTGTTCATTGCTCAATGACCAACCCGTAGTTTGATTCGTTAGATTTGAATTAAGGGTATCATTTCTTTCTTGGAGGGAAACATTCCTATTCTTGGCGACCCTAGAATAGAATACGTTTATGTTCATCAAGACTTCCGTTCAACAAGTAACTAAATAATATTCGTTACGTACCAATAAACAAGAAAATAGTCCCCCGAAGCTATTAAACTCCGGGAAACCACAAAGAAGCTTATCATTACTAAGAAAGCAATAAGCCCTCCGCCGGACTTGAAGTATTTCTTGTACAAACGAAGATCAATGTTCCCTGACTCTTGGCGCTCGACATTGATCTTGTCCATACACGAATCCATGATAGATAACAAGGATATTTCACTATTGCATCGTTCCTCATTGTTAGAGTGGTTTAGGCTACCCGATCGCGATCGATTCTCCTCATGTGTAGTCAATACTTCCAGTCGTTCTTTCTCCTCTGGTTCACCCAAAAAAGTAGAAAAGTCCACGCCCGCCTTTAGCAAGGTCTCGTAGTTACCCACAGCACACACCTGTCCTTTGTCCATTATCACAATCTGATCCACGCGTTGCAGGAACTGCCTTTGATGGGTAATCAAAATTACGGTTCGATCTCTCAAGTAGCCGCGCATGCATTGCTCGAAGAGATGTTTGCCTACATTGGAGTCCACAGCACTTAGGGGATCATCCAGAAGGTAGATCGAGGCCTCTCGGTAAACAGCCCTCGCTAAGCTGATCCTCATCCTCTGACCACCAGACAAAGAAGTTCCGCGCTCACCGACGAGTGTTTTATCATTCAGGCGCAATAGTTCGAAATCCCGCTCCAAAGCGCACTGCCTCACCACCTTGTCGTAGCGCTGACGATCCATTGGCTGACCGAAGAGGATGTTATCTCGAATAGTGCCCGAGAAGAGCCATGGCTCCTGGGAGGCATAAGACATAATTCCATTGACTCTGATCTTGCCAGATTCCGCTGGCAGCTCGCCCAGAATAGCCTGAATGAGGCTGGATTTGCCAGAGCCTGTTGAACCCAGAACAGCAAGCATCGTTCCGGGATGGACACTTAGATCCACTCCGTCCAGAGTATAATGTGGACTCTCAGAGTCCCATTTAGCCTTCAATCCGGTAATTGAGATACTTGACTTTGAGGTAACTGCCTTATTAATGGAGTAGAGTAATGGAGTTAATAACCTATCCCCTTCCTCATTGCAACCCTCCTCACGCTGGTCAGTGAACGTATCTATAAGATCATAGCTCTTCGCAGGCTTCTCCACCTCATCGTACAGCATGAACTTCTGGACACGACCAATGGTAGCCAGAATCTCAGCCGTTTGAGAAATAGCTTGGGGAAAGAACACCATCATAGTGGTTTGCAGGACATTGTAGTAAGCTGTCACCATAAAAGCCACTTCAGGCGTAAGAAACTGTCCCAGAAGTACGTAACCGACCAAACTGAGAAAGATGGAGGCACGCGAGAGGAAGGTAGTGAAGGATGAAAGAATACCCTTTATATAGCTTCCATGGCAAATGGCGTTGACTTCCTTCTGGCGCGCATGAGCCACCAATTTCTCGAAGGGTCTCTCCCAGGCATACATCTTGATCACCTGGATGCCCGAGATGATTTCGTTCATCATTCGCATTCGATTGTCCGTTCGTAGAGCGGTTTTTAGGCGAACCTCGGAGGTCTTCTTTCCCAGGTACATTTGCAGGGGAATGAAAAGCAGCATGAAGGCAACGCCAATTACAGCGGACATTCCAATCTGAAATTATTATAATGTATAAAAACTTACTTCTGAGGAATTATCATTTTATCCAATTACCTGAAGGTACATCAGGTAAGTGACTAGGACCGTTTGCAGGGGCCCTATCCACAGGAAGTGCGCGTGGAAGATGTTACTGTCTAGTCGGCTGACATCGTTGGAAATCAGGTTGACCACATGGCCAGAAGTAGCAGCGCCTAGAGCTGTCCTGCTAAGTCGTAACGCCTTCCGGTAGATCATGCTGCTCAAGCTCACCCGTGCAACAAAGCCTGATAGTCCATGTTTGGAATATAAAAATATGCCAATTAGATATGGTCTGAGACAATTAATAAATTAAATCTGGGAGATACTTGAAACTTACATAAATTCCAGATGCCACACATGCATGGATGTTTGGATATCACGTTGAGGCCAACTGATACGAGCAAAGCACCCGCATAGAACAAGGCCACATAAGTGGACTCCGAACCATGTGAGAAGTGGGAAATGAGCTTCAGCAGAAGTAGGGGCTGGAGTGTCCGCAGTCCACCCTCCGCTATTAAGAGCACCAGTCCAAAGAAACCGAATTGCAATCCAAACACCCGCAGAAGTGCCCTCATCAAGCTGGGGTTTCCCCCTGAGCCAACAAGTTCCAGCTCCCATGAAGCATACAACTTGTTGCCTAGATATTCTGGAAGAGTGACGGCTTTGTATACTAGTATTTGTTTAAAATATAATCATAAGTAATTTGATTATTCACGTGAGATAAGAATCTGTATTCTTTGCGATACAAGAATTGCCTTATCTGGTTGAGAAAATTGCTAACAGAAAGTTTCCTTTATTTATTTATCTTTTTACATATACCTGACTTGTGCTCCTTCATTGTTTTGTAGAGATCTTTTGAGTCCAAAGTGTGTCTAAGGCCTTTGATAAAAATGGGAATGGTGTACCTAATATTTATTTTTGTGCCATTAAAAACAGTTAAAGCAAATGTATAATTATTTACTTACCAGAAAGATAAAATAGAAACGAAATTCGCTCGCATTCTAGGATTTTCCGGCAAATCATCCGATTCTATTTTATTTAAATAATCCATGATTTTTTTAGCTTAACTATGTTTTTTTCTTTGTGTAGTTACTATGCATTTAACTATGTTATCAAAATAGTTGTCTGTCTGCATCCACAATATTTTTAAGCACTGTTATCTAAACACATTATTTTTAGCTCTCAAACGTAAAGAAACGATTTATGTATATGCAAGTACGTTGTATATTATTATAATAATCTTCACATTAAAAAACGAAGTATATATGTATACATAAAAATATATCGAAAAGTTAATAATTCAAGGCACAATACATCCGCTCGGTTCAAGAGGTTTGGTGAAACTGAGATCGGCAAGGCTAGGACATCGGCTATTAGCGCCTTAATCATCCAGAAAGTAAGATAAGAGTTGTTTAATATCAAATTGCATTGTTATAAAGATAGGTCGCGGATCGACGCTAGTAAGATTAAATATACAAAGCCATTGAGAGTTGGTGGCGGAAAAGTAGTAAACAAAAAGTTTTAGGTAAAATAAACAGACGCATATGGTAATGAATTAAATCTGCAAGTCACGATGGCGCCGTTTTTCGTGTAATTTTTTACATATGTATATTTTAGTACCCAATGAATCCATTAAAATGTCTAAGTAGAAATATTTCGTTTATTTTCAAAGGCACTTCTTTGCGCTTAGTGAGATTTAAATACAAATAGAAAAATAAGCAACGGATAACTATAAAGTGTTTCATTTACACAAACCAGTAAACAACATACACACGGTCAAACATATTTACACTCACACGATATAACACATTCAAAGCAAACTAACATTAGTTAAGCTAACTACATTTAATCGGCTAATTACTCGGTATTAAGCACGTTGGCTTAATTTCTATATATTTTGTTCCATATGCCCTGAGTCTTATGAGGAACGGCGCAGACCCTGGCTGTCCTCAAAGGCCTAAAATGAAGAATCATATTTTCAGTTGGTATAATCACTTACGAATTATGCAAATGCCGAACCTTTTGTGCAATTTTTAATAGTCCTTCGTATGTGGCTTGGCCCGTTTGCTTCACCATGCCATGGAATACCTTAGAATCTGCCTTTGTTAATAGCTCAAACGGCGTACCGAACTCCACAGCTCGTCCAGCGTCCATAACCAACACCTTGTCGGAGTCCATGATCGTGTGCAGACGATGGGCTATCGTCAGCACTGTACAATCCTTGAACTTGTTTCGAATAGTGGTTTGGATAAGCCCATCTGTCTGAGGATCTACGTTAGCCGTGGCCTCATCCATTACCAGGATACGATTCTCGCGCAGAATAGCTCGGGCCAAGCAGACCAACTGGCGCTGACCCACACTGAAATTGGTTCCGCCCTCTGTGATTTTGCTCTGCAGGCCATTGGGCAAATCTGCCACCACATCCTTCAGCTTTACTTCCTCCAGGCTGCGCCACAGCTTGTCGTCACTATACTCGTCGAATGGATCCAGGTTGTATCTCATTGTGCCGGAGAAGAGCACAGGTTCCTGGGGAATGATCGATATCTTGCTGCGCAGATCATGGAGACCCATATCGTTCGTATCTCGCTTATCAATGAGAATGGATCCATCGTTGTAGGACAGTCGGAAAAGGGCATTGATCAGCGAAGATTTTCCTGCTCCTGTACGTCCAACGATTCCTACTTTTTCCCTTGGCTTTATGACAAAGTTTAGTGACTTGAGGACATAGTCTGCCTTGGGGTTTGGCACGTAGCGCAAACTTAGTTCATCGAACACGATTTTCCCTTGCTCTGGCCATGACTTCGGAGGTTTCTTGTCCATTGGCGCTTCCAATTCTCCCTCCGGCTCGATGTCCTCGTACTCAACCACACGCTCCACGGCAGTCATTGTGTTCTCCAGCTCAGCGGACTGACGCATTCCCCACTGTACCATGCCGGTCATTCCCATGGCCTGACAAATATTGGAAATAAGTAATATGTATTAGTAAAAGTAAAATAGTGCAATTCTCCGAGTAATCTTTGGACCACTTTACTCTTTTTGTACCCTCATTTGTATACACAACTTAAAAGCTAATATAATATTTACTCACCTGCGTTATTGCTAGACCGACATCGCCACCGTTTGCAGGCGGAAAGACGAAGAAGCTGAGTGTGATTATGGCTATATAAATTACACAGAAGCAGTCCAGCCAATAGCCAAAGGCCCTCGAAGTACTTATAAACATGTAAAACGCGGAGCTGTGCATATCCTGGTAATTATCGAATTCTGCCTCCAATACACGTTGGGCTCCAAAAGCCCGAATTGTGGAAAGGCCCGTGAGTGACGCAGCCAAATGCGAATACACAGGGGAGCGAGCTATGGTCAAGAAGTTAAAATATGTTTAGGAAAACATTTTCCATCATAGGAATGAATTGGCACTTACTTATTGCCTCTAAGCGTTTTACATCCCGCGAAGTTTTTAGGTAAAAGGTACGCAGCTGATAGAAAATGATGCCCAGGACAAGGGTTGGGATTAGAAATAGTGGATTGACCAGAGCTATGACGATAACAATGCCAGCCAGTGAGAGGAAGATCTGAATAACGTCCATCATTACGGCAGGCAGTATCTCGTCCACCTGTCCCATGTCCTTCGAGAAGCGATTCAGGATGCGACCCGATGGATTCGTATTAAAGAAGTACATGGCTGCCCGGGTGATGCCTCGGAACATGTAGTTATGCAATTGGATAGAAGCCTTCATGGCCAGGTTGAAGAATAGAAATGAGCGCGCCACTGTCACCACGATGGTCAAGACCGTTATCAACGTGAATATATAAGTGTCCAGCATTTCAGCGTCGACGGCCCAACCCAGATCTCGCATCCAAAGTGACAGTTGCGACTCGATGGCCTCAGAGCTGAGTGTGTTATTATCTGCTTGGGCAGCCACGTTTCCCTTTTTGGTGACCCTGAAAACGGAAATAATTAAAAGGAGTTTGGAGGGAGCGCCAGAAGGCAACGCCTTACCAGTAAGAGAGGAAGTAATCGCCCAACGAAGCCATTGCCTGCGACAGCACACAGAAGCCCATCATCACGAAGAAGGCGAAGAAACCACCGCCAGCCTTGAAATACTTGCTGTACAGACCAAGGCCAATACGACCTGCTTCCTGGCGTTCCTGGTTAATCATCTGTCCCTCCTCCGCCTCTGCGTCCTCCAAGCATGAGTCCGCTATAGACAGGAGAGATTGTTCGCTGTTGCGTCGTTGGTCACCATGACCATGGCTGTGACTGTAGCTGCCCGAACGTGAGCGCGATTTTTCCTCCGACGGCTCATCTCTCTCCGGATCGGCCAGCATGCTAGCAAAGTCGAGTCCGGACTCCCGTAGAGACTCGTAGGTGCCCACGGCACTGACCTGACCCTTGTCCATTATTACAATCTGGTCGGCGTGCTGCAGGAACTGCAGCTGATGAGTGGCCAGAATGACGATGCGCTCGCGCAAATAGCCACGCATGCACTGTTCGAATAGATGGCGGGCCACATGGGTGTCTACAGCACTTAGTGGATCATCCAGCAAGTAAATAGAAGTCTCACGGTAAACAGCTCTCGCCAGACTGATTCTTGCCTTCTGTCCGCCGGACAGGGAGGCGCCACGCTCTCCGACAATGGTTTTATCCTTAAATGGTAGCAACTCAAAGTCGCGTTCCAGAGCACACTTCTTCACCACCTTGGCGTAGCGTCGGCGATCCATAGGCTGACCGAAGAGGATGTTCTGACGTACGGTGCCGGAGAACAGCCATGGCTCCTGTGAGGCATAGGACATCGTTCCATTAACCTTTATCTCGCCAAACTCTGCGCGCAGTTCTCCGAGAATGGCTTGAATGAGGCTGGATTTGCCCGAGCCAGTGCGTCCGACAATGCCCAGCATTGTGCCAGGTTGAACTCGGAGGTTTACTCCATTCAGAGTGTAGTCAGTCGAATTAATGTCCCATTTGGCTCTCAGTCCAGTGATAGAGATGCCCGCCTCCGACAGTACTGCATTTTCATTAATAGTGGAAAGAAGCGGACCCAGCAACTTATCTTCAGCCTCATCGGCGTCCTCCTCTCCATCAGCATGAACCGTTGCCTGATTGCTGCTTACCGGATCCTCCGGCAAAGCCACACTCCTGTCCGAGACATCCGTTTCATCCGATTGCATATACTTTTGAACACGCTTAATAGACACTAGGGTCTCCGCTATCTGGGATATACCTTGTGGGAAGAACACAGTCATGGTGGTTCGTAGGATATTGTAGTAGGCAGTGATCAAGAAGGCTACCTCCGGGGTAAGGAACGTGCCGAGCAGGACGTAACCCACAAGGCTCAGAAAAATGGACACACGGGTGAGAAAGATGATGAAGGAGAGCAGAATGCCCCTTATGTAGGATACGTGACGGATGGCGTTGATCTCCTTTCTCCGCGCATAGGCAACCATCTGCTCGAAGGGCAACTCCCAGGCGTACATCTTGATCACCTGAATTCCCGAGATAATCTCGTTCATCATCCGCACTCGCTCGTCCGTTCGCAAAGCGGTTTTCAGTCGAAGAACCGATGTCTTCTTACCCAGATACGCCTGCATGGGGATGAAGAGAAGCATAAATGCCACACCAAAGACAGCGGCGATTCCAATCTGCAAAAAGAAACCTGATGATTAAGCAGGAAATTTCTGGATTTACACAATTAAAGTATTCCTCACCTCACGGTACATCAAGTAAGTGATAAACAGAGTCTCCAGCGGACCAACCCAAAGGTAGTGCACGAAAATAGTAGCCAAATCCAGCCTGCCTACATCGTTGGACATCAGGTTAACCACATGACCGGCGGTGGTGTTTCCAAGAGCCGTCGTGCTCAGTCGTAGCGCCTTACGGTAGATCATGCTGCACATGCTCACGCGCATCTTGAGGCCTAAAAAAGATCGAAAATCATTATTCCATGTATCTAATACGATCGTATGCCTATTGTCTGACTTACCCACATGCATAGTGCCCAGCATATACGGATGCATAATGATTACGTTCAGAGCACTACACAAGATCACTCCCGCAGCATAATAGTAGGCAGCTTCAATGGACTCCGAGCCATGGGCGTAGTAGGAAATTAGTTTTAACAGGAAAAGCGGTTGCAGCGTTCGAAGGCCCAACTCCAAAAGGAAGAGCACCAGTCCTAGCAGACCAAAGTACCAGCCAAACACCCGCAAGAGGGCCCTGAGCAAATTGGGCTTTCCCTTGGTCTTCTCCAGCTCGCGTTCCCAGGCGGCGCATAGCTTGTTTCCGAGAGTCTCTGCAAAAATTAAAACAAAAATGAATGCGAATTAATCGCAGATACGGAGGAACCCAATAAATTCGGATTATGGTTATCAATTTTCACAAACAAAAATACAGAAAACACAGAATCTTGGGGAGCAATGGAAGACAACAACAGAAGAAAAAAGCAAATCAATTAAAACGGTCAACGAACATACTATGTATTCGGATCGATCAGTCAAATTAATTGTTCTCGTGATAACTACAGTGCTTCTGGACAGTATTTCATATACATTCTTTATCTTTCAATAACTTGATATACATAATTTCAAAGATAATTGCTATGTAATGTTATGACTTGCAAACTGATTACAAATTGATTTATCCATTATTTCATTAGGAATTTTTCTGTATTTCATCATATTACCATACCTGATTTGTGCTCCTTTAGGGCTCTATAAAGATCCTTGGTCTCCAGCGTGGCCTTTCGCCCCTTCACAAAAGTGGGCATGGTGTACCTACATATTAAAATATTTATTATATAACAATTTAAGAATAATAAATTTATAAAAACTCACCAGAAACATGCTGCCGAAATAAAATTTGATCGCTCTCGGGGATTTTCCGGCAGATCTGCCGTCTTCACAGACTGCATTTTGAGGTAAGGCCGCTAAGGAATCTGAATTGAAGTGGCAATAAGCTATAAAAACTTGTAATTGTAATAACCAATAGAGGATTACGGTAAAAGTAATTCAGTTGAGTGCTTCTTGTTGAAAACAAAAGGCGATATGAGCACAAACACGCGGCATGTCTTAATCAAACAAACATTTCTGTTTTATTTATCTGCGAATTGAATTCTCGTTGGCTTGGCGACTGGGAGAAGTCTGTGTATATTTTATTTATTTATACGCGAAACCCAGGGCGAGGCAAAACAATAAAAGGGAGAGGGGGAGGCACTGGATGTGTCACTGCTGCTCATAAGTTTTGTAATTCATCATAATGAGGTTCACTTTAACGACAAGCCGCCCCTGTCACCGAACAATATTCGAGAACAGTTAGTTCCTAAAAAACAAAACTCGCGGCTGGCCATTTCGCCACTACAGTGAAGATGAGTGGGAGTAGACACGCACTTCACTTTAAAAATATAATTTTTCAATATAAATTTCTGCAAAAGGGAACAAATAAACATGTCCATATGTTACATTCATTTAATTAATCTTCAGCTTTTCTAACTTTTTAAACAACTCCCGAATTTAACAGCAAAAAGTTCGAAATATACGTTTAAGTAATCGATCTTCACTGTATTTCTCTGCTCCTTTTTCGTTGTCTGTTCCATTCACTCGCGCGGCTGAGAATAACCAATTCGAGGGAGGCAGCCGGGCCGTGTCAGCCATTTACCGTTTCCTCGTTCTGGGTTTGCAATGGTGTGGGTACACACGCACACCCACACTTAAGAACCGAACCACGTTGTTGCTGTACGAAAAGGGAAATTTCTCCAAAATTCATGCAAATCCATTACATTTATCAGGCAAACAACAATAATCGCGCATAGATAAAATGCCGCTTCATCGATGCTTTTTCGTTTGCCTGTAAATTATCTAATCACATGGATTTTTTCCGGCACACACAAATAAATTGTCCGACAATTGGCGGTTGAGCACAATTAAAATAATTGCTCCTGCTTGCGAAATCACTTCTGTGTACGTACATTTTGTTCCAATATTGTTTACATTCAACAATGCCCAAACTAGCGAATGGTTCTCCGCGAACGTGAGAATTGCTGCGATAGAAGGCCGGCCGCCGCAGCTGCTGGCAACGAAAAATAATATAACAAATAATAAAACAAACTTCGGTCCGAGTGTCTGAAAGGGCAGCCGAATACTGTGCTGCTGTGGCGTCGGCGGCTATCGGCTCTTAATGCGAATGTCGCCCTAGGCAACAGTCAAGCTACGTGATGTGCGCTCTGAATGAGCTCTCTTGCTGAATTTGTTCACTGGGTTTCAGTTGAAAATAAGTAATTGTTAAAAGAAAATCAATATTTAAAAATATTTTAAATTGTAACTGCTAGATAATCTATTACATTAATTAAATTTAAATATTTTGGCATTATTTGCAAATATTTCTGAAATAAACACTTGAAATTTGGTGAAGTTTCAGGGCAAAACAGAAAATACATTAATATTAATTATTAAATTTAAAATTTATCTTGTAGCCACAATGTTCGATTAAGGATTATTGACGTTATATTAAAAATTTCCCGCTGGTTTATAGAATATTCCTGTTAATGATGTCATACTGTATCAACATTTTGGATGTGTGCGTGGGGTATATTGCACATTTTACTTTCCTGCTGAAGACGGAATCAACAAGTACAATTAAATATTTCATTGCACATTTGCATGCAGACATATAATTGTGTAAATAATAATTATAATTACGAAATATACACAGAAGGAATGGGCAAATTAAATTGAAATCCGTACCGCCAGGTTGTAGCAACTTATACTTTTGTGTTAAATGTTGTGTAAAAATTAATAAATAATTCTTTTAATAATAAAATCGAGTCTTATAGATTATAAATTCCGAACTATGATGTCGGAAGTCCTGATTAAGAAAAACTTTATTAGTCAGGTTATCAGTATTCTTCCCTTTATGCTACTAAGCACATTAGCCTTTATTTAATGATAAGATCCCCTTTGATAATGTTTATATATTAAGGAAGTCCTGATAAATATCAATATGATCCCACCCATTACCCTACCTTTCTCAATATCTAAATATCCGTAAATATATAGATCTCTCTAAGCTAAAGCTCAGCGTTTATCATGATATAATTCAAAAAAAAAAAAAAAAAAAAAAAAAATTGCAACATGACTTTGAGAACTAAATGTTTTAATAAAGTGGACCATTATTTACAAGTTCTACTTGCCACTTTCCACCTCCAAGCGAAATTACAGTGTATAGATTCTATAAAATAGTTCCGGTTTCCAGTTTTATTTCTGTTGGGTTTATTGGTTGTACATTACTTGAAATGTAGAGCCCACAAGATTTCAAAACAAACTACCAACTAACGAACGAGGAAAGCAGTTGCGAATCGAAGACGATGACTTAAGCAACCAAGGCGGAGGCGGTGCTCGACTCGTATTTCCAGTTGGGTGGCAGAACGCTCTTAGTCTTGTAGTAGCGGGCCAGACGGTGAATCCTGGACTCGACCAGAATCAAACGGAACTTGCCGTCCTTGTCCTTGCGGTTGCGCTCCAAATGCTTGCGGATGGCCACAGCCTTCTTGATCATGTGGTACAGATCCTCGGGAATGTCGGGCTTCAGACCCACCGACTTCATGATGCGCAGAATCTTGTTTCCATTCACGAAACGCACCTGGGCGACTCCGTGCGAGTCACGCAAGATGATGCCTGTAAAACAATTCCGAGCCATTGTCAACATAACCTCAAACAACAACACTCGTACACAATACACATACCGATCTTGGAGGGGGTCAGACCCTTCTTGCCCAGCTTCTTGATCTGGTCCTTAACATCATCGGCGTTCAGTTTCAGCCACGATGGGACGGTACGGCGGTAGGGGAGCGCGGATTGGGAAATACCCTTGCTGCGGAAAATCGAAAATTAGTCTGCGTTCTGGCGGCGGCGACTGTCGCAAGCGAAACGTTTGCGCCATGTGCTTGGCCGTGTTTGCCATTTTTTACGGCTAGTCGTCCGGTAGGTGGGCCGAAATCATGACTAGGGGCTAAGTTCACACGGCAGACACACTTTGCGGACGTAACGCTTCGCACAGATGCTTGAAAATATTAAATATAAGCATTTTTACCCAGGAGCGTGCATACGACCCATCTTGATAGTCTAGTTTTTGACACCGAAAAGAAGGTGGAGACTTTTGGCTCGTTGACAGCTCACGATAGTGGAGACCTGTCAGAGCAGCTATCGATAGGTAACCACACGATATCTCAAATGTTTCCGAAATTAGCCAACATTTTTGTTTGTAGTTAAACAAGCAATTTTATTACGGTGCTAGTTATCCATTCTTGGAATGTTATAGGCAATGTTCTTTGAAAACGAATTGCACGATGTATCGATAGCTTACAGCAGTTGACAGCTAAACTCTACAAAGATTCAGAGTTACTTTGGGCCAACGGTCACATTATTATTAGCAGCAGGAAAAATTAGCAAAACAAAATGCATTTAAATAAATACACTGATATCTTGGAACGCCTGGAGAACGAGGAATTGGAGGTGAGTGAGACCTAAGCCTGATGCATTGTTAAATTCACCTTTTTCCGCAGCAAGTCGAATTGGGAGCGGACGTCTACCAGCAATTACTTGCTATTTATCTATACGAAAACAAACTGTAGGTATTGCAAAATTCAGCCGGCGAAAAAACTTTAATTATTAATAACTTTGGCTGTGTAGGGCCAATGCCAAATTACTGTGGATGCGAGTACCAGACAAATTGAAGGAGGACAAAGAACTGAGCCAGTTAAATCTACTGAACCTGGCGCTGCAGCACAATAACTACACCGACTTCTTCAAACACATCAAGTACGAGTGGTCCGAGAAAGTAAAGGCGCCTTTGGAAGACCTACTGCGTAAGTGATCAGCAGTGATGAGCAGTTAAAATAGTTACTAACAGTTGGCCCCTCCCAGTCAAGCAGCGCGAGGAACTATTCACTCTGGTGGGCAGCGCCTATGTGTCTATCTACCAGCAGGACCTGCTGGAGCTGTCCCTGCTCTCCGAGGATGAACTGAAAAAGGCGTGTGCGGCTTTAAATTGGACCGAGGAACTATACGGCGACCGTGTGATCCTGAAGCCCAAGGTTAAGGAGACGCCGCCCAGCCGCGGCAACGATGATCAGTTGCTCAAGTTGACCGAATTTGTAACCTTCCTAGAAAATTAGGCTTCATTAAAACGTAATATCAGTCAATAAATCTAATTCCCCCAACACAATGAGTGTGGTTCGGGTCTAAGCTAAACAGGTAAACATCTACTGCTGTTTCGAGGTTCCGCACCCCTAGATATAATGCTACGAATTTTTTCTTTTGAGCTGGGCACACTTCCCGTTGTGTCACTTGAAGTGAAAAATATATATAATTTGCACCATCTCTGTCGTCTGATTTTCATTGGAAAACTAATCGGAGAATATTTTGTTGAATACTAGCAAATTGCAGCAGACGAAACGGAAAAGCCTGTGAAAATATTTGTTGTCTTATAAAAACGCATTGTGAATCGCCGAAGGGCCAAACCGATCTGATTTTACGCAGAATAGAAAAACCGATTTTCAGTGCGTGTGTGTGTGTGTGAGAAGCAGCAGAAAAGATGGCAGCGAGCGACAAATCTGTGGATGACTCCCTATATCCCATAGCGGTGCTCATCGATGAGTTGAAAAACGAGGATGTGCAGGTTAGTCAGTGTCTATGGCCGGGCGGCTCCCAAACTGGCGAAATAATTGATTCTAAATGGGGAAGCGTGCCCTCAACCCTTCCTCCCGTCGGCTGTGTGTATTTGTGCAAAAAAATGCGTCATTGTGTGCATGGGTATTTTCGTGTGTATGGGTGTGTGGGCTCGTGTGTATGCACACTGCTGCGGAAAAAGTATTATTTTTTTTTTTCATGGGCAATAAAACATCGATTAAGTTTTCAATAAATTTTGCATACGAAAAGAACAAAAACTTCCATTAGGACCAGCCGGTTTTTGCTATCGATATGCAGGATAATCGTTTCCCATGGAGACATTCCAGTGGAGAAACTGCATTTTTTGCATTTTGATAAATTTCGCAAATTCAAGGATGGGAGGTTATAGTTTTAAAGTGTTAATTTGTAAAGCAATTCTATGAGTAACATACTTGCTATTTTCATTGCACAAATTTACATTATCCAACTCCTGTATTCTAATATTATTTCACGTAATTTCCGCAGCTTCGTTTAAATTCCATCAAGAAGCTATCCACCATTGCCTTGGCTTTGGGCGAAGAGCGCACTCGGTCCGAGTTAATTCCCTTCCTCACCGAGACCATTTACGACGAAGATGAGGTGTTGCTGGCTCTGGCTGATCAACTGGGCAACTTTACGAGTAAGCATATGGATAACGCAATCATTTGTTTAATTTCCTCTATGAAAAATTCTTCCCTCTTTCCTTGCCAGGTCTCGTGGGCGGTCCCGAGTTTGCAATGTATTTGATTCCACCACTAGAGAGTTTGGCCACCGTCGAGGAGACCGTTGTACGTGACAAGGCGGTTGAATCGCTGCGCACCGTGGCCGCTGAGCACAGTGCCCAGGATCTGGAGATCCATGTGGTTCCAACGTTGCAGCGTCTCGTCTCAGGCGACTGGTTTACCTCGCGCACTTCGGCATGCGGCCTTTTCTCGGTCTGCTATCCCCGAGTCACTCAGCCCGTGAAGGCAGAGCTGCGTGCCAACTTCCGTAAGCTGTGCCAGGACGAGACTCCCATGGTGCGACGGGCGGCGGCCAATAAGCTGGGCGAGTTTGCCAAGGTCGTGGAGACCGAGTACCTTAAGTCGGATTTGATCCCCAATTTGTGCAGCTGGCTCAAGATGATCAGGTAAGCCAAAATCATGTAATCTGTGGGCAGAACTTCAAACTATTCCTTTTTCTCTTCAGGACTCTGTTCGTCTTCTGGCCGTGGAGGCTTGCGTGAGCATCGCCCAGTTGCTGCCCCAGGACGACGTTGAGCACGTAAGCTCTTTTAATATGTTAAAATCACTTTTTTAGCTAATCACATTTCCTCGAATTCGTAGCTGGTTTTGCCCACTCTGCGTCAGTGCGCTAGCGATTCGTCGTGGCGTGTGCGCTATATGGTGGCCGAGAAGTTTGTGGACCTGCAAAAGGCAGTAGGCCCGGAGATTACAAGAGTCGACTTGGTGCCAGCCTTCCAGTATTTGCTCAAGGATGCCGAAGCAGAGGTACGCGCTGCAGTGGCCACCAAGGTAAAGGATTTCTGCGCCAATCTGGACAAGGCCAACCAGGTGCAGATCATTCTCAGTTCTATTTTGCCCTATGTTCGCGATCTGGTTTCGGATCCGAATCCACATGTCAAGTCAGCTCTGGCCTCTGTCATTATGGGCCTGAGTCCCATGCTAGGAGCCTATCAAACAGTGGAGCAGCTCCTGCCCCTGTTCCTTATTCAACTCAAGGACGAGTGCCCGGAAGTGCGCCTCAACATTATTTCAAACTTGGACTGCGTGAACGATGTCATTGGCATCCAGCAGCTATCGCAGTCCCTGCTCCCCGCCATCGTTGAGTTGGCCGAAGATTCCAAGTGGCGAGTGCGGCTGGCCATCATTGAGTACATGCCCGCTCTGGCTGGTCAGTTGGGGCAGGAGTTCTTTGACCAAAAACTGCGCGGCCTCTGCATGGGCTGGCTCAACGATCATGTGTATGCCATTCGCGAGGCGGCCACTCTCAACATGAAGAAGCTAGTCGAGCAGTTTGGAGCACCCTGGGCTGAGCAGGCCATTATTCCCATGATCCTAGTTATGTCGCGCAACAAGAACTATTTGCACAGTAAGTGTTATGATGGTACAGAATATTTCCATTTTGACTTTAATATGTATCCTTCTTCATTAGGAATGACCTGTTTGTTCTGCCTGAACGTTTTGGCCGAGGTCTGCGGTACAGATATCACCACCAAATTGCTACTGCCCACAGTTCTCCTACTCGCCGCTGATCCCGTCGCAAATGTTCGCTTCAATGTGGCCAAAACCCTGCAGAAGATTTCCCCCTTCCTGGAGGCCAGCGTCATCGATGCCCAAGTGAAGCCCACGCTCGACAAACTGAACGCAGACACAGATGTGGATGTCAAGCATTTTGCTGCACAGGCCATTGCCGGTATAGCAGCAGGTAAGCGTCGTTAAACAACTTTGTGGGGTTTTTCAATCAAAATAGGAAGCGTCAGGAGACTATAAATTTAGGATTGGTGGGAATAATTATCAAGGAGTAGAAGGGAATATATCAATTGCTTATTAACATCGCTATCCCTGCCTTAGAAATGGAATTAAATGTGTTTAGAACGGCGGTGCCGCCGTGCATGGGTGCCAAGATTGAGGCAGCTTTGGACTCAAAGCTGATAACGGAGGCACCTCCGATGCCGCCGCCATCTGATAATGATATTCTACAGGAGATGAACGCGAAAGCAGCAGCGGAGGCGTCTGCTGACAATCAAGCGTCAGCCAGGGTTGATACGGAATGTTAGAGGATGAGTAGCCCAACCATGAGAACTGTGTGATGTACCTGCCTCCCGCTGTATCCAGCTGCCAAACTAACAATTGTATTTAATCCACCTGACCATCATGTGTATTCATCTGTTTTCATTTAAGATAATAAAAAATGTTTATCGAGATTAAAATCAAATGTACATTACGACCCTCCCACAAAACCACTAATAACCGATGCTAATGTTTTACTATATTTTTGTATCTTTCCCGGTATCACTCTCACCACGTGGCTGTGTCGATCTCTCTCTGTGTGCAATAAAACATTTGTGTACTTGTTTACAGCGTAATCAACCTTCTTGCATCTTTTTTATTCTATTTTTAAATTGTATGTATTTAACGCCCGGCAAAACATATGTAGCAACAACACTTAAGAATGGAAAATTGTAGTGGATCCCCGGAAGCTGAAGGTGTTTGACGCCACAACAGAGCCACTGCTAATGGATGGGAGTCGTCGTCGTCGAGAAGTCAAGAGCAGAGGAGAGGAATCAACTACTATGCCATCAAATGCAAGCGAGAGCCACTAAACGCGACACACAGCTAAACATTATTACTTACATACTTATATTATAAATAAAAAATTACCACATAAGCATAAAGATCATTAAAACATGTGTAGAGTTTGGAAACTTTGATAGCATCTGAATGCAACAAAAAATAAAAATGAAAATTGTAGTAAAACAATAAAAAATAATAAGAAAACCTAAGTTTATATTATTATTTTAGTTTGTTAACTGGCATGGTTTTAAGAACTCTTTGATTACCTACTGCAAGGAAACGCTTATTTATAAACTTAACACAGAAAAGCTTTCCGAATTAATTAATGTAAATAGAAAATGAATTATAAATTACGAACAAATATCAAGACGCTATAATTCACAGATTTGAGGTCTTTATAATTTTAAATTTAGTATGCTAATTTGTTAACAATCAAAACCAACACGGTTTTTTTAAGAGGCTTTCTTCACAATCTCAAAAATATAAATCTGGGATCTTTAAAACTGTCGATATCGATAGTCACCTGTTGCCGAATTCGATAGTTTGTGACTATTGTTTTGTTTTGTTTACAGCGAGCAAGCACTTTTTGAGCGAGAGATCAGTTGGACTTTCGCGACCGTAACGATCCGTCGCTGTGTGCTCCGTGGGTAAAAGTAAATGTTTGCCTAACACTTGTCATTGCCACCACGCACGGTCCCGTTCCCGTTCCCCTTGTTTGTAAGTGTCGTTTGGAAACCGCGGGCGATCGCACCCAAAAGCACCGTGAAATGATCTGTGAGAGTCAATCAGATGCAAATTTGATTGGGCGCTGCCCAGGCAAACGAACCCATGGAACCAATCAATTATACAAGTGAATTCCTAAGTTGTGTCTGTATACTGGCAGACTTCGGTCATTATCAGTTTTCCGCATAGTGTCGCAAGCTCCCGCGTCCGTTTTCCGTCCACTGACCTGGTGCCCCGACCGTTTCCCCCGTGCTCAACAGGTGTCTAGTGTCCGCGTTAATTACAGACGGCCATGTCAAATATGCTGAGTTGCTATTATTGTTGGATTATTTGGTTTTTGTTTTTTGTTTAGCCTAAAGTGGCGCGTTTTGCTAAGCGATTTCTCTGCCTTCCGCCCAAGAGCTTTGCTGGCGCCGGACCCCTCACAACCATTATCTGACTGCTAATTTCCCCCCGATAAGCCGGAATATAATATAAATTGAAGTGCTCTTTATTTATGTCCGTAGTATAGCGCTGAAATTGAGGCAGAAAGGCCGCCGCCGGTACTTAAATAACATTTGCACGCGTTGGGGTGCCCACAGAGATTCGGGGTAGAAGGTGCAGGGTGATGAGGGTACCTGCGATTTCATCAAACACAAAACAACAAACGTATTCAGGTATAGACTCACCTGCCCTAAGCCAAACTTAAGGTTCATCTAAAGTAGAAGTTATATTTAATGCAAGCAGTACTAGGAAATTAGAGTTAGAGAACTCTTTGGTATAATTCAAAATAAGAAAGTCAAAGGGATTGGCATCCTCAGAGTGGCTCTACCGATAAAAAAGAAAGTTTGGACTTATAGGGTCAGATATGCCATCCTAAAATAGTCAAAATTATAACAAAAATATTTAAATAAATGGTCTTACGGATTATGTAAACACTAAAAGTTATCCAAGTTAGGTAAGCTTGACTGTAGTTCCATGAGCTGTAATTTCAAGTCTGCATATTTAAGCATTTGTAGGTTGCCCATTCGGGGTTAAGGTAATCTGTGCGGCAAAAGACAGTGGAGTTCATACCATGTTAAATCGACCCCGAACAAACGTATGCTTTTAATTTGAAAACATTTTTATAGTTTAATTGTGTCCATTAAACGTAGTTTGGCAAGATCAAACTAAGTTCAATGACATGTTTTATAAGTCTTTAAATATAGAAGTTCATTTTAAACACATAAGTATGATGTACGTCATGCTTGAGCTTTTCCCCAACTATTTTTTACCTTCTACCTTGTGATATAATTGTTTTAACATGCTTGTAACAAAGAGAAACGAATTAATTTATAATGTAAAGGTTTTTTCCGTGATGAAATTCTTTGACCGAATAAAGTGTGCAATTCAGAAACTCCTAATTGCTTCTTATACGTGATATTAATAGCTCAGCGATCAAAGTAGACTAAGTGGCGACACAGCCTTAATGGCTTTCATTTGCTTTGATATATGTATATTGCTTCGGATCGATCACTCATAGATTATCGCTCAAGTGCATAATGGGATTAATGTTCGATTAAGCGCTTTCAAGTCCACAAAAGTGGTCATAAAAATATCGTAAAAATTACCAAAATTAGATTTCCCACTGTGCACATGAATGATGCATGGTATAAGATTGGAGCTCCATCAGGCCGGACTTTGCCGCCGTTGGTGCCACCACCGACTTCTGTGATTCACTATGGTCGCGTCGTCGCAAGGCTGTTTCGGACCGGCCGCTTATGTGCTATCTTATCCGGGATAGATTGAAATTTAATTAGACTTATCAATTTGAATGGATTTTAGGCCAGGCCACGCCACCACACTGATCCGCAAATAATCGAGTGTCCGCCGTCCCCAGTCTTTGTCACCCACCGCATTGGAGCAGAGGATATCCGGAAACCAGCTGCCGGCCACCACGTAATCAATCATTTTATGGACTAATAGCAGTTCGGCGCCAACCAACCAGCCCCACAGCAATATGCACAAAGCCATTAAAAACAAATCCAGTAAGTGAATAAGCAAATGTGGAAAATTACTTTAAAACAATTTGGATTCTCATGCAATTACCTAGGGTTGCTCTTCGGTCTCAAGAACTCGAAAGCGGATCTGACTACGGCCAAGTTTATACTATATTATGGGTAAGATATTTAAAAAATATATATATTAACAAATATATATTATATTATTTGTTTACTAACATCACAGTGTTCCCATCTGAGTTTGAATAATGACTTTTAGAACAATATCTTACCATGTTTTCTGAATAATATAAAAACATTTATAGTAAATGTATTACTTTTTAAAAAGTAAACTCACATTTCACATAAACTACTATCCAGTCAGTGGCTATTTTAATTCAAGTTTTATCTCCTTACCTACATAGACCCTGCGTAGCTGATAGCGATATCTACGATTTAACGGACTACCAGAGCCTATTGGAAGATGAGAACTTGGACTTGGACAAGAACACCGTGCTCTACTTGCATGGCTACTTGGAAGACCCGGATGTTGAGAGCATACATGTCATTGCCGAGGCCTATTTGGAGCGCAAGGATACCAACCTGATTGTCCTGGATTGGGGAGAACTGGCCGATGGCAACTATATGTTCGATGCCTTTCCCAATGTCAAGCAACTGGGTCCGGAATTGGCCAAAGTCCTTCTCAAATGTTTGATCACGGTCTGGATATTGAGAAATTCCACGTTGTTGGACACTCAATGGGCGGTCAACTGGCCGGAGTCCTTGGGCGCGAGATAATGAAGCGCACAAACGGTGTCAGAAAATTGAAAAGGTAAGGGAAATTTAAAATATATAAACCTTTATATGTATGAAATATTGTTTCCTCGCCTTTTTTCAGAATTTCCGCTTTAGATCCCGCCTTTCCGCTTTACTACCCAGGAACACATCTGTCCAGAAAGGATGCAGAGTTCGTGGACGTTATACACACGGATGCCTGGATGTATGGAGCGCCGACAAGCACGGGAACGGTGGACTTCTGGCCCAATGGAGGCAACAGTCTACAACCCGGTTGTCCGAAGCGCAACTACAAAATGCTCAGTGACAACGATCTGTCCAGTCATCGGCGAAGCTGGTGGTTCTGGGCCGAGAGTGTTTCGGATCGCTATCCTATCCGATTCGATGCGGTGGCGGCTAAGAACTGGGCGGAATTTAAGCAAAGGAAAACTATTGAGACGTGCCAACCGGTGGTGATGGGTCATCACTGCCCTACGTCGTAAGTTGCCTAAACTATATAACAAAGAATTAATTAATTAGAACTTTTAATTTACAGGATATATGGCGACTTTTACTTACAAACCAATGGACAAACCCCTTTTGCTCGGGGAAAGGAGGGTACAGTGTATGTGGATCCCAAGGATCTGCTGGGTAACACTCCCAGCATTACCTGTGACTGTCCACAGCAGCACTGAGTAATATATTTTTAATGTACACAATACTAACAAATCAAATTGTGAACAATTGCACTTGATTAAATTGTGTACATTTAAAATGTATTTACACATAGCTTTTAATACGCTTCACATCACATTTCGCTTTACGAAAAAATATATACTTAAAGTTTGTTGTTGACCCAACAAGATGTCTTTTTATCTGGTTAAATCGTTTTACTTTTTGTAATTATATAGAGTCCCATCAATTAATCCAAGTATTTGCGATGAAAACCATGGCCACAAAGTGGCTTTAATATTGGAGTAGTTCAAGCTTACTTACCTATAGTAAAGGTTAAGTAAAGTTATGATTTACTGCCTCCGCTTCTGGGACTTAATATATAATTATCTAATGCTCAGATTTTAAATCAGAAATCAAATTTTAAATGTTTGCTCTTGAACCAGTTCCGGCATGCCAGCTCGATGAGAAATGCGGAACCTGTTATCGAACCAAGTATCATCTCTAACGTTACCTCGCGTCGAATAAAAAAATTATAAACAAAATAGAAGCCCGGATAACTGCACAATGAAAATAAAACTCATAGATTCTGTTGTGCGCAGCTTCAAAGTGGCCAAGATCTTTCGGGAGAACACTGATAAGATCAACGCCATAGACTTTGCGCCCAATGGAGAGCACCTCATCTCGTGCAGCGAGGACGACCAGATCGTGATATACGACTGCGAAAAGGGGACACAGTCGCGGACGGTGAACTCGAAGAAGTACGGCGTAGACCTCATTCACTTTACGCATGCAAACAACACGGCCATCCACAGTTCGACAAAGGTGGACGATACTATCCGGTATCTGAGCCTGCATGACAACAAATATCTGCGCTACTTCCCCGGCCACACCAAGAAGGTTATATCGCTGTGCATCTCGCCGGTAGAGGACACTTTCTTATCCGGCTCACTGGACAAGACATTGCGCCTGTGGGACCTTCGATCACCGAACTGCCAGGGACTAATGCATCTGTCCGGCCGGCCAATCGCAGCCTACGATCCAGAGGGCCTGATCTTCGCCGCCGGTGTCAACTCGGAGAGTATCAAGCTGTACGACTTGCGATCGTTCGACAAGGGTCCCTTTGTCACCTTTAAGCTGAACCAGGAAAAGGAGTGCGACTGGACGGGGCTAAAGTTCTCCAGGGACGGTAAAACCATACTGATCAGCACGAACGGGTCGGTCATTCGGCTGGTGGACGCATTTCACGGTACACCGCTGCAAACGTTTACCGGCTATCCAAACAACAAGGGAATAGCCATCGAGGCCAGCTTCAGCCCGGACTCACAGTTCATCTTCTCCGGCAGCACGGACGGACGAGTGCACATTTGGAACGCCGACACGGGCAACAAGGTATCTGTGCTCAACGGCGACCATCCGGGGCCGGTGCAATGTGTCCAGTTCAATCCCAAGTATATGATGCTTGCCTCGGCCTGCACAAACATGGCTTTTTGGCTGCCGACATCCGAGGAGGGCTTGTAATGAGTCGTCGTTCCATTTATCTTTGTGTAGATCGTAAGAATAAAGTTTTATTTATAACTAACAATCGAAGCATCTTTATCTTAAAGCTCTTTCCTGAGCCTTATGCCGGTCGTACTCCTTTCGAATGCTTCTAAGGAGTTGCTCCAGATTCTGACCCATCTTTGCACTGATACCAAGAACTGGTTTCTCGAGTCGGCGCTGCAGCTCCTCAAAGTTCTCCCGACCCTCCTTCACGTCAAGTTTGTTGGCCACCACCAGCTGGGGGCGACTGGCCAATCGTCCGCCAAACTGTTGTAGCTCATGCATTAGTTGGCCGTAATGCGTCCAGGGCTCAGACGCGCTTGCGTCCAGAACAAATAGCAGCAGGGTGCACCGTTCTGCGTGTTTTAGGAACTGTATGCCCAAACCCTTGTTCAGATGTGCATCGGGAACGAGGCCTGGCAGGTCGGCAATGGTCAGCTGAATATGATCATCGTACTGGACGGTGCCCAGATGGGGACGCAGAGTGGTAAAGGCATACGGGGCCACCTTAGGCTTGGCGCGGGTCAGGGCATTTAGCAAGGTACTCTTACCGGCATTTGGATAGCCTATCAGGCCCACATCTGCCATGCTGCGCAGCTCTAGGATGTAGGAAAAGTCCTCGCCATTCGGCCCGTACTCGCATACCTTGGGACTGGTCTCCTTGTCTGTGGTAAAGAAACGATTGCCCTTGCCGCCGGCTCCTCCGCGAGCGGCCACAAACATTAGATCCGCCTGTGCCAGATCTCCGACAATAATGCCCTGAGCGTTCCTAATTATAGTGCCAATGGGGACCTTTATCACTGTGTGCTTGGCGTTTTTGCCATGGCAATCCTTGGCGTTGCCGCGCTCTCCTTCCTCCGCCTTTAGAACGCTGCCCACGTGGTTGAAGTTACGCACATCGTTGGAGGCCTGGAAAACTACATGCCCGCCATGGCCACCGTCGCCGCCATCGGGACCGGCTCTTTCATTGCACCAAAGTTGCAGGAAGGACACGCAGCCGTCGCCGCCTTTACCGCCAATCGCCCGGACCCTCTTGGCATCGGAGAAGTATTGCGCCTGAAAGGAGAAACAGTTTAGTTATGTAAATTCCGTTCGATCATAGCTTCTCCTTACCTCCTTTCGCTGGGACTTGGCCTTTTTGGGGCGAAGGGCTGTGGCTGACTGGCAGTATGTTGCTATAAGTCCACTTTGTTTCCAATTCGCGGATATATCGGACAGAGCTCGTGCTAAAACAGATCTGCCGGTAGAAAACAACATTGCTAACGGCGCCTGTGGGCAGTGGTGTAGTCTCTAACACAATTAAAGGGTTTGAATTATTTCACACAAAGTTAAGCTATCATATTTAAATTCAATAAAAACCAACCAAATTAACCCACTACAAATATATACAAATAAATAAAACTGCAAATAAAGTTTTGTTATTAAGTAAAGCCCTTCCGCTACGGCCATGCCACTGCATCAGCTGCTTGAACACAACATATCGACTATCGATAGTCGATGAAACCGGTATCGAATCAGCTGGACTTACTAAATGCGTCTGATTGGGAGAAGAACCTTTGCAAAATTCAACAGGATGTCCATCCAAGCTGCCCTTATAGATCTCAGCGGTACTCTACATGTGGAGGATGACCCCACTCCAAACGCCGTTGAGGCTCTAAAGAGGTACGCCTGACAAAGTGCAAGCAACAATATTTATATATTAACACATGTACATACATATACCGCGAGAAGATTGCGTGGATCCGGCGTAGCCGTCAAATTCGTAACAAACACAACCAAGGACTCGAAGGCCACGCTTCACGATCGACTCTGCAAGATTGGCTTTCAGTTGGATCCCTCGGAGATCTACAGCTCCTTGAGTGCCGCCGTAACGTATGTGGAGAAGAGTAAGCTCAATCCATTTTACCTCCTCTCAGAAGATGCTCGTCAGGACTTTCCTCCGGAGGATACGAAACGTTACCAGGACTCGGTGGTAATTGGACTGGCCCCCAAAGCGTTCAACTATGACTGTTTAAACAAGGCATTTAAGTGAGGATAGCCACCATTATTATTGTATTTCTACTGATACTCCATTTACCCTAATAGTGTTCTCCTGGAAAACAAGAATCACCAACTGGTGGCCATACATCAGGGTAAATTTTATAAACGCAATGATGGGCTAGCCCTTGGTCCTGGGTGCTTTGTAAAGGGCCTGGAATTTGCTACTAGACGATCCGCCAAATTGATTGGCAAACCAAATCCTTACTTCTTTGAAGGAGCTTTGGATGGCCTAGATCCGTCCTCCTGCGTTATGATAGGAGATGTAAGTGGTATTAAGGCTTCTAATTGGATAGTGACATTAATGATTCATGGTTGCAGGATGCCAATGATGACATTGTCGGTGCCATGAGCGTTGGTATGCAGGGAATTCTGGTCAAGACCGGGAAATATTTACCGGATGTTAATCCTTCACCGCCTCCCACTGCATTGGTGGAAAACTTTTCCGAGGCTGTCGATTGGATTATAGAGAAAAACAAACAAAAGTCTGCTTAATGGAATGATTTTTTGTTTAGTTTAGATTGACTGATATTTCTAAATTATTTGTAGTTGATTCTGTGTAAAATTTGTAAATTATTGTTATTTTTTTTAAGGAAAATTAAAATTTGTTTCGACATTTCCTATCCAGTCTCTAGCCTTTCGTTAGCTTTTACATTTTTTCTTCGTCCTCCTCAACAGAGAAAAATTCAAATGAACTATAAGTGTACAAATGCTTTTATTTTATAAATAAGCGAAAAAATTTATCTGAAATGCTGTTTGGAACAGATAAATGGATTACCATTTGTAAGCATCAAGGGTTTATCAAAAGATCTGAGTAATTGAAAGATTTGCCAATTTTGAGTCAAAGCAAATTCTTCGGTTTAAGCCAATTTAGCCTGTGCAAACTTGTTAGCCATCTGAACGATCTCATCCACCTTCTCATAGTTAGTTCCTGAAGCCTGAGCGGATTCCGGCTTGCCGCCTCCCTTGCCACCCAGCGTGGGGGAGACGTGTTGCACCCACTCGTTTGCCTTCAGACCCTTCTCCACTGCACTCTTGGGCACTGAGCTAAGGCAGAAGATTTTCTTCGAGTCCACATCGACAGAGAAGAACATGGCGGCGGCTTCCGGAAGCTGAGTGCGCACCTGTTTAAGAGCGGCATCTAGCGCCTTGGTGTTGTTGAACGCCTCCAACTGCTCGACCAGCACGGTGGCCTTGGGATTCGCCTCGCACAGTGCCTTGGCACGCTCTACAACAGTTACAGAGACGGCGGCGCGCAGGGCACGCTCTTTGTCGTCCAAAGTCTTCTTTAGGCCCTTCAACAAATTGCGCATATCATCCTTTTTCACGTACGGGATCGTGGCATGCGAGATTTGTTCGGTCAGCTCGACAATTTCCTTAACATGCGACTTTGAGTCCTTGCCAGACTGATCGGCATCGATGGTGGCCTTGAGACGGATGATTTCCTGCTCGAAGACCTCCGACTTCTTCAGTGCCTTCAAGGCTTCAGGGCCTGTCAGAGCCACAATGCGCCGGATGCCCTTGGCAATGGCCTCCTCACTGCTGATTACAAAGTCCATAATGTGGCCAGATCGTCTGAGATGGGTGCCGCCGCAGAACTCAACTGAGGTCTGTTCCCCGGCCTCCGAATCGGGATTCTGCTCGAGCTCGTCCACGGGCACTCCAAAGGAGATTACCCTCACGGGATCTGGATAGACTTCGTCGAACACCGAGCGCAGGCCACGAATCTGCTTGGCCACAGCGAGTTTTGATTCCTTGGCGTAGATGGGTACATTCTTGTATACCATGTCCTTTGTTAGCTGCTCAGTCTTCGCCACCTGCTGAATGGTCATGGCAGCCTTACTATTGAAATCAAATCGTAGCTTCTCAGGCACCACCAATGAGCCTTTCTGCTCGGTGTCCTTGCCAAGGACCTGGAGAAGGCAGTGGTTCAGTGCATGCGTGGCAGAGTGATTCTTCATGGTCAGCCAGCGGCGTTCCACATCGATATGCAGATGGAGTTCATCGCCCACCTTCAGGGTGCCCTCGACAACGCCAATGTGCAGGATATAGCCACCACGGTTGTACACACGGTCCACTAGGAACTCGTTGGCCTCGTCGTTGACCTTAACCAAAGCTCCCTGATCGTAAATCTGGCCGCCGCTTTCCGCATAGAAGTTGGTCTTGTCCAGGACAATGCCTGCCTTCTGACCGTTGCTAATCTCGTTCACAAACTGATTCTCAAAGCGCAGAGCCACAATCTTACTGGTGCATTCGCCGTAGTTATAGGCAGAGTCACGTTCCTCCGAAACAGCTTCGTACTTGTATTTGAAGGAGTCGTCGGTGGGAGGTACATTCTGCTCCTGCAACTGCGAGATGGCGTGCACGTCGAGGTTGATCTCTTCGATCTTGCTGGCTCCTTTGCCCTGTGACAGTACATAAGAGTTCTGTTTGGCTGCCTCGTAGCCGGCCATATCGATCTGCAGGGACTTCTCCTCCGCCATCAGTTGGGTAAGATCGACGGGGAAGCCGTAGGTGTCGTACAGTCGCCAGGCAACATCACCGGGAATGATGGTTGCGGTTCCCAACTTTTCGATGGTGCGATTCAGTAAATTACGACCCCTTGTCAGAGTCTTGAGGAACTGGAGCTCTTCCTCGTTGATGATATCGATAATGTGCTGTGGATCCTTCTTTACCTCGGGGAAGGCATCACCCAGCAAGTCCACGACAGTGTTTACCAGCGTGGCAAAGAATCCAGGCTTGGCGTTCAGTTTCTCAGTGGCATAGCTATTAAAGGAATTAAAGATATTATAGATTTCTGTCGCTGGTCAGACTACTCAGATTACTCACCGCACAGCGCGACGGAGAATGCGACGCAGGACATAGCCTCGGCCAGTATTGTCCGGAGTGCCACCATCAGCTAAGGCAATGGTGATTGTGCGGGCGTGATCGGCCAGCACACGGTACGCCATATCAATGCCGTCACTATCATCAGCGCCGACGCGTCCCTGGTAAGCTGGTGCTCCAGTGCCAGCCTGGATGGCATCGAAGAGTGGCACGAACAGATCCGTGTCGTAGTTGGATCGTTTGTTTTGGATGACGGACACCAACCGTTCAAATCCCATACCGCAGTCAATGTGCTTCTTAGGCAGCTGCTTGAGGCTGCCGTCAGACTCACGGTTGTACTGGATAAACACGAGATTCCAGATCTCCAGTACATCGGGATCGTCCATGTTCACCAACTCCGGTACACTGCGTCCGCCGATGCGATCAAAGTGCAGTTCGGAACAGGGGCCACACGGTCCAGTCTCACCCATCTCCCAGAAGTTGTCCTTCATGCTACCCGGCAGGATGTGCTCCGGCTTGAGGCCCAAGTCCAGCCACAATTGCTTGCACTCCAGATCGGGTTCCAGGCCGCTGGCTTCATCACCGCCAAAATATGTGACGTACAGGCGATCCTTGGGGAGGCCAAGGCGCTCAGTGAGGAATTGCCAGGCCCAGGAGCAGATCTCCTTCTTGAAGTAGTCCCCAAAGGACCAGTTGCCCAGCATCTCAAAGAAGGTATGATGGTAGACGTCCTTGCCAACATCGTCCAGATCGTTGTGCTTGCCGCCGGCGCGAATGCACTTTTGTGTGTTGGCCACGCGCACCCACTTGGACATTTCGCTGTTGGGATCGGCGGTGCCCAGGAAGATGGGCTTGAACTGATTCATGCCTGCGTTGGCGAACAGCAGCGTCGGGTCGTCCAGTGGGATCGTGCTGGACGAGTGCACGTAGATGTGCTTCTGCTCCTTGAAGAAGCCCAGATACGCATCGCGCACCTCCTTGGCGGTCAGGAACTTCATTTTGCTGGTGCTTCTGTAATGGAGAAGCAGGTGAGAAAAAGGCACAATGAAAGGTTGCCACGCGACAATTGATTCCCCTAACCCCTCAATTGGCCACAAAAACGGAGCAGTGAAAGTGCACGCCGCCCGCACTACGTGACAGTATTACCCAATTTCAAAACGATTTAAGAGAGAAAAGTGTCCGCTTCTTGAATTTTCCAGTTGGAAGTACTCCCACTTCCCCTCTTTGATAAATATTTGTTATGTATTACTCACGTTTTCAACAGTAAATGCAAATCTAAACAATTTCGTCAGCCGACTTGCAGCGTGCGGGGTGTGACCGTTGGTGGGCTTGCCAAATATACCTTCGTTTTCGAAATTCCTGTTATATGGCCACTCACTAAAACCGTGAAAGTATAAATTTAACAAAGCTTTTTTCTTTTATACAAGAACTGTTTCAAGTTTTTATAAATAAAAAACACACTTAATCTACAAACAGAACTAAGGGTTCTCTCCCAAAATGCACCTCTATTTTAGCTAGGTAACAATGTAAAAACAATTAGAAGTCGAATCTCTGCGGCATGTGGTTTTCTTCCAGCTCGTGCTCGATTTCCTTCATCCGCAGCATCATTTGGAAGTTCTGCTTGTCCTCCAGGCCTGTGAGGAACATGGTGATCAGGGCCTGAACGCAGATAATGGTGCCCAGGGCCGGCACAATGGGTCGCGTGAGCTTCCTCCACAACATGAACACCTCTCGCGGGTTCTCCGTGATCGAGGGCATGCGGTATGTGTAGCAGCGGGTGGCAAACATAAAAGCGGCAAAGGGCGCCAAGATTGTGGGATACACAATTCCCAGGCTTGTCTGGAAGGCGGCACTTCGCACCTGAAGACACGTGGGGCATTGGCCCAGCGGGTTCAGGAGGATGGGTCGCTGGATGAAGAACTTGTGCGTCAGCATGGTGAATATGGCGGGTACGGCGACAATGGGCAAGTAGCTGGATATTCTCCCGTGCCCGCCCAGCCGCAGTTTGGTGCGATAGTGATTATTTATGTAGGCACCCGTGGCCGCCGCCATAGCACTCAAGATCCCAGGTGCGTAGCGCAGGGACCATCTGCAGAAAACATTGGGTTTTGATTGTTAGGTAAGCGACAAGTGTATTTCGCTTGCATTTTACTCACACATCTCCCACTTTGTCCCAGGCTGTTATAATCTTCCATTGGTATTTCAAGGCCTGATCCTCTGTTATCACGACGGCATCCTTGGGTAGCTCGCCTGGCTTGGCTCGAGATAATGCCATTTAGTTAAATAAACCAAATTTTTTGTGATTCGCCTGTTTGGCAAACATCTGTAAACGAGGCAGTGTTGGAAAGCGTCAAAACCGGCGTTGATTTACAGTACACATTTCGCTTCGCTGGATGATTGGTACGATATTTCTTGAATTTTTATCGGTTATCAATCAACTATCCGATAAATTTATCAAATTATCTACGTTTTGGATAGTTTCCTCCGGCGAATGCGATTCGTGTAGCCGCAGTTTACTGTATCAAGAAGAACAGCTGACAACAGTGTGGCGTGCGCCTTCATTGCAGAGTTGCATTCGAAAGTAGTTTCTTGGGGCTTCCCTCTCTCTGTTCAAAATGCCGTACAAGCGTCCTAATCTGAAGCAAAAGAATACAACAGTTCGCCGCCTCAACTGTCCACATTCAGCACTGCCTAATGTCGTCGTTGAGTCCTCCAGCTGCCTGGATGCGGCGAAGTTATCTCTGCCATCAGTCAGCTCCCGGGCTAAGGGAGGCTCGACGACCCCGAGACCAGTGCTGCAGCAGTTGGCCGCTCCCGAGTACAACACTTGCGTGCGCCAAAGAACGAAATTGACAACATAAAAAAGGTGCAGGCTCCGGTCACGGTATCGCCGAAATCAATGGCCGCCATAGCTCCAAAAGTAAGTCCCGTGATCACATGCCCAGAGTAACTCCATTATATCTCATTTTAAATTCCCAACAGATCACTCAGAAGCTAAATTTCCAGCCGGGAGATACTGTTTTCAAAAATCTCGAGTCCCTAAACGTTAACGACTCGGTGTTGATAACGCAGAAGACGAACTCGCGCCCAGTCAACACTAAGGCCAAGCAGCCCGATCTCAAACTGGCCGACTATTTGGAAAATATACGACTTATTGACATGTACGTTCCGGAACCCGAGCTAAACTTGAAATTCGATCGGGAGCCGTTCGATTTCTACGGCGCCTACATGCAGATTTATCATTAGGTTACATTTTATTTTAAATACATGCGAATCCAGTTGTACAAGTTTGTTAGCCAATGAAGTTCATTACCACCAGGTGCAGGATCACATGGGCAAAGATGAAGTCGGCGAATCCGCGTTCCGGCGAGATGCCGGCAAAGACAGCCTTGTTCTGGGGATTGGCCTGCAGGCGGAGGCACACGGCCAGGACGAAGCAGCTGACGGTGCTGATGAAGCCCGAGAGGAACGAGTTGAACGGGAAGGTGCCGACCAGACAGCAGTAAACAAACTGGATGATGCCGGTCAGCAGAATGTAGCCAAGGTAGATGTCCACCAACTTAAGCTTCTTGGGGGTGTTCTGCACGTAGTCGTTGTAGAACTTTGATATGACGCTCGCCAGCTCGACCATGTTGCTCTTTTTAATGCGGTTTCTCCGGTAATTTGGGTATAAAACGGAGATTTTTTATTAATTTACCGCAGACACGTCACGAATTGGGAGAGAACACAAAAGTAGGACCGTTGCTGGAATGTGAAAATAATACTAAAACTTTAGCGATGAGCGATTAGATACAGGAATTACTCGATAGTTCGGATGACGCAAAATCATCGTTTGTTTGATGACAGATATGTTAAATTTTTGTTTGTTTGATGGCATTTTTTTATTAATTTTAATTCCATTAAATTCTGAAGTCATTCTTCTATTTATTTTAAAAATTAATTGTTAAAAATTTGGTGGTTCTCTTACAATTCGACAATTAAAAATCATCCAATTTATCTGGCTTTTACTGTAAGTCCAAATTATCGATAAATTCGGAAAAAACCAACCTCAGCCGTTGGTATTTCGCTGTGCATGTTTTCAGACGTTGTTATTGTGAGCTAATTCAGAAGAAAATTGTAACGTATGTATTTAAACACAAATAATAAACAACAAACGACAGCAATACGATCGTTAAAGTGTTTTGCGACTGTACAATAAATGTTTGTTTCGGTCGGCCGACTGTCGCGTGTTATCAAACAGACGTCTTTTATGAATGAATGAACAACATGATTCATTGTTGATGTTTTCTCCGTTCGATTCGCAGTACTTCCAGACACTCTTGTCAAAGATAATTGGCATCCGCTCCTGTCCTGCCCCTGCGCCCCCTCGCCATTGCTAAGGCCCATGGAGTTGCAAACCACTGTGGATTTTCTGTGATTTCCCTATTCCCCCACTGATATATTACGCGTCGACGTTGTGACCTTCGCAGGAGCATCCCCAGTGACAAGCGGGAATAATCAATGGAGGACCTGACGCCGTTAACCAACCTTCAACAGGTAGAAACATCCACACACATACAATTGTTGGTCATCGATTTATGCGCGTGCTAAATGTGTTTATTTTGATTCAGTTGTCCATCTGTTAATTATGTTTTTTTACAGTTTTAGTTCAAAGATTATTATTTGCCCAACTGTCCGCCAACTGCCTTATACAACTGCCAAGTACATCGAAAAACAGCAAACAACAACCCATCTTGACATTCCTACTCTAATTTGTGATATTCGCCGTAAGTGAAATTTACTTTTGGATCTATTTAATATCGTCGCACTTCGTTGTGCAAGTTAGTGTGAGATGTCAGATAAAACTGAAATAAGTTAGAGCAAAGTGCTTGTTTGCTTTCTTGATGGTCTTTAAACAAAGAACCAGGTCGGATTCTGGCACATGTTTGTCTGCTGTTTGTCTGGATCTACACAGAATAGCGTATACTATTTATTTTAGCGGTTCAGGAAGAAACAAGAAGAGTTTAAAAACTTTTTATATATATTTATAATATATACTACCAAAGCTAGATGTTCGTTTAAGGGTGCTGCAAACTAATTCAAAAACAGTTTCTTTAATTAGTAATCATTGTAATTTCTGACATTCATATGAGTTTTAACATTTAATAAGAAAGTTAGGTCTAATTCGAGTAGTATTAAATCTGTTAATTCTATTTGGAAGTATACAAGAATGAGTGTATTGATTTTCATCGAAAAATGACTCTGTTTAGTGAATAAACTTTAATAAGAGACATTAATCACATAAACATTCATGTTTAAATAAAGAAATAACAAAGTAGTTGGCTAAAAAGGGTATTCGTATGAGTATAAGCTTATAAAATAACAACAAAATAATCTTCAGTTTAGTTCATAACAAAGTAGAGAGAAAGTTAAGTTAATAAACAACTAAATATGATTTGCAGTTACAAAAATATGTGATTTTTAGCCCTCAATTATATACCCTTTAAATTTGTTAGTTAGTTAGTTTTCTTATATATTTTAAATTTAACCAGTTTTTAATTATTTGAAATTAATTTTAACATTTCTGACTGACTATTGCCTCATAGATGAACATATATATATAGGTGTTATATTAATCTACTTTCATTCTGAGCCGTCGGATGTAATGAAAATCGAACCACTCAGAAATGAGATATGATATTTGCGAAACGCTGCGCTCGCTACTGCTGAGTCAATATTGAGTATAATAATAATGGGTGGATATTTGATACGACGTCTGGATACATATTATATAATTGTGATTTATGGTACAAACATCGGTGGCTTTCCAGGCGAAATGCGGTTCTTATCACCGACTTACTCGTATTGCTTGTTTTTGCGACTTGCCAGCTTCGATTTCGGACTTCAAGCTATACTCTACTCAGTGACTGGACTCGCAAATTTGATATCGACTTCCGATGCAACCGTGTAATGTGTAATAAGGTTTCAAATAGAATCTATCTATTCGCTTGAACTTCAATTCAAGTCCAAGGCTAAGTCCGGATTATCTGCATGGTCCGAAAATTTTCCACTCCACCCTGGCACGCGTCCGCTGTCCGTTCGTCCGTCGTTTGTGCACGCCGCACTATCTGAATCTCCTATTGTTATTTGAGCGGGGAAAACTGAGTCAGCGGAAAATTTTCGAGGCGAGAAGCGGGCGTCGCAAAGGCTGGATGTTCAGTGCGTTTCGTACCGCCGGGAAGGGCACATCACATCGCTCCAAATTGATTGATTTAACAACACTACTCCTACTTGTTCTAGATTCCCGAGGGTGCGCCGCGCAAAAAGATGTCGGAACGCCAGCCGTTGCTCTTGCAGAGCGATGCGTCCGACTACGAGGGCAGCAGGGGATCGGCAGCGCGACCCGTACGCAGCTCTCCGCCGGACAACACGCTGGTAAATGTCCACAGCGAGGACAGCCTAGCAGGTGAGTTAGTGTCCGCCTCTTCAGGCTCTTAAATGATTCAATTTTGTGTTTGAATTTAATATATAGTAACTATATATGAGAAATGAACTTAAATATTCTCTATGATTCTTCTCTGTGAGTGCACGCAGCAGCTTCGGGATCGGGAGACGACGAACACGGCTCAGCAGCGGACAAGGCCAGCTATAACCCCACCCTCCATCGCACCCTGGAGCACCCGACGTCAAACTTTGACACACTGATCCATCTGCTTAAGGGCAATATTGGCACTGGTATCCTGGCCATGCCAGATGCCTTCAAGAACGCCGGCCTGTATGTGGGTTTGTTTGGCACCATGATAATGGGTGCTATTTGCACCCACTGCATGCACATGCTGGTGAATTGCTCCCACGAGTTGTGTCGACGACTGCAGCAGCCGGCACTGGACTTCTCCGAGGTGGCATACTGCAGCTTTGAGACGGGACCGTTGGGCCTGAGGCGATACTCCCAGCTGGCCAGGCGGATCGTAACAACGTTCCTGTTCATCACTCAGATTGGCTTCTGCTGCGTCTACTTTCTGTTTGTGGCCCTGAACATTAAAGACGTAATGGACCATTACTACAAGATCAATGTGCACATCTACCTGCTGCTAATGCTGGTGCCCATGATTCTGTTGAATCTGGTGCGGAACCTAAAGTACCTGACGCCCGTCTCCCTCATCGCCGCTATACTAACTGTTGCCGGACTGGCCATTAGCTTCTCGTACATGCTGCACGATCTGCCGGATGTGCATACGGTAAAGCCGATCGCCACCTGGGCGACGCTTCCTCTCTACTTTGGCACAGCCATCTATGCGTTTGAAGGCATTGGCGTGGTCCTACCTTTGGAGAACAACATGCGGACACCCGAAGACTTTGGCGGCACCACAGGCGTTCTCAATACGGGCATGGTGATTGTAGCCTGCTTGTACACCTCCGTTGGATTCTTTGGCTACCTGAAGTACGGCGAAGATGTTAAGGGCAGCATAACCCTGAACCTGCCGCAAGGCGATACGTGAGTCCATCCAGAAAATTTTCCATTCTTAATCTGTTAGAAATACCTGAAAATATCGAACATTTTAGTGGACTTTTTCACTCGATATATGTACACACTTTAGATGTTTTCAAACTGCAAATAGATAGATCTACTTTGCCCCTCTTACTAACTTGTTAAAATATTAATTATATTTATGTTTCAGTCTCTCCCAGTTGGTGCGCATCACCATGGCCGTGGCCATCTTCCTCTCCTATACCCTTCAGTTCTATGTGCCCGTAAACATTGTGGAGCCATTTGTGAGGAGCCACTTTGATACCACGCGGGCCAAGGATCTGTCAGCAACTGTGCTACGAATCGTTCTAGTCACCTTCACTTGTAAGTACCCGTGTTTTCCCATCATAATATTATGACTTAATCTTCGTTCTCCCCATAGTCCTACTGGCCACTTGCATTCCGAATTTGGGCTCTATTATCTCCCTGGTGGGTGCCGTCAGTAGCTCAGCGTTGGCTCTCATAGCGCCGCCCATAATCGAAATGATTACGTTTTATAATGTCGGATATGGCCGCTACAACTGGATGCTGTGGAAAGACTTTCTCATCCTGATATTCGGACTTGGTGGCTTTGTCTTTGGCACCTGGGCCAGCTTGGCGCAGATTCTAAACGACCGGACACACTAATTTCAATCTTTAGGGGAAATCAGGACCTATATAGAATTTGTGTGCGAATTTATGACGAAGGCTTTATGTAGTGTATACCCTTAGTTGTTTCTCCTTTTGCGAAGGATGTAACTCTTTCGGTGCTCTGTTTGTGTTTAATTTATTTTTTATCGCGATAATATTTGTATTTTTTCTCGTTGTTATTAATTAGCTGCAATTTTGTACCGGAGACAATAACTAGCATTTTAAGTAGACAGTTTTGTAATACTCTTCAGTTCAATTCAGTATGGCAGTAGCTTATGAATTTACCTGCGTTAACTCGAGATCCGCACAATGCCAAGTGATTTTTGCGTAGTATTCTTAAATAAATTATTGTTTAGATTTTACTATGTATGTTAGTCTAGGTCGGTGCAGCGCGATCATTCCAAAGCAACGCCCAAAAAGAATTTACCCAACAAACCGAAGTTTTATCGTTCGTATTTTCTAATTATATATATATATATAGTTATACATACATATATATACTACTCAGCATACCGTATTGGGTCTCCGAAATCTCGACCTCCGATTACATTCATTCGGTGTATCAGCAAATGTTCTTTAATGATTTAACGAGTAACAAAAGACAATAATTAAACTTAATGTTTTTAAAAATCAAGGGATTGTTTCTCTATCCCAGGATGGCCACTGGAAGGCGGGCCAGACTTGGCCCTAAAATTCTCAACGGATTTCTTGAAAGGAATACCAATCCTCGGGCACTTGGCAATCGGCTAAGGTTGGTCAAGCGAGCGAGTGGGGCCTGCTGGATCGGCTGAACTTCTTCTGCATCCGGATCGGGTGTAAAATCTTGTGGTTCCTCGTCACTAGGCAGTTGCTCAACGTCATCGGTGGGTGGTGGACCGTAGGTCTGATCCGGTGGGCCATAAGTCTGATCGGGTACGCCTTCCTCGAAGGGTACCTCAGGCTTCAGTTCCTCGGCGGATGGATAGGGTGCTGCAGTCTGCTGCCTGGCGGACCTAGCTGGCAGAGCTTTAATCATACCGAGAGCCAGGATAAGTACCACCAAGGAGCAAGAAATCTTAGCGAATCTGGACATGATTGATTTAATAATAAAGTTAACCAAACAGCAGGTGAAATCGATGATAATTGATACATGTCCGCCCTGAACATGTCTTTTTATATACTCGACGGTGGGGCTACGTGTTTGGATTGTTTAATTTCTATTAAAGACATGGTCATACGGCTAATGACTGACCCCAGAGGGCACTTGGAGTTGTCTGTCAGAAGTGTCACGTTGCAGGTCCCCAAAACAGGTAGTCAAAACCATTATTTTCAGTGTCAAAGTCAAAAAAATAACAGAGTACTTATTAATAAAATATAATTAATATAAGTTCTCAAATGAATTATAAACTATAATTGTTAAACCTTAATAATAGTTCAAGTCAAGAAGTACCTATACCTATTTTTAGCTGAGCGCTTCGAATTCTCAAGTCATTATTCTGCGTAACGTGCATATAAAAGGCGGCAAGCAAACCACGGTTTTGTGTTGTTTGGAAGGAGAGCCAGTTAGCACTCCCCTAGACAAGGATGGAACACACAAACGGACGGCTGGGCACAAGACAAAGCCGTTCACAATTTTTTTTGTTGTTTTGCCTTTAAAAAAAATATTTAACTGAGATAACTGATGGCACAATTGCAGTAACGCAACCAATAAGTTTAATTTATTATTTTTATGAAAGCAATGAAACAAGATGTGCTGCGTGTCCCAGCACTATCTTTGTTCAAGGATCTCGTAGAGGTAGCTGTGTCGGAACGACTTCTTGAATCAATCTGCCTTCCTCATGATCACCTTGAACAAGGGGTATGAGATGGTATCGGTGCTAGTAGTACAGAGATCTATATGTCCCAATTTCAGGTATAGCTTCTCCTCAATATCCGGTAGCTAAACTCTAGAGGCAATAAAGTATAAATTCCCTGAGAGTTTATGGACTTAATCTTTTAACCTCTTATACATTTTGTAAGGCTTTCGCTTTAGGTGCACATATCTTTAACTTATCTTGAACACTTTGTACAAGTAAAGTTTTAAATTGGGTATTAAATATAGTATTACGGTTTGTCTTTGGTTGCCGTCAACTAAGCAGTAGAGCACAATGTCGAGATACCGTCAGTGATACAAACACGATTATTTTAAACGATTCCATGTTCGCTCGAAAATAGAATTTATCAAGTCAATAGTGGTAGACAGTAGTAGGATGTGTGATAATAACGCCTAAGATACGACGGTGCTATAAAAGGCTGACTTCTATGCACTAAATTCAACTAAACACCAGCAACATGAAGACCGGTAAGTTAGGCTGTGGGAACGCTCCTTGGAAATATACAAGTTACTGAGAAAGGGACCTTTTTACCAGCTCTCGTCCTGCTTTTCCTGGCCCTCTTCGCGGCTGTATACGCCGACCAAGCCTGCGATCCCGATGGCAATGGCAAGCCTGACTGCACAGGACGCTCCGGACTAGTTGCCCGTGACTTCTGGGACCCAACCCATTTCTGGGAGTGCGACGCGACCGCCAATGCTAATCTTGTGGCTTGCCAACAAGGAACTGGATTTGACCCCAAGACCGGAGGATGCATCCCCTGGAGCCAATGGCAATGGTACGCGCCCTGCCCCGAAGTCACTGCTTGAGAAATAAACTGTGCCGATTGATAAATGTTGTAATTCTTTCAATTTTGACTTGAAATAGGATTGCACGTATTTATATAGACTTCCAAAGGGTTGATTAACATTCAACAATCGAGTATGATGTTTTTATTAAGTCGCAATGGGAAACTATATCAAATATATGCCATAGGAACGAAAATTTAACAGAAATCCGTTTTTTTAATTTTTCCGTTTTTCAATATGGATCAGTCTCTGCGTTTGCTCGCAGCCAAAACAAGAAATAAAAGTTCTTTAAAAAAATAAAAGAAAAGAAAGCTAACCTTAAAGGCACCATGGGATTCGGAATCTATCATAGCTATGCCAAAGATGAATTAATTTCAATTGGAAAACCACTTCTGTGTCTGCTTTTATTAGGATACTAGCATATTGGGCTTTCAAAACTTTACGAAATTCAGTAAAATTTTTTGTAGAATTATTAAATTTTAAATGCGTTATTCTTTTTGATAACAATTTTGCTTAGAAATATAAACATAAATATATGACTTTTGGCAATCATTGGCTTTTTAGGGTTAGTATACCTACAAAACAAAACTCAAAACTATGTGTATTCTAGGTTTATTTAATCGATATTTTTATATGCTAATTTTTCTAAGTAAATCAAAGTATTTAAAAATCATATCTTAGCCAAAAATAAATAGCTTCGAGTTCTGTGTTAGTTTTTATAAGGCTAACAAATCTGCATATTAAGCTTAAAAAATGTCAATTTTTGACCATTTTTATGTTGAAGATTTATTTATATATTGAACATTACTATATCGAATTAGTTGTTTACGCTGATCAAGAATATACATACATACATATATATATATGATTTATACGGTCGGAAACGAGTGCTATAAGCATTGGACTTAATTTATAATACCCTGGAAGGGTTTGAAACTATCATATTGGCAAGAAATCAATATTCGTGAATAATATATAATTATTATTAATTTATAATAAAGTTAGGCTGTTAACTTTGCGTATAGAAATCCCTAATATAAATTGCTGTATTACTTTAAATTTAAATAAAGTTACGAGCTTCATGGCAATAAGGGAACCAATTGGAAACTAGCTATCAATACTGATTCAAGATCTATACCTCTTATAACATCTACATATATTCATGAAATAAATTTCATGGTTAAGACTTACCGACTTGCATTCCTTAATTCCTTCCAGCGTAGGGTGACTTCAAGTAGGCTTATCATCGAAGTGAGCTTCTTCCATTGCAATAAAATGTATGATCAGTAACTAACTTTGAACACTAATAAACAATGACTTGCAACTTTTGTAACACAACACGTTTCTGAGACTTGGCCGGCAGAAGTCACTTCGTTCCGGGGATGTTAGAACGAGTTAGGAATCATAAGTACAGATGTGCGAGATTTGTTTTGGATCAAATTCAAGAGCAAGCTTTTTGAATGAAACTATTCAGTTGATCTTCTATATAATTTTGCAAGTTTATAAATTGGAGCATGCCAAATCGGTGGACTATATATATACATGAATATAGCTGATATAGGAACAATCGGACGATTTATAGAACTATGATCAGTAATTAACTATGACCAGTAATTAACTATGATCAGTAAGTTTCTATGAACATTAATTAACTAGAGCAGTAAGTAACTCTGAATAGTAAGTATCTATGACCAGTAATTATCTTTGACCAGTAAGTGTGCTAATCAGTTACTAACTTTGAACACTAATAAATAATGACTTGCAATTTTGTAACACAACACGTTTCTGAGACGTGGCTGGCAGCAATCACTTCGTTCCGAGATGTTTGAACCAGTTGGGAATCATAAGTACAGATGTGCGAGATTTGTTTTGGATCAAATTTAAGAGCAAGCTATTTGAATGAAACTATTCAGTTGATCTTCTATATAATTTTGCAAGTTTATAAATCGGAGCATGCCAAATCGGTGGACTATATATATACATGAATATAGCTGATATAGGAACAATCGGACGATTTATAGAACTATGATCAGTAATTAACTATGACCAGTAATTAACTATGATCAGTAAGTTTCTATGAACATTAATTAACTATGAGCAGTAAGTAACTCTGAATAGTAAGTATCTATGACCAGTAATTATCATTGACCAGTAAGTATCTATGAGCAGTAATTATCTTTGACCAGTAAGTATGCGAATCAGTTACTAACTTTGAACACTAATAAACAATGACTTGCAACTTTTGTAACACAACACATTTCTGAGACGTTGCTGGCAGCAGTCACTTCGTTCCGGGGATGTTTGAACCAGTTGGGAATCATAAGTACAGATGTGCGAGATTTGTTTTGGATCAAATTTAAGAGCAAGCTATTTGAATGAAACTATTCAGTTGATCTTCTATATAATTTTGCAAGTTTATAAATCGGAGCATGCCAAATCGGTGGACTGTATATATACATGAATATAGCTGATATAGGAACAATCGGACGATTTATAGAACTATGATCAGTAATTAACTATGACCAGTAATTAACTATGATCAGTAAGTTTCTATGAACATTAATTAACTATGAGCAGTAAGTAACTCTGAATAGTAAGTATCTATGACCAGTAATTATCATTGACCAGTAATTATCATTGACCAGTAAGTATCTATGAGCAGTAATTATCTTTGACCAGTAAGTATGCTAATCAGTTACTAACTTTGAACACTAATAAACAATGACTTGCAACTTTTGTAACACAACACATTTCTGAGACGTTGCTGGCAGCAGTCACTTCGTTCGGGGATGTTTGAACTAGTTGGGAATCATAATACAGATGTGCGAGATTTGTTTTGGATCAAATTTAAGAGCAAGCTATTTGAATGAAACTATTCAGTTGATCTTCTATATAATTTTGCAAGTTTATAAATTGGAGCATGCCAAATCGGTGGACTATATATATACATGAATATAGCTGATATAGGACCAATCGGACGATTTATGGAACTATGATCAGTAATTAACTATGACCAGTAATTAACTATGATCAGTAAGTTTCTATGAACATTAATTAACTATGAGCAGTAAGTAACTCTGAATAGTAAGTATCTATGACCAGTAATTATCATTGACCAGTAAGTATCTATGAGCAGTAATTATCTTTGACCAGTAAGTACCATATGCTAATCAGTTACCAACTTTGAACACTAATAAACAATGACTTGCAACTTTTGTAACACAACACATTTCTGAGACGTTGCTGGCAGCAGTCACTTCGTTTCGGGGATGTTTGAACCAGTTGGGAATCATAAGTACAGATGTGTGAGATTTGTTTTGGATCAAATTTAAGAGCAAGCTATTTGAATGAAACTATTCAGTTGATCTTCTATATAATAAAGTTTATAAATCGGAGCATGCCAAATCGGTGGACTGTATATATACATGAATATAGCTGATATAGGAACAATCGGACGATTTATAGAACTATGATCAGTAATTAACTATGACCAGTAAGTAACTATGATCAGTAAGTTTCTATGAACATTAATTAACTATGAGCAGTAAGTAACTCTGAATAGTAAGTATCTATGACCAGTAATTATCATTGACCAGTAAGTATCTATGAGCAGTAATTATCTTTGACCAGTAAGTATGCTAATCAGTTACTAACTTTGAACACTAATAAACAATGACTTGCAACTTTTGTAACACAACACATTTCTGAGACGTTGCTGGCAGCAGTCACTTCGTTTCGGGGATGTTTGAACCAGTTGGGAATCATAAGTACAGATGTGCGAGATTTGTTTTGGATCAAATTTAAGAGCAAGCTATTTGAATGAAACTATTCAGTTGATCTTCTATATAATTTTGCAAGTTTATAAATCGGAGCATGCCAACTCGGTGGACTATATATATACATGAATATAGCTGCCATAGGAACAATCGGACGATTTATAGAACTATGATCAGTAATTAACTATGACCAGTAATTAACTATGACCAGTAATTAACTATGATCAGTATGTTTCTATGAACATTAAGTAACTATGACCAGTAAGTAACTCTGAATAGTAAGTATCTATGACCAGTAATTATCTTTGACCAGTAAGTATCTATGACCAGTAAGTATGTTAATCAGAAACTAACTTTGAACACTAATAAACAATGACTTGCAACTTTTGTAACACAACACATTTCTGAGACGTGGCCGGCAGAAGTCACTTCGTTCCGGGGATGTTAGAACGAGTTGGGAATCATAAGTACAGATGCAGGAGATTTGTTTTGAATCAAATTTAAGAGCAAGCTATTTGAATAAAACTATGGAGTTGATCTTATGAATACTTTTGATAGTTTATATATCGGAGCATGCCAAATAGGAACGTTGGCTGCTGTCGGTGTTAATCACTTTTCCTTTTCCCAAAATTGCAGTAGAAGTTCTAATTATTAAATAACAGCACAATAATCAGATAGCTTGCAATCATTTTTATTATTTAATAAAATAATTGAATTTAGGGGCAACATGGAGACCATTGCCACTGATCCCATTCAACGCAGTCACCCACTTTCACATCGAAACCTCTTGGTTGTACCGTGCCATTTGCAAGTTGCAGCTCACATGGCACACCAACAGCTACGTTACTTGAGTTGCACCACCAATACCGGGTCGGATCAAAGAAGTTGCGGATCTTTACTCCTTGGTTGGTGGCGTTGGTGCAGTCGGGCTTGTTGTCTGAATTAGGATTGCACACGTAGTCCGCGGCATGGAGAGCCACAAAGAGGGCGAGGCAGCACAGTACTAGAGCTGAGGATCAGAGGATTGCAGAATGGTTGGTCGGTTAGTGCAAGGTTCGACGGTGCGTAGGTGCTATCGCGGCGAAGTCCCGCTGTTGACTTACCGGCTTTCATGGTTGAGCCTTTCGAATGTCTGTTTGATGGCGCGAAATGGCAACTTTATATACCTGAGCCAAGCACTGATACGAGCCTCTTCTGGCAATAATGGTTATCTCTCCGCCGCCGGGGGAACCTGTGCAAAATTCTATTTTGGCAAAAACATGGAATGCTTCGAATATAATCAAACCGTGTATCGCCCGCTGGTTGTGTCGATATCTCCCGTTTCGAAATTGAACTGACGCAAGCATTAGATAAGATGGGGACTTGGAAAGGTCAGTCCCTCCAAGTCTATTACTATTTTTAGCGATGGACATTTCTCTAAACGAGCACATATTATTTAGAGTGGCAGCTTTTGAAATCTGAAACCTCAGTAGGTGTCCCAAAATTGATCTGCTTCACACGGTAATGCTTCCAAATTCCTTGTGATTTAATCCTGACAATGGAATCGAAGGCCAAGCGTGGCCCGCGTCAGCCGGAAAACGGTCTGCCGAACACCATTGTGATTCAGCTGGTATCACCGCAGCCACAGACCATGCCCATCTCCGTGCACGCGATGTCATTGCCTCCAGGATCCAAGGCAACTGTGGAGCAGCAACGACGACCAGCACCTCCTGCTCCGAACAGATCAAAGAGCCCGGCTGCTCCGAACCCATCGCGCCTGCCATCCACAATGGGTCAAACGCAGAGGAGAAGAGCTCCGACAGAGGATTTTCGATATTCTCCTCCTCAATGCATCCAAACCAATAGTGACTCTCCTAATCAACCCCTGGGTCAGGGAAGGACTGTATGGATGGAGTATGTCTGCCATCCGGTAGAGAAGATGTCTTCCATCTATAGTCCGGCTCCTCCTGCTGATCTAAAGGAAACAGGGGTCATTGTAGCTGCCATAACTGTCGTGTCCGGAGATCAGTCCCAGAACCGGAAAACTTCATAGAGAATCAGACATCGCCACGACTAAGTAGTAACTCGCAACGGCGGCAGGATTCAATGAGTTCGGAGGGCCATCGAGATCAGGCAACCAATACCGATGACCAACCACAGAACCTGGATTCCCTGAAAACAATCTGCGAGACCTTGGGTCAAGCCATTGTCACAGCAGCCATGGCGGCCTTAGAGACCCATGCAAATTATTCGCCTGCCGATTCGACACCCAACCAGAGAAACATCCTGGCGCACACCCTGACTCAGATGATGGCCAAGTCAAAAAACACAGAATACCGAGAAAGCAAACCGCATTCGGTTAACTCGAACCGAAGGGCAGATTTTTTGAGCTCAATTCAACTTCTCAGTCCAACGGGATCTGGCTGTAAGATTGAGCGTCTTCGGTCTCCTAGCCACGAGTCAGTGGTATATCCGAAAACGCCGAGAGATACAATTATTGCCCCGGTGTGGGTCCCACAACCAGTGGACTTGGATTACAACACCATAGTGTCGGGCCCTTTACCTGGACTGTGTATCAAAAACAACCAGATTACTCAACATAGAGCTCATTCCACCGTTCGAAGAGTGCCAGTAAGAAAATTCCCAATGGTAAAGCAAGTCTGTGCCAGCGTCAAGGGTCTGAAAGGTCCTGCAATCAGGCGGCGGTTTCCCACAGAAGAGTTACCGCCAGTTCCACAGGAGAAGAACACTGGTCCCACATCTCCGAACGCTGTAGTGCCCGTGATAAAACCACCGGAGGTTTTAGATGATTCGCTGCCAGATCTAGCCGTTGTCACTTTGCCTCCAGATCCAGATCTCTGCAGCTATTCACAAACGGACGACCCCTGTTTGTGTAACAAAATTTAAACATTTTCGATCAATATACCAATATATATCAATGGAAAATATGCAGAAATATATGATTGAATAAAATATATAGCTATACCTAATCTTTATCTAAAAAACGAATCAAAAATTCATTTAAAATTAAACAATGATGTGGGAAAATAATCTTAACTAGTAAACACAGGTAAAAAAGAATGAATCAGTTATCAACAATTTAGTGAATGATCTAAGAAATGGTAAAAAAAATAACTAAAATGACCAAATAGTTAGGTTTAGTATGAGCAATGTTCCATTGAGGATGAGTTACTAAGTCACAGTCGAAATTACGTATCCGACATGTGGAACAATCGTGTTTTTATTTAACTTTTTCTTAAATATAACCCTGAATCGCTATTTAGACAAGCAACCCAGACCTAAGTTAACTCAAATGTTTGTTTATTCATTAATTAACTTGTCTCTCATTAAAAGCGCCTATAATAATTGCAGTATCACACATTTTTTGCAATAATTAACTACATATAAACTAAGCACATTCTGATTAGTTGCGATAAATCTCCAGGTTAAAAAGATAGTGTTATCTCCTGCACTAAGTAATCAACAAGGTAAGGATTTTTAAACACCAGTAGCTCACACGATTGGCTTAGATTAAACGCCGCATGTGATAAGCTCTGTGAAATGTTTCATATTTAAGCTTGCCGTGTCTTTTGGTGATAACAAAATTCTCCGAAATACCGGTACGATTCCAATAAGCTGATAAGGCGACACGTTTTCACAAGACATCCCCCTTTCTACATACTTGCCATCGAGTCGCGAATGCCGGAAACACAAGACACATCATTTCGCTGACATTTAAGGTAGTTTTGCATCTCCACATCTTCGCATTTTGGACATACATCTAATAAATTGGTCGTGTTTTTCAAGTAATGTTTGCTGCTGCCGTTTGGTTGGTTGCACTCGCCCGGAACAGTGATAATTTCCTAAAAATTCTTAGCAGTGCTGCGATCTCTGTGACTTGAGTAGTTTCTGGCATTGGTTTCATGATATATGTGTAAAATTATTAAAATGTTAGCTTAAGCACACTTAAGTTCATCCGAAATATGGCAAGATATAACACACTTATTGAAAGATCTATAGTTTCTTTAAATCCTAAAGGTATCATTATTATATTATAACAGTTATAAATATAGATCTTCAACATTAAAAATGTGTTACTTCAATGAGAAATGTATGGACATTTATTATGCTCATTCATTTATCGTTCGGTTAACTTAAGTTGCCAAATCTCAGAAAAGAGGAAAGGAGGTCTCGTTTTGACGAAACCCCTGGCCAAGGAAAGTGAAAATCCCCACGCGACGACTGGCGCAACTGATGGACGCAGCCAAGCAGACAATTCCAGACTTAAATTGCACAGCACAATTTGTCGCCAGTCGCTTGCAATTTTATTATAAAGACTTGATGTCAACGCGCCGGCGAGCTTAGTCAAAATGTTCACCTGCAAACGGAAGCTTCAGGCTGCAGTACAACTACTACTGCTACTCCTGAGCCTTCGTCTGGGATTTGGGCTGACGCAGAATTCCAGCCATGAGCTAGCCACTGGACGCTCGGAGAATCAGCTTGATCTGCCTAGCTCGGTGGCTGCCAAGAGTTTTGAGCCACTACCAGAATTCTACAGAGGTCCAGGGTCAAGTTCCAACAATCATCATTCATTGGGAAGTGTGGGTGAAAGTCTCAGCGAAACATACAACAAGTGGAAAGCCTTAGGTAACAGTCAAGGAAATATCCAGGAGCGCATCAGTGTGGGTAGGTTTAAGAGATAGAGATATTATACTGAAGATAACAGTCATATATCATTAAAATACAAATCTGATTTGATGTGGTTCTTGCAGAGGGCTTCTGAGTCAACTGGCTAGGACATTAACCCCATTTTTTTATAATACCCCTTTATCAGGTCATCACCAAGGCAGTGCTGGAGCTGTCGCATCCCATGCTCCACCTGTGGGCAGCTTTGAGACTAACTCCCATCCATATCCCTATGAGTATTCTCACAGTAGCGGAGGTGCTGGACCTGGACTACCAGCTGGAGGTGCATCGGGGGCTTACTTTGGCAGTTCTAGTGTGGAGGCGCCGATTCCATTTGATGTGTACGGATCGCGTCCAGGTCATCATGGCTTGGGTCACAGCCATTATTCCACATCGGAATATGCGTATCCCTATCACTTGGATCACCATGAAGTAGCCACTCTCAAGGGGCCGGGATACGGAAAGGGACCATCTAAAGGCCTCTTAGCTAAAAGTTTCCTCATCCCTCTGGCCAGTGCTGCTGTCCTGGGAATTGCAGCCGCCTTGATAAGCAATCCCCTGCTCCTCCAACTAGGCACTGTATCTGGACTTGGAACGTCATTTGTCGGGAAACGTAAACGCCGGGCGGCAGGCTCTCGTCATCGCCTAAATCTGGTAACAACTTAAGCCCATAAACACATACCATTAATATGCCATTCACGAAAGAAGGACAAAAAGAAAAAATCCACATCCCTATTCAATGAATTTTTATCAATAAGTAGTAATACCTGATAAGACTTTGATTAAAAATGGTAAACAAAGTGTGCGAATTGAACTTGGAACCCCAACATATTCAAAATATGGGTAATAATCTTTTCCATTAAGACTCGAAGAAAGGTGTTATCAAGCAGTAAATATCATGTAGTGGTAAATCATTTAGGGGCTCTTTACTGCATAATAACCGCCGCATACCATGGATTTCGATAATTAATTTTAGATTTATACTTTATGCACATACTTATATATATTCATAAAGGTGTTACCTATAATATAGAATTAAATATAGAAAGTGAAAAAGAAAGCGTATTTTTACCCAAAATTTTCGTTTACTCAAAAACTGCTTTATAAATTTCAATTTCTGTAATTCAAGCTCATTTCCGGTCATAGAGCGGGAACTATCGTAAGGTATTTCAAAAGATCACATATCGGAGAAACATCGATGTCAAGCAGATCGATTGTGGCTTAACGATGTTATTTCAATGTTTGTCCCACCTCTACTAGGCGGCAGAATAACAAACAAAAAGAAAAACACACGTAAAATGTTGTAGTACTAAAAATAAAAGTGAAATGTGCTCGAAGCGGAGTTTGAGTGTCCTTGCTGACACCGAAGATGAACAGGAGAACCCGCCGAAGAACACCTCGAAATCGCTCTGCCAACACACATCAAGAGAATTCACCGGCTCACCAAAGGCCAAAAATGTTTTGGGCGATTCCTTGTCCAGACAAAGAAGGAATAAAATTTCCAAGTTCGAGGAATCCTGGCTGGCTCTAAATAAGTCATGTATGGGCCAAAGCCTGATGGATGCTTCCAAGGATACCAGTTGGACAAGTTCTCTGTCAACAAAGGCCCGAACTAAAGCTTTGCCAATCTCCACTTACCAGAGTTCTCCGAGGACTCCTCCTGCCATATCCCGGTCGAGTTTTTCCTCTACGTTCCAGACATCCCGCCGATGGAACACATTAATGAGCGAAGAATCCTGTAGAAAGTCTCCGCTGGCTTCTCCTTTGATGACAGATAAAAGTCCTCAAATATTATCCTCTTCCTTTAAGACGTCGCGGCTATGGAGCAAGTTAATAGGCGAAGAATCCTCTCAGACGATTAGTTATAACTCTCCGAAGACTTCTCCGTTAATTGAAAAATCAAACGAGATCCCTCGCAGATTATCCTCTTCCTTGAAGACATCTCAGCGTTGGAACGACTTGATGAGCGATCATTCGCTGAATGAATCTAGTTGTACGGACGATAGCCATGTGGAATCTTCGCCAGTCATCCGTCTAGTACCGGATCAACCCTCCCAGTATCTGCCCAGCAGCAGCCAGAAAAGAGTCATTCCAAAGTCCCACATACGCGCCGTCAAGGGAGGCTATGCCGACAGCTTCCAGCGGTTGCTAAAGAGCGTGCGAATGGATCAGCGCCATTTGAGTAGCAGGGAACCAACCCATAGCGGTCACGTGTTGGCTATAACCGAGGAGTTTAACGTAACAATGGCTCTAGTAGAGACCGAGAGCCAACAATGCAGTCCAAGCTCTAGTTTTAATATTATATTACAATCAAAACAATCCAAAAATGTAAAAGTTGGCTCTAAGGTGCAGTTCTACCTAAATCCCAAAATTAAGCCATTAGAACTGACCAACAAGCAATTGGTCTATTGTCAGCCACATAATGTAATCGTATTATAAAGACAGGCTTTAGTTGTAAATATTAAATGTATAAAAATACTGCATATAATGAAGTAATTTCAAAAAGGAAATTCGTTATGTTTAAGTATAATGCAGGATTTGTTTGAAATACTTAATAATTATGATCTATAATGTATATTCCCTATGCCCATATTGTTACTTGTATAAAAATATCAATAAATCAGTCTTTAAGAAGTTAAAATGTTAAGTATGCTTTCACCAGCAAACAGACTTCTCCTGCAATATGTTTCCATGGATGCGTTGCGCCAAAAATCTGTAAATAAATAAAATGTTAACAATTACCGTCCAAAGAATAACATTTTCAAATCATACCTCATTGCATGTGTGGGCACGGCTGCCACGAAGAGTAGAAATAGGACGTTGCCCAGATCATCCGCATGGGCGTAGCACTTGTGATAGTCCGAGCAACTGTACTGATCCAACAGCATCGTTTTATTTCCCGACGATGTCTCCGACTCGAATTGATGCACTGCATCCATGGTCTGGTCGAAGAACTTCTTGAGTATGTCGAGGCGTTGCAGATCGCCGGCAATGATACGTTTGACACTCGCAGACTGATTGAGATTCCTGGTAAACAAACTCTTACGAGAATGTCGGTTTAGCAGGATGATGGCCAGTACATTGCCATCAATGTCCAGGTGCTCTGGCAAACTGCGTGGCATGCAGCGCTCCGCGGCGGCCAGAAGATTACCCTCATTTCGGTAAGCACTCATCGCATGGGCATGCAACTCGCGAAACGAGGCATTCTCGGCTCCGCACAGCACACACAAGGCGGTATTTGGCGCCACAGGAATGCTGACAAATCGATAGGCTATATTGGGGCTCTTTACGGGCAAGTAGACGGGCACATCGTGCTGCAGGGTGCTTGACGAGTTGAGCAGGAATAGCAGGAGCTCCCGATCCCTAGTGTCTAGGTCCCACCACCCCTCAGTGGCCACGGCGATCCGATGGCCCACTACCAGGCAGCAGAACAACGAGCCGCAATGCCCACTGAACTCATTGAGGCACTGCAGCAGCTGGCCATTCTCCGAAGCCAGCAGACAGTCGGTGTAGCCCAGAAGTTGTGTACCCGCGCAGGCTGCCTCCAGAATGGCGTCCACAATGGGCACATACTTCTTGGCATCCTTCTTCAGCCGCTCTAGCAGCGTGGCGTGCGCCATCTCGGCAGTACGAGTGATGAACATGGCAATTGCCCCAAAAACAAGATCCGCAAGCGTCTGGAGCAACTGCACCGATCCCAAGCCACAGGCGCAGACAATCAAGGTGATGGCATTCTGATCCCGCCAGATATAGGTCCACTCCTCTGCGTCCGCCGAGCTCTGATACTGTACGGGCTGCTTGCTGGTCGTGGTGGCCTCCAGTTGAATTCCCAGCGACTTGAAGAACATATGAAAGCCGTTGAGCGAAGCCACCGTGGAGAAGGGCAACTGTAAAATGACAACAAAAGGTGGTTGTTAAGTGACTTCGCCTATAAGCCCTTATGTACATTTTTCACTTACATTTTCACACTCCCCCTTCTTGCGAGTAAACACCGGTAAGCCGCCATTTGTTGTCAAACATAACAAATAAATAGACATTACGTGCTCTGCTTCTTTCCAAAAATCTGCAACGTCGACCTAGAACACTTACAAGCTTCCATCCCTATCGCTTGGATCGGCAATCGATATGTTTGCACTGGGCTACATAATTTTATATTTTAAACATATCGATAGAATGTGAAAAGTTGGCTTTCCCTTTGTTTTCTTCTCTCTTGCTTCTAGAGAACAAATAATTTTTATTCCAAGGACTAGGACTCAAAATACACATTTCTTGATACACGACGTTGCTTCTTCTCGAATGTATTAAATTCGATAGTTAGGTTTTTTAGTGTATTTTCACTTTGGTATTTTTAAACCGTCGCGAAACGGCAACACTTATTGCATTTCGCATTGTCCGTGTCGTCGATTTCTGCTCTTTTTCTGGAATTGGTAAAAAGGTGAGCTAGATATGTGAAAAGCGCCATGGGGGCTGCAATGGGGGCAGCGGGGCGCCGCAAACGCGTGCAAACAGTTGCGGCGATCACGAAATACCGCCGGAGTTCGCCCGTCGCAATAGCAGCGGCGGCGGCGATGCGCTCCCCCTGTGGCTGTGTGCGTGCATGTGTCGCACGCGTGTGTGTGAGTGTGCGAAAAAGTGTAAGCGCGCGCAGGCAGTAAGCGTGCGCTTGTAGTTGTAAGAGTGTGTTCCAAAAAAGAAAATAAGAAAATAAAAAAAAGAAATATGGATGCCTGCCTGCGGTACCTAAAAGCGCAATAAAACTAACGTCAATTTTTACGCTCGCTCTTTTGCAGCTCCAGGCCCAGTCCCGGCACGAGATCCAGATCCCGATCCAGATCCAGATCAAGAGTTGCCGCTCCTCACCATCACCGTCACAGCAAGAAGAAGAAGCAGGAGAGAAGAGGAAGACGCAGAAGTGGAAACTAGCCGCTGCCGCACAGCTTAGCTCAGCTCAGTCCAGTCCATAGAGTGCCACAATACCTCAGCCAGCCCAGCTCAGCTCAGGTTAGCTTAGCCCAGCTCAGCCGGAGGAGGAAGCGAAGAAGCTATCAAGATTAACGCGGACACAGCTGCGAACGAGCGACGCAGACGCGAACGTTGCTTCTATTACAAAGCGATGGCGACGATGTTGACGTCGGACGAGGCGGGCAAGTTGCTCGACTTCTCGCAGAAGCTGGACATAAATCTGCTGGACAAGATCGTCGAGGTGGTGTACACATCGCAGGGCGAGCAGCTGCGCCTCGCCCAGGACATACTCACCACGCTAAAGGAGCATCCGGAGGCATGGACGCGGGTGGACAGCATCCTGGAGTATTCACAGAACCAGCAGACCAAGTTCTATGCACTGCAAATCCTCGAGGAGGTGATCAAGACCCGCTGGAAGGTGCTGCCGCGCAACCAGTGCGAGGGCATTAAGAAGTATGTGGTCAGTCTGATCATTAAAACGTCATCGGATCCCATCATCATGGAGCAGAACAAGGTTTATCTCAACAAGCTGAACATCATTCTGGTGCAGATCCTGAAGCGCGAGTGGCCACGCAACTGGGAGACCTTCATCAGTGACATTGTCGGTGCGTCCAAGACAAACGAGAGCCTGTGTATGAACAATATGGTTATACTGAAAAACCTCAGCGAGGAGGTTTTCGACTTCTCCCAGGGCCAGATCACGCAGACCAAGGCCAAGCATCTAAAGGACACCATGTGCTCCGAGTTCTCGCAGATCTTTACGCTCTGCTCGTTCGTCCTAGAGAACTCGATGAATGCGGCACTTATTCACGTAACGCTGGAGACCCTGCTGCGCTTCTTGAATTGGATTCCATTGGGCTACATCTTTGAGACGCCGCAGATTGAGACGCTGATCTTCAAGTTCCTCAGCGTGCCCATGTTCAGGAACGTGACCCTGAAGTGCCTGTCCGAGATCGCCGGCTTGGCGGCGACAAACTACGATGAAAACTTCGCAACGCTCTTCAAGGACACGATGGTGCAGCTCGACCAGATCGTTGGCCAAAACATGAACATGAACCATGTCTTCAAGCACGGCAGTGACACGGAACAGGAGCTGGTCCTCAACCTGGCCATGTTCCTGTGCACCTTCCTCAAGGAGCACGGTAAACTGGTGGAAGACGCCAAGTATGTGGACTATCTAAACCAGGCACTTATGTATCTGGTGATGATTAGCGAAGTGGAGGACGTAGAGGTGTTCAAGATCTGCCTGGAGTATTGGAACAGTCTGGTAGAGGACCTGTACAACTCGGAGTTCTTTCACCCGAACCTGGAGTCCTCGAAGAGGCAGCAGGTGTATCCCCGGCGTCGCTTCTACGCCCCCATCCTGTCCAAAGTGCGCTTTATTATGATCTCGCGCATGGCCAAGCCCGAGGAGGTGCTGGTGGTGGAAAACGAGAACGGAGAGGTGGTGCGCGAGTTCATGAAGGACACCAACTCTATTAATCTGTACAAGAATATGCGCGAGACGCTGGTCTTTCTCACTCACTTGGACTCTGTTGACACGGACCGCATCATGACGCTGAAGCTGCTAAACCAGGTCAACGGCTCGGAATTCTCCTGGAAGAACCTGAACACGCTGTGCTGGGCCATTGGCTCGATATCGGGTGAGATGTTTATAAATAATTTTGTTTACAAGTTTTGTGTTGCTTTTTTTGCATCGTTAGCTAAATTGACATTTTCTTGTTGCCTTTCCTTTGCTTCAGGTGCTTTTTGTGAAGAGGATGAAAAACGCTTTCTGGTCACCGTCATCAAGGATCTGCTGGGCCTGTGCGAGCAGAAGAAGGGCAAGGACAACAAGGCAATCATCGCATCAAATATCATGTATGTGGTGGGCCAGTATCCGCGCTTCCTGCGCGCCCACTGGAAGTTCCTCAAGACGGTAGTCAACAAACTGTTCGAATTTATGCACGAGACGCACGATGGCGTCCAGGACATGGCCTGCGACACATTCATTAAGATCGCGATCAAGTGCCGCCGCTACTTTGTCACCATTCAGCCGAATGAGGCATGCACCTTCATCGACGAGATTCTCAGCACAATGAGCAGCATCATCTGCGATCTGCAGCCACAGCAGGTGAGCCTAAAAGCTATTGGTATTTATATATATATTTAAAATTAATAATTATTTGATGCCAAAATTAAAGGATGATCAAGACAAATAATAATAATTAATGCTGCAATCTATTCGTAGGTTCATACATTTTATGAAGCTGTCGGCTACATGATCTCGGCCCAGGTAGATCAGGTGCAGCAAGATGCACTCATCGAGCGCTACATGCAACTGCCGAATCAGGTGTGGGATGACATTATATCACGCGCCTCCAAGAACGTTGACTTCTTGAAAAACATGACCGCCGTAAAGCAGCTCGGCAGCATTCTCAAAACGAATGTGGCTGCCTGCAAAGCCCTGGGGCATGCCTATGTCATTCAGCTGGGTCGTATCTACCTGGACATGCTGAATGTGTATAAGATCACCTCGGAGAACATCATTCAGGCCATCGAGGTGAATGGCGTTAATGTGAACAATCAACCCCTGATCAAGACCATGCATGTGGTGAAAAAGGAGACGCTCAATCTGATATCGGAATGGGTGTCGCGCTCCAACGACAATCAGTTGGTGATGGACAACTTTATACCACCTTTGCTGGACGCTATACTATTAGACTATCAGGTGAGGTCTCTACAAGATATTTTATGTAGATGCGGATACTAATCTGTCTCCTTTATAGCGTTGCAAAGTTCCATCGGCGCGGGAGCCAAAGGTCCTGAGTGCGATGGCAACCATTGTGCATAAACTGCGTCAGCATATCACCAATGAAGTACCAAAAATATTTGACAACGTCTTCGAGTGTACACTGGACATGATCAACAAGAACTTCGAGGACTTCCCCCAGCACCGGCTCAGCTTCTACGAGCTTCTGCAGGCGGTCAATGCGCACTGTTTCAAGGCGTTCCTCAATATACCGCCGGCTCAATTCCGGCTGGTCTTTGATTCGGTGGTGTGGGCCTTCAAGCACACCATGCGCAATGTGGCCGACATGGGCCTGAATATCCTTTTCAAGGTAAGAGTTTAGTGCGACTAACAGAAATTGCAAAATACTAATACCTATCCCATATTACACAGATGCTGCAAAACCTGGAACAACATCCGGCTGCGGCGCAGAGCTTCTATCAGACCTACTTTACGGACATTCTGATGCAGATTTTCTCGGTTGTTACCGACACCTCTCACACGGCCGGTCTGCCCAATCATGCAACCATTCTGGCGTACATGTTCTCCTTGGTTGAGAACAGAAAGATCACCGTTGATCTGGGTCCGATCCCAGATAACATGATATTCATTCAAGAGTACGTGGCCTCTCTGCTGAAATCGGCGTTCAATCACTTGTCCGATAATCAGATCAAGGTCTTTGTGACGGGGCTCTTCAATTTGGACGAGAATGTGCAAGCATTTAAGGAGCATTTGAGAGACTTCCTTATACAAATTCGCGTTAGTATTGTAGTTTAAGAAGTGTTAAATAAATAAGCAAGTTCCATTGGTTTACTCTTTGTGCATTTACAGGAGGCCACCGGTGAGGACGATTCCGATTTGTATCTGGAGGAGCGCGAGGCGGCCCTGGCTGAGGAGCAGTCCAACAAGCACCAGATGCAGCGTAATATTCCAGGCATGTTAAATCCGCACGAGTTGCCCGAGGATATGCAGGACGAGTAGGTGTCGCGCGATAGAGTGTTTTAGTTGATGCTTGATAATGGAGATGTTTATGGTATGAGGATGATGATGATAATGATGAATGAGTGTCTCTCGAGCGCGAAAGAGTATAAATGTTTGTTTGATTGAATGCATATAAGTACGTTATATATATATAAATACACCCACACATACACGACCCCCCACATACACAAAAGTGCATACCTACACATAGAAGGAGTTGCGATTAATGGTGAATGATGAGTATATATGGTTATTCTTGCGCAATTACATACATTAATAAGATTAACATATTATTGCGCAATGTCCTGGATCCCACGAGCCCAGAGGAGCCCCAACCAATTCCCGCCCAACCATCCAGATTATATAGTTGTAAACTCCCGTCATTTTCTACACTAAAATGCAACTCAGCAGATACGAAAGATTCAAGCTTAATCGTACTAATAATATATAATGTTTGTTTGGAATTTTTTAAACGAGTATTTGTGTAGAAATATCAAGTATGAATGAATATTTGACCGATAAATCACACACAAAATCACCCACACAAACAGAGCAAAAGAAACAAGATATATAAACGAAAGTAAAAAAAAGGAATAAGAAAAACTTAAAGTAAAATTTAATTGTAGTAGACTTAAACAGCGATCAGGAGCAGGCAGAAGTAACAAAATTATATATATATATAAATATATATATATATGCAATCGTTTTGCATAAAGTTAGCATTAGCTCGATGATTATGATGGAGATGTGAACGCAGATTAAGGAGACGATGAACAAGCAAACATGCCGCATCATATAACCAGAAACAACAGCAGCAACAAATTCATGCAATGTGTGAAGAAATAGAACTAAAACGCAAATATTCAAAAGAAAAATACATCAAGAAAACAAACACACCACAAAATAACCATAGAAATGCGTATTAATGATGTGTTTAAATTTTTACATAATTAGTTTGTACAATAATTTAAATAAAAATCAATTAAAACTACTTTGATGTATGATGCGAATTATCCGTGTGCAAGTTTTCTATTTTTATTGGTTACCTTGTAATTATTTTTTAAAGGAATACATTGTATGGCAAAGCTGCCCAGGCAGGTTCACCAAGCACCTTACAGTTGGCTACAAATCCAATTACAGCATCCAAATCTCTTTCAATTTCTTTTCCTGACTGGTCATAGAAAAAGTTAAACATATTTTTATACACGTCCGATAATCAATTAATTTAATATAATCAAAGTCCAACTTGACTTGCAAGCTTACAACATTAAAATTGGTCATAAAAGTTTGAATTTTGACAGAAAAGTAAAAGTTTTAGGGAAAAAACTTATCAATGAGCACCCAACTTTTTCGGCACCAATAGTCGATTGTTGTGGAGAAATTGCGAGTCCCTGGTAAGAGCCTTCCAGGTTTCGAAAAGGTTTTGTGAAATGAACCAGGTCTGGCCAACTGGATCCACAGGATAAATATCGCTTTTGTTGCTAAACGGCAGTTCAATATTCTGTGAAACCTTTTGCTTAAAGGCGGTGCCATTGAAGGGTCGCTGGGAGTGAAGGGCCACAGTCACATCCTCCAAGAAAAGCCTCCAACGAGGCCTGTAGTAATCCCTCACCAGGCCCGACCACTGTTTGCATGCATAGTCCAAGATCTGGCCATCGGGACCCCATGCGGTTATCTGATTCCTGGCATTAAATTCAAAGTTGCTCAAGTCTTCAGGCTCAGGAGCCACCCGCTTGGCCTGCTCCAGCCAGTTGCCGAGTAAGAAGTTCCTGCCGCTAGCCAAGATCAGCTCCATATCATCGAACAACTGCAGCAGCTTGGAGCTAAGATACTCGAAGCGGGTCACCTGTCGTTTCCTGTAAGCCGACTTCAGGTTGACATACAACTGATCTGCGCTAATCTGCAAATACTGCCTGGATATATCCACCAGATCGTGCTCATACATCTCATATCTGTCATCCTCCAAAGGTATTATGGCCCTGGCGGAGAGCAGCAAATGCCAGGCCTCCAATATGTCGCTTGAATTATACCAAGTGAAGGGATCCTGGTTGAAGGAAGGTCTTCGGGTCACCACATATTGTCCCCGCATCTTCTGTAGGCCGCGAAAGGAATAAACACTGTTCTTTAACAACAGCCAAGCCTGCTCCAGTCGCTCATCTTGGACGCCATAGCGAGTGAGGGCAAAGTCCCGGAACCAGCTGTCCAAGTCCAAGGATGAAGAGCTCCAGCCGCGCTCAATGGTCAGGGAATACATAACATAATTCTGATTTATGCCCTCGGGTGTGATTCCTGTACCCACCCAGCTGCTGTTGGGCATTCGACGTGCGTTCTCGATTCCTGAATTTATCAGCTTGGCGGATCCGAACATGCCCAGCGTTCCGCCAAAGTTGTGGAGCATGCACCAAATGAAAGGCTGTCCAAAGTAGGACTGCGTTAGCTCGTACTGTGGAAACTGTTCGCTCTGGAGATCCAGCACTAAAATCCTGCCGCGTGGAACTGCCGTGAGAAAGGCCTTCGCCATGTCCGTCGTCCAGAAGGGATTCTTCACAAACATCCAGCCTTGTAGCAGCCAAATTGCCTGAGGATCGACTTCCCTCATGGATTCATGTATCGCTGCCGCCGTAGAACGCATATATTCGGGTTTAGCCACCGGAGGCTCCAGCTCATTGAAGGGGTCGCAAAAGAATATATGATTAGATCCATAGGTTGCCACCACACGACTCAGAAAGCTCTTGGCTATTTCTTGAAAGAGTGGCTCTGTGGGCTCCACAAATAGACCGCAGCAGTAGCGATCAGGAAACGAGTTCCAACGCTGCACCTCCGCGAATGTAGAGTTCGGATGCAGACGCTTCAGGGCGCGCGGCACATGGCCTGCGAAGGCAGGAAGTGCCACACTCATGCCCAGGTTTCGCTGGGCCGTCAAAATCTCCTGCTGGAGCAGTAGCTGAAAATGCATCCACTTCGGCTTCAAGGGTCCAGCCCATCCCCGGATGTTGCCCATGCGCTGCCATGCCTGAAAGGCAGGCCCAGCCAAATGGTCATCGATCTCCTCCTGAGTAAGTCCCATCTCTGTGTACACTTCTGTCCAAATAGCTTCCTGGACGGGAGCAATGGTCAGGCTGATGCCCATCAGGGCCATCCAATCGATGTGACGACGCCACTGCTCGAATCCCCACCACGCAAAGCTGTAGCTCCAGGTGCACACGTTCTGGTGATACATTATTGGACTGCCAGAGGTGGACTCAATGGTCACATTGGACAGCTGCAGATTTGAGGGCAGCTCAATGCGCATCTTAAACCAGTCCACATCCTTGTTAAGGACATTTTTAAGGTAGTAATGAAAGGCCTTGCAAACGCAGACGCCATCCCAGCCCGTCAGCAGAATCCTTCCATTGTCCAGCATGCTGATCTGCGCAAAAATATTCCAGTTAATAGTAAAAAACAAATAAAAATAGCACCGGAACCAACCTTAAAACTTCTTGCCGCCATTTCCTTGCTGACCGCCACCTGGAAAAGCTGTGAATATGATCGCAATCCGATCAACCTGGTGATTACTGCCCTTGCAGCCGCCTCCTGAACCTTTGCTGGAGTATTAGGCGCCAAGTGGACAGCCATCTGACGTCCCAGATCAGGACCATCATCCGCATTCAGCTTCCATTCCAATGCCTGTCCGCATTGTGGACAAAGAACCGCTAGCAAGGCCAAGGCCAGTGTGAGTGTCAGCTGCATCATCTTCGCTTCGTAGCTGTACTGCCTCTGCCATGTGTCAATGTCAACGAAACATAAATGACTGACGGACGACTGACTGACAGCACTTCCTCTCATCTCCCAATTGAGACGCTCTCGGAGATTAAGAGATAGAGATAGAGAGAATCACTAAGTGAGCGGAATGAGCGGACAATGGAAGACTCCGATGCTGGATTCACCGATTACATTCCTCTTATCACCACTGATGACGGACAATGACGCACTGAAGATCTTCATCGCGGGGTGCATTTCTATAATTAAGTACATTCTTGTACATTCCGGTTTGAAGTTTTCTTAATTTAAATCGGAAGCTAAGAAGGTTTTATGGTTTTTTAAGATTGTCATGGAGAATTCTCCAATCTCTTTTAATTAAATAAAAATAATGTAAATTTAATTCATTAAAATTTAAGTTGAAAAACATATTTATCTAATAAAGAATAAATTTACGTGAGCTTGTACATAATTTATAAAAGTTTCCTGGTTTCAGACTCATGTTATAATCACATACCCGCATTAAAACTCACTCTTCACGATTTCGTTTTGAGCTTTATTGCACATATTTTCGTCTTAGACACTAACAATAATTTCGTTTATGTATGTAAATGTAAGCAAACTTCGCTTCACATACTCACTCACGTTATGTTTATCTGACAAAAGCTCCTTGTGGCCATCGCTGTGTATACAATTCCCAACAACTTTAATAACAATTTAGGGATATATAATATATACTATAAAAAATTAGAACCTCACAGCGGACAATGCAACTCGATGCTTTCTAACATTGTTTTCAATTTCCCTTTTTTTTTTAATGGCAACAAAATACTATTTTAAAGCACGTTTGCCGACAACAAATCTACATAAATAATGCTTAAATGTATGCAGGTGATGTATATATTGGTACTTAGGACCTAAGCTTATACACTGCAATAATGTTAAAAGCCATTCGTGTTGCTCACTATTATTAATTAGCACAATAATCCAAAAACTGACTAGCTCTAAACAGCCGCTGGCAAGTATACAAAGTATAACTATAACTATATGTCCACATGCTTAAATTAAGAACTAATTAAGTACGTATTCCATGTCATATTTTGGTTTTTTGGCTGTGCTATTTCTGCTTTACTGGCTACTTAAGCAACATGACTACATATTATTGTTATTATTTCATGTGTTTATTGTTTTGGCCCTTTTGGAAAAAAACAAAAAATAAATTTGGCATTAAAATCACTCTTCTAGTCCCACTTCACCACAATCATCCTCGTACCACCCTTTGCCATCTCGATTGCAGTAAATTCGTTGTGCTCAAGACGAAATTTGGAAATTAATCCAAATGTTACGTATTCTTCAAACTATAGGTGAAACATTATAAAAACAAGCAGTTCTATGCCTCATTTAGTAGAAACTTTACTGCAATTCTGGAATTCCTAAGGGCGTATGAAACTGGGATACCTAGAACATACATGAGAAATCTTATTAGCTCCTCAGTTTTTCATTTTTTCGTTTATAAATGATATCTTAACGTATATATCATTTTTCTTGCTCCCACTTCATTATGGTAAATTCTCTGAGTGTATCTCCATATATGTAAAAATATTTAAACCTTTCTTTGGTGGATTTGCATTTATGTCTAAGGTCAAGTTAAGCTTCTTTGGAAATCAAAATGAAAAAGACCTTTTGGAAAGTTCAATTGTCAAGACATTGCCTTCTTTAAATCTTTACAAAGACTCAAGATCTATACACTTTCAGACTGCCTTTAGCTTATGAAAAGGGAAGACTACAACCTAGGTTTTTCCTCACTTCTCTTGATATATCAGAACTACATTCACAGGCGCTGTCACACCTTTACACTTTTCGTAAATTCGATGTGCTTCTTACCCTCACTCACTGATCGAGTATGCCTTCCTTATGCACTTGCTGTGTCTGGTGATCCGCAGCTCTTCGTCGTGCGCCGGATGCTGACGATGCGTTACCAGATCCGGCATCTCTGTCGATGACTTGTTCAGGGCGTAGGTGCGTATAAAGTCAATGGTGGAGTAGCCCTGTGTTCCGGTCGATTCGACTTTCTTGTTCGCCGGCGATTCTGCGGCCTCAGTACCAGCCAAGGCGCTCACACTGCTCAGGCTTTTAGATTGAATGGGCGGAGGTGGTGGCACCTCGAGCACCGCACTAGCCTCCGGGGTAACGGGTGCTGTCACAGGTGGTGCGGGCGTGGAGACCAGCGAGAGTCCGCTCCCGAAACCATTAAACGTCGCTTTGGGAGAGCCAGCCGGGGCAGCAGGACTTTTAGGTTGATCCAAATCCAGGACGATGTAGTTCACGCCACTGCTTCCAGCCAAACTAGTGGGCGTGGCCGGTTCTTGACTCGCCACGACCGGTTCCCGCGGTGGCGGCAGCGGCAGCTCCAATCGACTCACGTTCTCGTAGCAGCGTTCGTTGCTCAGATCGAAGATCAGTGCGTCCACATTGGCGTACATGTGAATGGCTTCGTTGTTGGAAGGACTCAATACAGGGGCCGGTGGCGGGGCAGACTCCTGTGGCGGCAAGTCCAATGTGCGCCTTCGCATGCTTAATCGATTACCCGACGGCGGAGTGGCTAGCAGATCCATAGCTGACTGTGCATCCTTGCAGCACTCCTGCAGAACACGTAAGGGCTGATCCGCACAGGAGTTGGGCATTAGTAGAGGGGACAGCAGGTTGGGCGGACAATCATCAAGCGGTGCATCGTTAAGTGGCAGCGGCATCGAGGCACTGGCGCTGGAGGACTCACTGTGAGAGCTGCCCAGTTGGCGACTCATTAGGGGTGCCGGCTCCAGGTAGTTGTTGCCCTGCGGATTACCCTCCGATCGGCCGCCGCCCATCATCACGGACACCGAATGGGCGGAGTTTACCCGCTCGCGCTCCACTTGCGCAAAGGCATCCGTGTTGACGGCGTTGATGTAGCGCTGAAACATGGGATACAGCTCCTCGGCATTGTGCACTCGGAAGGTGTAGATACCAGGCCCGGACATGCACCTACGACCCGCCTCGAAGGAGAAGAGGTCGCCATTTAAGCCATATCGGCGCAAATGCTGTAGGGCCCACACAATCGGCTCGCAGCCGGGCGTCTGGAAGATTAGTTCACGCGGCGTCAGCTCCAGGTAGCCACTGCGAATGACGGGAGTGCCAGGAGTGGGCTGCAGATGGGCCACCCGCACGCGAAACACATTCTCATGGCCGCGCAGCTCGTTCAGCTTGCTGGTGCTGGTGATGCACCCCATGTTGCCGAGTCCGAGTCTGAGTGCTCCCTGAAATGACTGTGCTATAATCCACATTGAGAAGTGTGTCTAAGTGTGCAATACCTACCTGGACGGGCAGATCCGCCTCGCTCTTATCGCAGTGGGGAGCATGGGGAGCCTAAGCAGGCCGATAAGAACACCGCCCAACACCGCCCACTGGCAGCGCCCAAAGCAGCTGCTATCCACACACTGATTCTGGCTCAATCCTCACCTGTCGTTTTCCTGACCACTGTCTTCGCCTCAGGACATATGCTTGTGCTCTTGTTCTTATTTTATAATGTAGAGACACTGTTATTTACACTAGAAAATAACAAAACAAGCACAAAATTGTTTAAAACTGGAGGCGCAATGGGCTTTACTCGGCCGTAAAAAGTAGTTAATTGCACTTTTCGCGGCCACCACTTACATAACGGCAGTTGCACATCCATAGTCGTGCCTTTTCAACAACTTTCAATTTGTAATTTCACTTAAAACATAACTTTTAACACTTTTTCTGCGGAACTATGCATTCATCAACTCATTTTATTTTTCTACTTCTTATTCTGAGGTGTGACCAGAGCGGAAACACTAAATATACAACACGGAAAATTTATCGATAACTCTGGCAGCACAAGGCGTTATTAAGGGATTTTTGAGCGCGCCACAAACCATTTTTGGAGTATCCAAATATATTTGCCCAGTAGATTTCAAAGTTGACCCTGTGTCAGATGAAACTGCACCCATATCCAAGGGTTTGCACTTTTGCAAGGAACGTGGAATTGGTAAAAACGTATTAATCGAATGTTCTATGGAAAATACGGCAGCGCCAAATGTGTTTTGCTTGGCAGTGTGCCCAGCATTTTTTGACGCGTAATCCCAAAGGTTGTTTTTAGGGTATTATTGCCGCAATACAAGCGGTCACACCCCGAGCGGACATTTTTTATGCGCGCAACAAGAACGAGAAACCGAAACGGAAAGGCAAAAGAGCTACTGGCAGTGTATCGCAAAGAATCGCAAAGCAAAGAAAGAGCCAAGTGCGTGTGTTTTTAAACCGAACAAATTCGAGCCAGGTAAATTGCACTCTATGTCATAAGATGGGCGAACAATGCAGACGTACATTTAAAAACTAAAATGAAATAAAGCCAAGCCAAGCAGACTGCTTGTGTCTGTGCCTTTGTGTGAGTGTGTGTGTGTGCGTGAGTGGTGCTACTTTTGAAATTCTCTATACCCGCTCTGTACTTCGCGTCTGTTTCAAGGAAGGAATTGTGTCTAAACTTAAATGAAAAAGGAAGCTGGGATGCTGAGAGAGGTTTAGTGGCTGGGCTTAACAAATGTGGTAAATGCAGGATTTAATTACAAGTGCGGTGGACGCCGCCGCCGCCAACGCACACAGGCAAGCAGGAAAAAGGACGCCATGCTCGTCGGCTTGGTATGCGTGAGCGGAGAAAGACGAGGGCACAGAGACAAAAGAGGAGCGGAGTGATCCTCAAAGTGTATAAAAATTACTAACTCAGAGCCCTCTTTGTTCAAGCATTTACCGTACCCTGCCTTAGCCGGCATAATGCCGAATTTCGCCACTTTTGAGTTGCCTTTTTCACAATTTTTGGGTGTGCCGCCTTCAATGCGTCGGCGTTGCCACCACGTCGGCGTCCGCAGCAGCAGCGCAGGCAGCGCCGCCGGCAGAGACAACACCATGCCGGTGTGGCTTTGTATCCGTTTGGCTCGCCTCGTTCTCTCCAGCTCAGCCGCCCGCTCTCGCATACACTCTCTTTGTCTCTCTCTGTCTGTCTTTGCGTGTCTCCTGCCTCCTGTTCTTCGTCAGTCCTGTGTGCGCTTTGTGCCGTCGCTTCGCTTCGCCTTGACTTCATCATAGTCGTTGTCTCTTCTTTGTTTGCATTGTAAGCCCCGATACACTTGCCAACATGTTTCTCGGCCTGACATCCTTGGGCAAGGTGCAATGCGGCGAGGCCTCACTGTGTCCTACGCACACCCATGAACCAAATACTAGTGCTGTTGTTTATGTGCATCTGCCTGGCTGCCTGCTCTTCCCCTTTTGCGTTCCCGATTCCACTGGCAGAGAGATTATCGCTGGCGAGGATCGTCTTTTCTGTTTTTGTTGTTGTTCCCTACACTTTTGTTACGAAAAATTGCGTCGCATTTTTTGCAGCGTCCGCTTGCCAGTTCGCCAGTCACTCAATCGTTCAATCGCTCAATCGCAGACGGGGAGACAGCCACCGCCCTAACTGGCGTCGTCGCCTACATGCCTTTGTATGGGTATGTACTTGCAGCCCAGTCCCATCGGTGATTGTGCGAGTGCGTGTGTATGTCGTGGCGCTTGCATGTGTGTGGGTCCTTCACCGTCGGAGTGGGTGGAAAGCAAGAAGCAGAGGCAGAGAGGAGAAGATTTTTGATTGTCGCTGCAATTTAGCTAAGGGATTTTATTATTACATTAACTTTGTACCTGGAAAGGACAGAACTCACAAGGTCCTTAAGAGCGAAGGCCACCATTTGATTTAAAAAAAAAAAAAAAAAAACTTATAAAGCAGTGTGAGAATAATTTCCACAATGAATACATAAAAGATGTATCCTTAAATTGTAAATAATGCTTGGTATATTATAATATTTCAAGAAAAATTGTAACCAGAATCATCATCAAATTCCGTGTATTTTTATAGAACCATACACCATACACAAAATTCCTTTCAGATTGAACTTTTCTGTCATATTTTCAATCAATCCGATTAGGTAAACAATTTATTTATTTTAGGGGAGTAGTTGAATGCGATATGGCAGTTTTGAATGTATCTTGAGAATTCTTTAAAGGCAAAGGCGGGCTTCCCTTGAAGTCGACTCGGATTACGGGTACATATTTGCTTGCCGCTCACTGAGGACGAATATATAATGCCTTTGTCGTTGTTGTCACTATTGGTGAATTTCGTCAACGTTTGCTTAAACGCAAATAAACATTGCATTGTGCCGTAGAGGGTTGTGAATTATTGCCAAGTGCGAATTGCGGTTAACTTGCAAAGCTCGATCCCACAATTGGCCTTAAAGTTTGCGCTTATATTTATAGAACATATATAGAGAATAGGGATTAGTCAGAAACCCTCAGAGTATTTAAATTATGACTCATTTATTGTTAAAAATTGAATTAAAATACACAAAATAATTGAAGATTCTTTCGGAGGATAAGATCTGAACCAAAGAAATGTTATACTAACTTTATAAAATAAATCCATAAAATACTTGGCTGAAAGTTCGGCTTTAACTCTAATAATAACTATTAGACCTCATCAATGTTGATAAAAACTACTCCTTAATGGAATAAATATTTTCTTATAGCAGTTATTATTTGAAATCCGATAGATGCCTGGGTCTATATCCCAGAATGAAACTAAATCGCATGGTCTTCGAAGATATCGTGTGACTTTTGGGGTATAGAAACGGAAGCGGTAACGGGATTTAAAGTCGAAAAAGGAGGTCTGGCACAGCATTTGTATTTTGTTGTTGTGGTGGAACACATGTGGGCTCAAAGTCCGAAGCTCAATTGGGGAACCGAGCGTTCAGTAAGCCAGAGTGTTGAAAAGCCCCATGTCACCGATGATGATGATGATGATATTGTATATACAAAACACGTCAGCGGGGAAAAGCGGGCGAATTTCTCGTTTAATATGCAAACATCTGTGCGGAAGATGTTGAGGAAAATGCTCCACAGATTGAGCAGATTTTCCCCGTACGCGTTGTGTTTTCCTTTTTAAAATTGAAACTCGCTGGAAGAGAAGAGAGCAGGCCCCAATTTCACATTCCCTCGACCACTTGAAGCCACTTATTGGCCCAGGAATTTGGTTCAGGCAAACACACAAACATAATTGCTGGTGTGCACATTATTTGTGCTATTGTTTTACGAGGCATTTGGCATGCCGAATGGGCATTGTATTAATGCCAAATCAACAGAAATGTGGCAAATAGAAAAATATGCGGAATGGTATCGTCCACAGAACAAAAAAATCAATCGCAGTAGTGAAGCAGCAAAAATAAACAAATTGAATTGATGATAAGCGGCAAACCGATCTCCGATTTGCCATCTCCAATCCGATCCGATCCGATCTGATCTTTTTGCAATACAATATATAACAATAACACATCACAGCACCCCGTCCCCATCCGCTGGAGAATTTTATTTAAATTTAAAGCTTCTTCTGGCAGCGTTCAATTTCGTCGTTGCGGTTTTCTGTTTTTCTTCTCAGGCGCCTGCCTTTGCTGCTGCTGCTGCTGCTGCTGCTGCTTTGCTCTGTGCTTATCAATGCCTCAATTTGTTCCCATGTCTTTGTGAGGCGTCCGCAGGTACAGTGATCACACTCAAAAGAGACTTTACAATGTTGCTATCAGTTTATCGTATTGATTACGAATTTAGAAAATATTTGAGTGTTGAAAATTGGTATTTTTTTGGTTTTATGAAAACTAAAGCGGTGTCTGAGTTGAATATATTTTATATCTATTGGAATGGTCACTATAACTTGGTCTGTGAAATGTTTATTTTTGACCTTTGTACACTGAAAATTCTATTAGCCCAGATAGCATTCTATATTGTGGAAATAAATTACTTCAGTGGATATTATAATATCATTCGAGGGCTTGTAAGGCAACCAAGAAGACCCTTTTGACCTTTCAAAGGATATACAATTTAAAAATCCATAACATGCTTCTTAATCCTAACCAAATTCCATAGTTTCTTGTTAATAATTGGTATCAAACTAGATTCCTCTTTAATTATTAATATAACCATTTGACACAATTTGCATCGGAGCAAGTCTAATTAATTATAGAAATTAACTGCCTATAAATCCGTGGAAGTATTTTCCAACTGAAGGGCAAGTTGAATCCATTTTTTTTATGAGAACTGCATCTATTAGAAGGAGCAGAGTTCCATTAACCTCGGGACCACAGCAGCGATTTATCTTGAATTGGAGTGGCGTAGATTGAAGTGGAGTAGTGGTGGCATTACAAGTACCGCTATATATGGCAGAGTCTTTGGTGCACAATTACTTTCCCATCCAAGGGCGATAATTAAATAACAATACAAGAAATCCGTTCAATATTACACCATAAAAGCGGGGCTAAATATTTCGGTGATTCTTCACGCCTTCTTTCATTCTTTCTTTCTTTGTCCCCCCGTGCATGTGTTTGTGCATTATGTGTGCATATTGTTTATTCCCCCCGCTGCTTCTGCTTCTGTTTCTGTTGCTGTTGCATGTGGGGTCATTGTGTGAATGGCAGCAAAATAAAGCAATAAAGCATACGCATCGACGCCGCCAAGGCTCATTAGTTTGTTATTGACTAAGGCATGGAGCTGAAGATGAGGAGGAGAGCCAGGCAGGAGCCCGCCTTTATCGGTAGCTGATGATGATGATGATGATGGCGGTGACTGTGTGTGCATGTGTGTGTAATGTCTTTGCCCGCCCGCATTTCTTTGCTTCATTCCCTGCTCCGGGTTCGGCTTCTGCTTCTGCTTCTGACTCCCCTGCTTCCGGCTGACGTCGCCGTCGCAGTCGCAGTCGGAGTCACTGCTTCTGCCTGCGCCAGCTGCGAGAGAAGTTTCTGCTGCCATTGAATTGATCGAGCCACTCTCTCTCAGTCACTGTTGTTTGTTCGCTTGACTTTAACGGTTCGTCGGGGATTATCACTCCATCCTGCAGAAGGCAAAACAAAATAAAATCAAAGTAATCGATCGAGGCGCGAGTGCTAAACGGTTAAATTACTCTTACCAGATATTCACACTTCGTTAAGTGTCACCCAGTTAAGAGAGGACAACAAAGAGGGACCACGACCACCCGCGGCTGGCAGAAAGAGTAAGTACCGGAAATGGAGGAAAAAGCTAGAAAGGAGAGAGGAGTCATCGAAGTCTAATGAATAATGTATAAAAGAGCCGCGCTTACCGCAGCCACACTCCAAAGTATCCACTGTGAATTTCTAATCAGAATAGCACTCAATCGCTCACAACTCCACGCTCCTCGTTTGCTGAAAACAAATGCTAATTCCAAAGGCGACCGACTAATTGGCCACGCTACCTTACTTGTTGTTCTTACTACTTTTTAATACACAACTTACAACTGTCGCACGCCTCTCTCCCAGTTTTAATTAACCGCAACGATGGAGAGAGTCAGCCCAGAGAGTCAGAGAGAAAGAGAGAGTTGGAGTACAAGAACTGGTTTAGTGCTCTTGCTTCTTGCTCCTGCTGTTTTGTTGTTCTTGTTGCTGTTTTACTTTGTGTTCGTTTTATCCTTTTTCAACTGAGCCAAGAAGAAGGCGAGAAAAGAGAAGACGAAGAGGAGGAGGAGGAGAAGGAAGAACATGCGTGGGCTGGCGACAAATTTATTGGCACTTATTCGCTCTCCCCTATTTCGCCTTCTGTCCCCTTCTAGCATATGGGGGGAAAAGGAAGCCCAAGCTTTGAATATTTAAATATTTATTGTAATTATTTTCAACGCCGGCCCACAGCTTGGAGAGTTTGATTTAAGTGCGCGCGCTCTTTGATGCCCCTTAAGCGTTGTGTTCCCAGGGTATGATGTGTTGGTTAGCAATGGGAAAATTGAAATTCGTAGAGATAACCTCAGTTTAGGGCAGTTATTTAAGTCAGCTCTGAAGTATTGTATTAACTTTTAACTGTTAATCTTAAGAAGTTTAAGATTTTTCTGATTTGAAAATATCTCTCATTAATAGGTCTTTTAAAAACAAACAGAAAGTCGGAAATGCAGACACAAAATATACTTAGATAGAGCTTATCTCATTCCTAATTTTGTGACCATCTTCACCAATCTTTCATTGTTATCTTAAACGAGAAATTGTCACGATTAGATAAGTCTTTCACTTAAAAAAGCTAAAACACATTTATCTTTTAATTTAAACGCTGTCACGATAAGGCGGGTCTTTGCTGATTTTCAAAACTAAATCTTATATCTTTCTCTTTAGCTAAATTGTTAAAAGCATCGATGGGCATGCAGTGTGGCTGATTTAAGATAAAATCTTCAAGTGAAGAATGAAATATGTTATGGAATACCTATGCTGACTGGTAGAAACAAAATTGTTGCGTATGGAACTTGGCATTACACATTGTTAAAATATTTTCGAGTGCTAGTACTACACAAATACACACACACAGGCAGGCATTTGCCATTCGAGAATTTGCGCCTTGCTAAAAGAAGTTGGCATAACACAGATATTCGTACATAAATGTAAATACAAATACGCACATACAAAGACATATTGGACGTTCTCAACGAGCTCATAAAATTTAACGATTCTTGCTGATGATTTTATGCGTTTTGGGCCTCATTATATTTTATACATGTGTGTGGTTCTTCATCGTCTTCGTGTTCGTCTTGTGTCTGTTTTGATAGTTTTTGAATGGCAGGCCAAGAGGAAGAAGTTCATTTCAAGTGCGTCTAATTTTACGATCGATGCCCCATACACTAGACCACTCGTACATACTCATATCTATGTGTGTTGGTTTGCCAAGTACTCGAGTATCTTGAAGATATGATAAAAACCGGCTAGATAAGCCGGTATCTGTGCTGTATCTACACCCATCTGCTGTCAGGCAGTAAGAAAAAACTAGACTGAGGCACGTCTTATGTACACTGTATTTTCTGCAGCGACTGCCACTTTTTTGTGGGGCAGGTAATGTTTGGCCAAGATCAACCGAATATCTGTAAGATCAGCGTCCGCCCAAACATGCTTAGTACTTGCCATGGAGAATACATATATATGTAGGTTTAATTAAAACTCTCACTATCACGTAGCAGCAGGCACCCACTATTATTTCTGGCTGATCGGGTGAAGAACCAACGACATTCCTCTGAATCACTTGCTGATACGGATACGTTCTTTGTTTCCCACAATTGCATTTATCAATTGGGTAAGCTTGTTCCTGTTGGCCCCTCCCCATGCCATACAGTCTTTCTCCTTGACGAAAATAACATGATTTCCTCTTCTAGTATTATCATTGTCGTTATATTAACACTTTATGATATGGTGATATATACAAGGTTCTATATGTACCGTTAACAATGAATCTCTCTTTATTTTTGGCCATGTGAGTGTATCCATATCAAAGGGGATTGAATTGTATAGATGGACAATGGTTGTTTGGGTCGGCTTGTCCGGAATTGACCGGAAATGATAATTGAAAAAAATATTTTCTCTTTCTTTGGGTCTTGTCAACCATCGAGAATGTGCGTGTGCCAGTGTGTGGGTACGCTGGCTACTAATTATGGAATGCATTCATTTTACATATCGTATCATTTTCACATGGCACACACATAGCAACAACAATTATATCCGGTGGTCACTTGAGACATGTTTCTTCTCCTTCCCCATTTTGTTCTCTTCGCTTAGATTTCTTCAAAGGTTCTTTGTTTTTGTGGTGGATTTCTCTAAATTTAAACGGTGTTTAGGAAAGCCACTACAGTTAGTCATGACTTGGTTACATGCTGAGTACTCTATTGGGCATTATTTTTAGCTTGATTAGAATTTGCGACTTAATAGATTGTTAATTTGATTAGCAGCATGCTAAAGCTATTTATTTCGTCTGAATTTGTATGAGTAATAGTATTTTTAGAATTTTATGGGATTGATTTACATATTGAACTGATTAGGTGATTAAAATAATGACCTGGAAATCTGACTCTCCTGTCTGGCATGTTCTGTAGAGGTTTTTTAAAAGGGGGAATATATTAATGATTAATCAGTCTAATATTACGCATCTTTTTTCTTCGAAATTTTTCTTACGGTATATTATAGTACATACAATATATTATACTATATTCTATATAGTTACTATTACAGTAAGATTATTATTAGAAAAGTTTTTATTGTGAGTGGGTTAAAAAAAGGAAACAATCAAAATGGTCAGTTAGTTTTTTGCAATTTTATTCATTTCGCACGCTTTTGGGAATCATATTCCCTTTATTTATTTTGGTTTGAGATTGCCCATAAGATTGTATAGAAGGAACGTTGCATCCCAGGGGTTTTATTTTTGCGTGGGGGCTCGATAAAAAGAATGTTTCTTGATGACAATTAATGTGGACTGCGACTGCCGGCTGCACAATGTGCACACATACACATATGTACATACATATATACCCTCAATAAAGCCAACTGCGGCGTCTGATTGCGGGTTTAGGCGTGGCTTATCAGCCGGACAACAACAGAGCAGAGCAGCAAAGAGAAGTGCACTCTGCTTTCTTATTCCTCCGTCGTCCGTCGTCCATCGTCCATCGTCTTATTGTTCTCCCACTCGTACTTACGCACACTTGAGCCTGATTGAGGAAAACTTTCCACTCAATTGCGAGGAGAGGATGGCTTTCTAGATGGATGGAATGGATAGTTGGATGCTTGGACGTCAGATGGACGTGTGAGCGATGCCATTAACGATCCCGCCTTGATTAGTTTATAAAAGTTCAATTGAGACTCGGTGCGCATGCACTCTTTCTCTCCGTTGTCCCTGCAACTGCAAAATGGTGAAACTTTTCAATTTTAATTGCACAACAATGTATATGGACATGCCACTGCCACCGATCTTGGTGGGATTGGAATGGGAATGGGAATGGGAAATTGGAATCGAGATGGATACGAGTCGTATGAAATGGAATGCTCTGCGCCTGCGCTTTAACAAGCAAACGCACACACACACACACATATAGAGAAATTAATGTTTGACCGGCCGGCTAGACATTCAGACATTTGGACAGTCATTCAGCCGGCACATTCCAGCACAATCAATTTAATTTACGTATCAAAGCGTCTCATCTCCATCTCTCTCTCTGAGAGAAGGAGAGGGTCTCTCTGTTAGGTGGAGAGCTTCAGAGAAAGAGATATATATTTAGCTAGTTTTATGGACGAGATCCTAAAACTTTAGCTAAAATCCTAGCTTATTAATCGCTGATTATAAAAGTCCTTTATCCTATTTAATTGATTGCTAAACATTCTATAAAAGACAGAAGCTGGGTATTTTCATTTGTTTATAGATTTATTTTTTGGGTAGCCTTAGGTTTTTTGGGTTACTTTTCTCCTTGCAGCTTGCACTTTAAAAACTTGAGTGATTTAGCTTGTTTGTTTTGTTGTTTTTTTCGACATCTCTTCTGGGAGGGAGCAGCAAAGTGATACACAACAGCTTGAAGTGTCAAAATTGATGGGTGGCAGCAGAGCGGTGGGGGGGGATGAATTGAAGCTCACACACTCCTCCCAGGGCAGCGCCGCCTCTTTGTGTTGTGAAGCGACACTGTTGTTGTTATTGGTGTAGCTGCTGCTGCTTCTTTTTCCGAACACTCCATTGTTGATAAATGCGCTTTTATTTATAGACTGCGGCTGCTGTTTTGTGCGCTCTGTGAGCTCTGCTCTGCCGCCTTCCTTTGTCCAACCAGCAACCAAACCAATTGCAAGGGAATCCAGAGGGGATGTGGTGGGGAGGGGAGGGCGTCAATGAGGGGAATGCGTGTGAAAGCGGCGGGCGCACATGTCAAAAGTCGTGTCCAAATTGAATTAAACTAATAAAAAAGGCAAGACACAAAGGCCCCGAAAACTGTCGTCGTTGTCGTCCATTAAGTAATTTTCATAGATTACAAATTTCGATTGTACGAACCACATTGCATTGAGACTCTCTCTCTCTTTCCCCTGTATTCAATTTGGGAAACAAAGATACTGTCGATCTCTTGTCTTTGTAGAGAAACGTCTTTTTTATACCCTTTCAGGGTTTTATAATTTTAGTTAGAAGCTTGTATAAGTCATATACATATATTCCATCTGGCAGAAAAAACAAATCTCCAACGATTTCTTTTCATGGAAAAGCTCCTAGCTTTCGCAATAAAACCTAAGTAATTATACCACAATTATAAATAATTATATTCCATAATGCAATGCTGTTAAAATTAAACTGTTTCGACTTTGGGGGGAAGCCAAGACCATTGAGGTTATGGTAATTTAAGCAATAAAGTTTAAAGTTGAGGGGGAAGTTCGTGCCGCATCCATATGCAATTTTGGACCGCACTCAATTATTTTCGCACGTCCCACAGCAACGGTAAATAGTAGGGGGAGGAGAAGGAGGAGGAGTGGGAGGAGGGTGGTAAAAGGGGAGAACTAAAGAGAGAGCAAGAGCGACATCTGTTGTTGCTAGGTCGCCATGGCTACCAACTTGCATTGACCAGCGACCGAGACCCGTTAATGTTATTGTTGTTAAAGTTGTACTTTGCCGAGTGCCGGCAACCCTCCTCTCTAACACGGGCTCTCTCCTCCTTTCTCTTCCTCTCTAACACGCTCTCTCTATTCCTTTCTCTTCCTCTCTTTGGCTCTCACGATGTCCTTTTTCCTTGATGCGTCATGCGCGCCAGTTTACTTACGCTTTTATGTTATTACGCTTGCCAGCACACTTACACACGCTTACGAGGGTTGAGACGGCATATTTCGGCAATTACTCATCCAGTTTTTTTTTGTTATTTTTGGATAGGCCAGGAATTAATAGTCTCTTTCACTTTGGCGGCAAGCATCTCCGTTATCACTCCGATCGAAGTACATAACCAAAGAAGAGCTTCATTTACCCGGTATTGTATTGTATTTTATGGAATGGAATGAAAATGGTGTTGTATTAATTGCCGGCAAGGAGTTCGTTGACCTCTCGAGCGTCTTGAAACCCGATGTCTTGTCTCGTTACGTATTTAAATTGATATTACTTGGGCCGAGTGTGTGTGCACGAGACCGTTGGTGTACTAGTGTGTGTTCTGTGTGAGAGTTCAGTGCAAAAACTTAAAGCTTTTATTTCTAATTGGAAACCTTATCATTTTAGGGCGGTTTTGTTTATATTTCATTAACAGGGAGTGTGTGTTCGCTCGTAATTCTCCAGTTTTAGGTCGAGATATAATTATATATATTGAGTTTATTTTTTGATTTGTAATTCTATATAAAGGTATACAGCTTTTAGGGTGAAAATTTGTATTATTTAAGGGCGTTATTGATTAATGTTTATTTTATAGGGTGTGTGCGTCATTCTTTTTATATTTAGGTCGACAATTTATTGGTTAGGAATGAAAAGGTATTGACACAAGGTTGAGTAATAATATATAATTTAAAATATAAATCACCGTATAGAATCTTATCGGAAATCGAGCATACCTTAGCTTATTTCGATATTTTTAACTTAAAATTTTTTCGACCACTTTCAAAGTTTAAGAAACGCAGTCAAAAAAACACATTAAATTCAATTTGTAAGCTTTCCTATGTTTGGTTTTATTGGGTTAACCAATTTGCATACTTAATTTAAAATTTAAAGAAATTTAAATTTTAAAAATTTTTGAAAATTTTATAAAAGTTTCAACCTTTTGAAAAAAATTAAATTTTGTCCGTTCATGGCTAGATCGATTCGGCTATTGATGCTGATCAAGAATTTATAGGGTCGGAAATGACTACTTCCCTTTGTTTCAAGATTCTGACAAAAATATGAATTCCCCTTTTTATCTAATGGTTTGTAAATTATATCCATTTAACGACAGGTCTCTGTTAGGATATTAAAAAGACCAGTGATTACTTGAGCAATGATATATTACCTAAAATAGCAATCACTTTCATTTTCCTGCTATAAGTATTTCGTTATCATTTATATGAATCGTATTACTCAATTATCAAAAAGATAACCCTGTAATCACTATGATTCAAAAGACTTCTATGAATCGTCAATATATCAGCTTTTAAATTTCCATCAATGCATTGCTTCCTGTCCAGGCTTTGACTCATTCCTATGCTAGCTTTGTATATATCTGGTCAGCTACAATAAATTGGAGGTAATGATGACTCACTGATGGATTCCCGGAGAAGACTCGGGTGCACAGATGGCAAGAGCACGCACCACGTGCCCATAGTGCGTGTGTGGGTGATACTAGATATATGTAGGGGGCAATGGGAGGCTGTTGATTCACCGGGTTTAGATAAAGCATTTTGGAACAGCTGCTTTTCAGCCCTTGTTTGTTGTATGTATGCTGTGTGTGTGTGTGTGTTGCCGCCATTTTTTAGCTGCCTAGCGTAAACCGGCAATTAAAGCCACACACACACACATCCTTGCCATCATTTACAACCCCTAAAAAATGCAAAAACTTTTTGTGCAACTCAAACTCTCACCTCACCTCTCACCTCCTCGAAATTCCCGCTCTTTGCTACGGTTTCTGTTTCATTCGGTTTGCAAAAAATGTTGTGTGTAATTCGATTTTCTTCAAAATGACGCATTGCATGCACGCTAAGGGCAGCCCAGCCCCATTTTACATTTCTCCTTAGTTGAGCGGTGCGGTGTCTGTTTCGTTGTTTCATATATGTACATATATGAACAACTTCCCAGTAAAAAAATGAACAGAACAGAAACGACGTTCAAGTGTCGATGATTCATGGGAGGCGCCTGGAACCGTAAGTGATTATTGCCACCGCCTGGCTGGTGGGTTTTGGTAGTCACAGTGCTCACTGGGTAATCGGAGACGACGCTAGTTAGTGTTTTCTAGAATTAATAAAAGATAAAGATCTGTAAGGAGTCTTTATTTATACTACTGGATAAAATATTCTTACCATTCTATGGATTTTGCTGTGTTTTTGTGTATATTCTTAAATCTGTTTCAAGATTTGTAACTCTTTTATAGTTTATTAATGATTCAGGCCAGTCCACTTAGTTCTGGGAAACCTGCAAGCCCTGCTTCATAATGTCACGAAATAACTCATTTATAAACCCTTTAAAAACAACATAGAATAAGTTTAAACTTTAATAATTTCCTTCCTAATAAGATGGCTAATTTAGTAATGAGGTCTTGTGGGAATTGAAAGATCGTGTGACTAAGTGAAAATGTCAAATGCAAAAATAGGAAATACGCATGCTAAAAATATACTACTGCGTCGTTTTGCACTTGTGCCATTCCCTCCTGCATTTAACTAAACAAAGCATTGTCACTACCTTACACTTGCAGATTACACTAGCGACCAACAAAAGAGGATCAGCAGAAAAATAAAATGGGTAAAACTCAGAGCAAGCGTTCAATTGACATCACCACCGACCCCAAGAAGGTGGCAGAGACCGATGAGGTGGCCGGCAAGGTGGAGAAGATCGATGTTGATCAAAAGGCAGAAGCACCAGCGGCGGTGAATGGAGATGCGCCCACACCGAAAGAGGGTGGTGCAGATGGAGAAGTAGCAGCGGGAGCTGCAGGAGAGGTAAGTCTAGTAATGAATTCACGGTTTTTTTTTTGAAAACCTAATATTTTATATTTACCCAAAACAGAAAAAGGAAACCGAGGAGAACTCTGAAAACGACAAAGATCTGACCACCGAAAAGAATGCTGCAGCCGCTGAGGGTGGTGGCGATGCTGCTGCAGCAGCTGAGACATCGAAGGGCGAGGAGGGCTCCCCAAGGAGGCGGCGGCTGGCGAGGATATCACTCCGCTTGCCGACGAGAGCATCAAGTCCAAGTCCAAGAAGGACAAGGTAAAAAAGAAGTGGTCCTTCCGCAGCATCTCCTTTGGCAAGAAGGACAAACAGAAGCCGGCTAAGTCAGAGGAAGCTGTATCACCCACCTCTGCCACAACGTCGCCCACGGCGGCCGAGGCAGCCGCTGCTCCGGCTGCGGATGCTGCTGCTCCAGCCGAGCCAGCGGCCACCACGAACGGTGAGGCCGAAAAGCCAGCCGAGGTAATTATTCTGCGATATATAATTAATGAAATTGATACATAATATAATGGTTATTCTCTGTTTTAGACTGCCAGCGCAGCTACCAGCACGACGGCTGCCAAGGAGGAGGTTAAACCAGCTGAGAATGGTTCTGCGAGTGAGCAGGAGAAACAGGCTAATGGTGAAGCTGAGAAGGCGGCGCCTGTGCCAGCACCAGCTCCAGTTGAGGAAGCGGCACAGCCCAAGCCCGTTGAGGAAGCCACTGTCACTGCCACCGAAGAAGTCGTTGCCGTTAAGGAGATTCAGCAGCCAGAGCAGGAAAAGGTTGTGGTGACCAATGGACATGGAGCCGCTGATGGAGAGGCGCTTACTAATGGATCTAGCAATGGATTGGCCGAATCCCCAGTGGCCGAGACAGCACCACCAGCAGCTGACAACATTCCAAGCAACGTTGATGACGAGCAGCCGCATCAGAATGGCACCAATGGCACTGCCACGCCACCACCCACTCCCGTCGCCGTTGAGGCCGAAAAGGGACAGCAAATTGAGGTAAAGCACACAAGTACAGACAGCACCAGCAAAAACTACACTGTAAATACAACAACAACAAAAACAACAACCGAAATCACAGAGAACACTGCACACAGAACAATAACAACAACAGAATTAACAGAAAGAACATGCACAAGCACCAAGACAGAAGCGACCGTTGCAGCAGCCGCAGAGTTAGTTCAGACCCAAACAATCCTAACCAAAACAACAAACACGATCCTTCCCACCTCCCAAACGCAGGCACCAGAGACCACTACCACCACCGTCACCAGCAGCAGCAGCAGCAGCCAAGCGGAGGAGGAAGTTGTGGCGGCGATCATTCAAGCGGTTAGCAGCGAGGTTGAAGCTGAAACGGAGGCCGAGACCGAGACCGAGGCTGAGGGCTTTGTGGTTGTTCCTTCCGTGTCCGAGGCCGAAGTCGAGGTCCCTGTTTCCACTGTCCCTGTTGCCGTTGCCCTAGCCGAGCCCGAGTCTGTAGCCGAACTAGATGTTGTACCCAATATTGAAACAGAGAATGTAGCCGAACTTCCTGAGCCTGTGGAGATTAGGAGCAGCAGTCCACCTCCATTGCCCAAATCCCCGCCACCATCCCGTGTCTCCGCCTTTGTTCTCTCCGAAGAAGATGTTATCGAGGACCAGGAACCAGTCAAGTCAAATAATGAAGAGCAGCGCGACGAGATTGAGCAGCAAGCCATTAGTATTGTGGCTGAGATCACACAGCAGGCGGCCGAAATTGTTACTGAGAAGGAGAAACTGATCGAAGAAGAGGCGGAGGAGGAGTCCATCCCTGAAGCGCCGCAAGAAACCATCTTCACAGTTGTAGAGGAAATTACTTTGAATGTTGGCAATGAAGATGCACCTACCACTCAGGCTGCGTTCGAAGAGCCAATTTCAGCAGTTGTTCCCTCCTCAAGCGATGCGGAGGAATCTGTCATAGTCTCTGCTCCCATTGATCCCGCGGACGTTGAGGATATTGCAGTTGCTCCTGTCGTTGATGAGGAAACTATTGCGGTGCAAGAGGAAGTTGCCAGCGAGGAAACAAAGAGCTTCACTGAAGAACAGATTCAAGATGAACAGACGCAAGTTGATAAAGAAGTGGTAGACATCGTTGAGGATAAGGAAGAAACCAAACCAGAAGAAGAGAAGAAGGAGGAGGAGCAAAAGCAGGAAACCAATATCGAGGATACGCATAGCGAGAACGAGAACGAAACCGAAAGCGACGTAGTCGGAAACATCATTAGCGAACATCTGGCGGAACCGATCATCAAGGCGGGCGAAGGAGAGCTGCTGACCGATTTGGATGTGAGTTCCACGGAAGCGCTGGCGGGCGAGAGCAGCAACAAGGTGAATAATATCAACTGGCAGTGAGTCTGCACCATCATCCTCAACAATAAACACCTCGACAAGCCAACCAACCACACACAACTGTTGCCATTGTATTGCATCTGCCGCTCTCCACTTGGTGTGGGTGGGGCATGGGATTTGGTCTTGTCCTGGGGGTGTGCTTTTCCTGCTTTCTCAACTCCTCCACTGTGCGTGTGTGTGTGTGTGCGTGTGTGTTGCATCAGTTGTTGTGCGCTCTTTTTGTAGTTAATTCCGTAGTTCGTTTAGTATTTTTGATCTTGAGTGATAGATTTGCTGAGGATCAATTGCATGAGACTCTATTTTGGTGATGTATAATATGCGAATGATGTACGTTCTACTACTACTAAACTCTCCGAGAGGATAAGCGACTGCATTTTGGTGTAAATTAACAAACAACAACAACAAACACAAATCCATACACAAAAACACACGCTAAATCATCCCGAACACCACTTACACACAACACAACACAACACGCACACAAAACGAAACAAACACGAAACCATCTTAACGCTCTGTTCTAACAAAAAAATAATGTATACCTGTATGGCTGCCGTAACTCTTGCGCTCTCACTAAAAAAAAAATCCAATTAAAGACCATAAAACTACACAACAACTGTACCTAAATGTTCACCACACACCATTCACTACACCACAAATCGCTTAATATTATTTAATTACATTTACATTACTTTTTTGGCATAATAACATTTTTGGATTGTTTTATTTTCGTCGCGTCCTTAATTTTTGGATTATTTATTTTCCTAATTGTTGTTGTTGTGCTTTCAGTTGCTCCATTCCTTTTGCATACTACACTCAAGAAACTGTTTGCTTAGTTTTATTGTATATTAATATGTCTTAAATCTTTATCCACAGGTGGATCTCGCCAAGGATCTGAAGGAGAAGAATGCCGCGGCAGATGTTACAACACAGGAACAGCAACTGCCCGTTACATGCGAATAATCCTACTCATAATTATTATATATAATATTACATATTATTAAAAACAAAACAACAAGAAACAAACAAAAGAACGCAACGTAAAAAAACAATTACAAGATAAACGAGATATATAAAAACAACAACAAAAACAAGAAAACGAAAAACAAAAAAAAACAAGTAAAAATACATTTTTTAACATTTACATATTTTAAATAATTTTTGTACGAACTTCATATCCCTAATCCAAGATGATATACATACAACTCGCGAGCAAAAGCAACATCCACACGATCCACACCATCTATCCATCCATCCACGAAGCCGTGGCGTAGCTCTGAATTCCAGAGAACGGTGGGGAATCCCCCTCCGTTACAGTGTTCCCGTCACCACACACACTCACACACATACACACACATCCACACAACCAACACACATGCGCATTACATACCATTTCTCATATTGATGATCTTTGATAGAAACGAAACAAAAAAGAAATCAACAAATCATATATACGATGAACTGCTGATGAAAAACTGATGAGAATTTTTTGAATAATTTCTACTATACATTTAACTGTAAGTTCGAAGAAATTTGTAAAGAATTTTTGGACGAAATATTGGATAAAATATATATTATAAAATATAAAAAACCCAAAACCAAGCGTGTGCTTCACTCATATCCACCCAGCCAGGGGGAAACAGAGAGATATAGAGACAGATTGATGAAGATGCCAAAGGAAACACAGTTTTTGAATGTTTTATAGTCCCGTCGATTCGAGTCCCATATTCCTCAACTTTAATACATGTACAAAAAAGTATAGTTTTTCTCTCTAAACAATATACACGATGTGTGTGTAACAGAGTGTTACAAAAAAAAGAAAAGAAATTATAATAACCATTTGTCCTGGTAACTTGGTGTAAGCGCTAAGAGATTATATTCTAAGTACGTTCTTAATATTTCGTTATGGCTATAATTTAACGTAACTAAATGTTACCACAAAAACAACAAGCTACAAAAGCTCCAACGAAAGCTTCAAAAGCGAAACGAAAACGAAACTTATAAGAAATGATCAAGAAAAAAAAAGAGCAAATACTATATAATTGTGAGTCTTTTTGCAAAAACTAAATAGAAAATCCTACCAAGTACACTAAATGTATTCAATAAATTAAAGCATTTAATTTTACGCTGCGCAACGTAAAGAAATACAACATTTTGGTCAAAGAATTTACCATCAAATGAAAAAGAAATGTCGATATTTAGGTGTGTGTGAAACCAAAATTGTTTCCAAATCTAAACCCTAAGAAGAGGAGCTGCTTCTTCGTTAGGCCGAAGAAGGACCTCTTAACATCTGACAAAGAAACGTTGATTATGCAAGTGTTGCAATTGTTGCTGCTTCCGGCGATTATAATCCGGCACATTGCGGAGCATGAAGACGGCCGCAAAGAATACGTAGAGTGACGAGAGCATGATCAGCACCGGAAACGAGAAGACAATCTGCGCCATCCGGACCTTCCTGTGCAGTGGTGGCGGTGTGTAGACATAGTCACCTGCGAAAGTTGATTTTAATTTATTAAAGTATAGTATAGTTAAGTCCATTGAAGGTAACAACATTACTTACCATTCCAGCTCTTGTAGGCACACCTCTCACCATCGTAATCGTTGACACAGATGCAGGAGTGAAAGACCGTATTGTTGACCATCGGATGCCGGAAGCAGTGGCCGCCGTTCAAGCAAAAGCTAGCATTGTACTCCTCGCTGCAGGGCAGCATTTGAACTTCGGTCTCGTTGGTGCGGTTAGTTCCCTTGTCCTCTGGTCTGGGTGTGCTCGAGTCAAGCGGATTGGACGAGCTCTGGTCAATGGGCGGAGTGTCTCCCGTGTCGGTAGCAATAGTTGTGGACATGGTCACAGTCTCTAAGGAGGAGGAGGAGGAGGAAAATGCAGGCGGATCGCTGCCGCGTTGGGTCAACCAGGTTGCAGTACTGGATCCGAAGATATCTGCTTCCTGTGCCAGATTCCCGGCCTCAGTCGCCTCCTCAACAGGCTTCGCGTACAGTTTTTCATTGTCTGGATCCGGATTAGGATCAGTTTCTCTGTCCGTATCCGCATCCTGACGCAACTCTTCAGCCGCGTCCTGGGCCGAGGCCTCCAGCTGGTGACGCTGCAGCTCCAACTGGTTGAGCATCTGGACCGCTGTCTCCTCGATCTTCTGCTGCAGCTCGTGCGCATGCTCATGCATGTGATAATCGTGCTGATGCTGCACAATTTTCAGCGTGTGCTCACGAAGGAGTAAAATCCGGCTCGAACAACAATCTGTATACGATTAGGATAAGGAAATGAGTTATAAACAAGAAAGAAAGGAAACTTCGAAAGGCCGAAGTTGCTATACCCTTGCATTTTAAAATTTAATCATGAATTTGAATTAAAAATATATCATAATTGAACTTTAAATGCGTAAACTTCAGTTTTTGAACTTCAGATATTGGGCATTCATAAGCTTTTTCGCTTTGATTTACCATTAAAAAAAAACTAAAATAGGTTTATTTTAGGGACTTTAAATTAATATTTTTATATGTTAATTTTTTTCAGACAATTCAAAATTGTATTTTTCTACCGGACATAGCTAGACCGATTCGGATGTTTATGCTGATCAACAATATTTATGATTTATAGGGTCGGAAAGGACTCCTTCACTTGGTTTCAAGTTTCTGACTAAATAATTATACTTATATCTATCTAGGCTGATCGATACGTCTGGGAATGCTTTCTAAGAATATGCATACTAAATTTTTATATTTACTATTTAATTTATTCAAATTTTAAGCTTTTTAACCACAAGTAGCAAATAATCGGCTTCTACTGGAAAGCCTAGCAACCCTGGACGTATCGGTACGTGGAATTAATTGGCATAAGAATGGGGATGAGAGGAACATGGACCTACCTGTGACGGCGACAATTGTTGAGAGCACGAAAATTACTTTAAGTATGTGGATAAATGAGATTTGCATCATTGGAAAACGCTGGCTGGCGCCGCGTTCCGAAATGGGTGGGGGGCGGACCAGACCGATGGCCCACCGCCGGCGGGGGGAATTTTCGAGTCAATAAAGAGATTGTGGAGCGATCTAAGGATCGAGCTGCGGCGTAATGACCGCAAATGCAATTTGGCGTCGCAACAGAAGCAGAAACATTATATTATACACTTGCATCTCCTTAGGGGGGCCAGCGCTTGTGGCTTTTACTGCAAAATATAAATAGAACGTTTTTAGCGCCTCACATTTTCTGTCACACGATTTTCACGCACACAACACAAGGAGAATAAAATCACAGAACTGGTGATCCAAGAGTGCTTATTATAGACAGAGAGGAGGGGCAGGGCAACGTACTGGAGCGGCGGCACTGTTGTTGCCTGGTAAAGGCTCCGTCATTCTAGGCACCGAACGAACTAGGACTCGTGAGTCATTTTACGTCTGGCCAAAATTGAATTAGTTAACTTTAGTGAGCAGCAAGCGCGGGAAGCGGGCTCTTCTCTGCTTTGCTTTGCCTTGTGCCTATCGAGAGGTCTTGTTGCGCGCACGTAGGAATAGAGAATAGAGACTGGGGAGCCAGAGAAACAGATGGATCCCAAAAAGATCATCAGCATGCGCCATGAATGAAATCGAACAACGGTGAAGAGAACGGACCCCAAAGAGAGGGAGAGAGGCGTGCAAATACGCCGGAGAGGAGAGAACCAGAGAGTGTCCATTCTCAGGTGGCCCGTGGTGCCTCCTCAGAAGGTGGCCCCATCAACGGTAAACATTTAAGCTCTCTCCCACTTCTCTTTAAGAGGAGTGCGAGCTAGGAAGAGATAGCAAACACACGACTGGCTAAAGAGTGATGGAACCACCTTGTATATTTGCATCGTGATTTGGCTTAGAATTAACATTAACCGTTATGATTGATTCACTTGGAATCCTCCCTGCTCTGTTATACACTCTACTGCATACTTATAGGGCGAAACACTAAGAGATTTATTGCCACAAAACGATATTAAGAGTAAACTAATGAAGAACTTATGTATAGCCTTGCAGGTTGTAATTATAAAAATAAATTATATATATTTGTTGTAAAAACAATGAAGTATTGCTAACTTTCATTTACCTATAATACATTTACCTATACATATATTTACAGACTTACAATTACGGATTTAAAGTTACAAATTTTTGCATTTTCCTCTACATTTAACGATCGTTTATATGGGGAAGATATATAATATAGTAGTCCAATTTTTATAAAATTTAAAAAGAACTTCTGGAAATTAAAAAATGAAGTGCTGAGGATCGAAAATATTTTGCAATACTAACTGCCAAGTTTCATTTAGAAAGCTTAAAAACCGAGACTTATTTGCGTAGAAACGGACAGAAGGACATGGCTAGATCGACTCGGTTGTCGATGTTGATCAAGAATAGAGTCAGAAATAACTCCTTCAGTGCGTTGAAAACTTCTCACTTAAATTATAATACCCTGCAAGGATGGAAATATATAAGCAATCTATAGTAAGCATGAGATATTGAGCAGTTTAAATATAAAAATTAATTAATTTATTGCCTATCTTTATGCTTACGAACAAGTACAAGATACTATTTAGATATCGACTAATATCCCAGCAGAATTTGAACTAATATGCGTAATCAAACGTACAGTAACATGATTTTGTGGGTATGGCTTAGGTTTGTGGCTCCAAGGGCTCGACGCCCAGGTGAGTATTGGCCAAAAAGTCAAGCTCGGGGCACTGACCAATGGCCCGGCCGATGTCGTGAGGCTGCAGACATAGAGTGGCATTGGCCGCCGGCGACGGAAGCTGTTCTATCGTATCCTGATGCAGTTTAACCGCCACTGAGCGGCGCACTAATCGGTCGACAAAAGTGCGCAGCACGTGTGCCAGCAGGGTGAGGGCCACGGGCTGGGAGACGCCTGGCAAAGACTCTTCCGGTTCCAGGGCGATGTTGATGTCCTTGCACATGACTTGAACCAGTTGCGTCTCCGCATCCAGATGATCTGGCGGGGGCAGGCATAGCAGGGTTCGGCCATTTACTTCTTGGGTTGATCTACTCCTTGGACCGTTTCTTCTGGAGCTGATTTCGGAGTGAATCCTGTCCACGCCCAACACATCGATGAATTCCTGATCCAACATCTTTTCATCGTACCCCTTCAGAAGTATCCTTTGCTTGTCCATCCAGGCTTGCAGTCGATTCCCGTTGCTAAGACTGCAGTAAGCCGACAGTTGGGGCTGTGGTTTCTCCTTCAGCTGCTCCTGCACCCGCTGAGCTAGCTGTTCTTCAGCTTCCGGTTTCCGACTCTGCTCCGTTTCACCGCTGGAAATTAACATTTTGAGTGGAGGCGTGTAACCGTGCACCCGAGCGAATCCCACGATCTCTCGCAAACTCCAGAAATGTTCCCTGCCACTTGTATCCAGCTTCTGCAGCTTGAGGTGCTGCGTGAGGTAGCGTCGCAGAAGGCGGGCCCGCATGTACTCAAAACACCGTTGTTTAAAGCCAGTCTTCCCTTGAAATGCTTCGATTGTGGAGCAGGTGAATGGATACTCTTCCTCTGTCTTCTGATTGATCCGAGTGAGCGGCATTCGACGCAGCAGAAACTCCACAGCACTGCGCATGGTCCAGAACTGTACGCCGACAAAGGACTGTTGCAGCCGGCGATGTCCGGTTTGCAAGAGAGAGGTCACAAATGGTGTTGTGACGCTGTGCAGAAATATTGGCTTCTCGTCCACGTCGTTCGTGCTCATGTTGGCATATCCGTGATCGTTCTGGATGCACTGCAGAAGATGCCACCGCATCGCAGTCGGCGCCTTGAGGAGACTTAATTGTGGCTTTAGTAGCGATTGCTGCTTCGAAGTTTGCTTAAGCTTTCGTTGCTCAGGATCGATGATGTAAAGTTTTCCGGCTTTCTGAAATACCATATTTCTCTTTCTTTGGTGATGCCCATTGGGCACAGGCCTTATGGGAAGCCTATCTGACGGGGAGTCCTGCCATCGCCTCTGGGGCGAGGCTTCTGGCCTGCGTTCCTGTTCTCGCAAGGAATCCTGCGTCTGAGCCCTGCCATTTACTGGCAGATAGACGACTGAAGGCCGGGAAGCACTCACAGGTGCGGCATTCAATCGAAGCTGGGGCCTGGGAGAGATCGGTGGCTGCAGCTTTCTAGGGCTGTAGCTGAGCTTAAGAGGCTCCGAAACCAGAACAGTGGGTTCAATTTGCTCGATATCGTCGCTCAGCTCAATTTTGTTGATGCCCGCAAACAGATTGTCATCCAGCTCTTCCTTATTTTGAGTGATCGATATAGTGCGCGGTTTACACAAGTCTAGGGGTGGAGCCGGTTCCGGAAGAGCAGCCAATGCTGGAGGCAGATGGATAGTTGACGGAGGCTTATCAGTTTCACGATTCGTTAACGCTTGTTCTGCTCGAAGCCAGATCTCTACCGTGGTCTCAGCCCCCATTGTGTGCAGGCCTGACATGCTCTTGTCGAGTATAACCGTGTGCATCAGCTGGACGGGCTTCTCCTGCAGTGCTTCCTGGAAAAACAGCTGGATGCGCATGGGAAACTCGCCCCAGCCATGTCGGGACAATTGAAACGGTGGACTGTGCACGTCCACAATGTCATTGGGCCGGTATGAGTGATGAAGCTGGAAGCGCACCTACATGGTAAGGGAAGAGAGTTTTATAACCAATCTTAAGCACCTTAGAGGAGATACGCACCTTCTTGATGTATGTGTCCAGGGGCTGGGGAAGATCTTTTCCTTGCACATAGACCAACCACTTGTATGTCATAGCTTGGCCCTCCTTAGAGCTCTCCCGCAAGCCTTCGCCAATGTACTTGGATGTGTTCCCCACCACAAAGTTGAACTTATTCTTGTTGTTCAGCCGCGAGGCATTCAGCTCCACTTGCCTTTCGTACGCCTGGCGACTAGTGCATGGCTGTTCGTCCTCCAGTTTCACAGCAACAGGTGCTGCTTCCGACTTCTGCTGATCGGATGTGACCTTTGAGTGATCTGTGACGATGCCTTGATGCCGTATCTTTTGCTGTCGACGCCTCTCCGCCCGCCGATGTGCCGGATTCCGCAGTCTGATCGTTTGTTTCGCCAGCGTTGCTGCTGTGCGCTCTGGTAAGTGATTCTGGATGGGAATCGGACGCTTGCCCACAATCTTCTTGATGGCCGGATGCAGGGGCAGCTGCGGCAGCGAACCCTCGTCTGCGAAGAGACTGTCACCGCGCACCTTGGCCACGTCGGCGGCGGTGAGGGGAACCTGTTGCTTCTGGTAGTACTCACTAACCACCAGATAGCGTAGCCTGTCCAACAGTTGGCGGCCTTGGATCAGCCGCCGGTCTATCTCTGTCAGCTGCTCAACCTTTTGGGCGATTTCACGCTGGAACTCCAGACGCACCAGCTCGCAGATGCGACGCATTGTCTCGGCGGAAGGGGGTTTCGCCATATTCTCCTGCGTCTCCTGCTCAATCCTGAGTCGTTTCGACTCTTCGACCACGACAGGTTCATCCTGCTGCTGGCTTGGCGGCTCTGTCTGGTAGTAGTCCGGATCGTGATACTCGCTGTGTCTGCGCTTCTTTGACGGCGTCGCCTGTGGCTGCTGGTCCATGTGCGTGGTCGCGGGCACACGCACCGGGCACGTATCACGTGAGTTCGAATGGGAACAGCTTTAAGTTATGCCAGAACAGCTCCTTGCACATTTAAGCCGCGGTGTTGGCAATTTATTTACCAAAAACTTTATAAACAATTGATGCGAACGAGGAGGCGCAAAGCAAAACGGAATTGACTGACGGAGTTGCCAGATCATTTATTGGTGTCCACGCGCCAGTTAGCCAACACTAGTCATCCAGCTGACTGGTTTAAGCGGGAAGAGCGACGCTTCTACACAGAAATTGTGATTACACACCGGATAAACCCAGCGTCAACATGGTCGAGCGCATCGAGGATCTAAATCTGCCAAATACGGTGATAGCACGGCTAATCAAGGAGTCGCTGCCGGAATCCGCCAACGTGAGCAAAGAGGCGCGAGCGGCAATCGCCCGGGCTGCTTCAGTATTCGCTATTTTCGTGACATCCTCCTCCACGGCGCTTGCACACAAGCAGAACCACAAAACCATCACCGCCAAGGACATCCTGCAGACGCTCACGGAGCTGGACTTTGAGAGTTTTGTGCCGTCGCTCACCCAGGACCTCGAGGCGTATCGCAAAATGGTCAAGGAAAAGAAGGAGAGCAAGGCGAACAAAAAAGAAGCGAGCACCAACGATAATGCCAGTGCCACTGAAGCCGTCTTGGAGGAGGCCACCGAGTGATGCTTATCAATTATATCACTCTTTCGCTTTGAAACCATTTATTTTTAAGCGAAACAAAATATTAATAGGATTGTATATGCATAAAACATGTCCCCAATATCTTCATCATTTATTTTGGATTCATATAAAATGTTTATACATATATTTATCAATTTGCAATTATGTTAAAAAGCTACGTTTTGAAAAGATATATGTAATTATTGTTAAGCTAGACATTATTAAGAAATCTGTAAACATCAATTTAAAATTAATAATACACCTAAAGAAATTGGAGTCGGTTTTAATATCATTTTCTTTTTTAGACAGAAACCTAAATTCAGCAAAAATCTTTGAAAAGCATTTAATAGAACCCCTAATTATTAAATATTAAAGTTTCTTTATAGTTATTGTTATTTTAATTAAAATTGTGATTCTGCTTTGACACGTGGTTTTGCAACACTAGCTGCTCAGCCTTAACCAACACTGTTTGATGCATCGGATCAGCTGTTGCCTTTACTTTTCTGCCGCCAACGACCAAAGTTAATGTTTTAAGTGAATTTATTATCTATATTGCATGATTTATATTAGAATTGCATGTTTTTGTGTTAAGTCATGGGAGTTACGGGTTTGTGGAAGCTAATCGAGCCTTGCGGCAAGCCTGTGCCGGTGGAAACATTGGAGGGTAAAATATTGGCAGTTGGTAAGCTTTTGATTTCGCCAATTAACGAAACAGTGGCTGTTACTATAGTATTATCCCAACAGATATATCCATATGGTTGCATCAGGTAGTGAAGGGTTTCCAGGACAACAAGGGATCGGCTCTCAGTAATGCCCATTTACTGGGCTTGTTCCACCGCCTCTGCAAGCTGCTGTATTACCGGGTGCGACCCGTATTTATCTTCGACGGATGCGTACCTCAACTAAAAAGGGATACCATAGTAAGTTGACAGATTATCCGACATGAAGTGTATTTCAAGAAGTCCCTTGCTTGCTTTTGTATCCATTTTTCAGGCCCGACGCCAGCAGCAAAGAAATAAGCTTAGCAATGAGGCCGATCGCATTCAGGCCTTGCTCCTGCAATCTCTGGCCAAAGAAAAGGTAGTCCAGCAGGCGCTGGGGAAGAATGCGGAACTTCTGCTAAAGTCGCCACTAAAGCGACCGCCACCGACTAAGGCAAAAAACGACGAGGATGACTTGTTCAAGCTGCCAGAGTTGCCAGCAGCATTGGAGGCACCGGAAAGTGATCAGGACTTGGCCGACACGAGTGCCAGCGGCACCGATGATAGCTCCTTCGACGAATCCACTGCTCGACATGCGTACAACTCCAGCTTGCAGGCTATCGATGTGAAGAGTTCGTACTTTAGAAACCTGCCCGCTGATGTGCGGCACGAGATTCTGACTGACATCAAGGAAACACGCAAGCAGTCCTCCTGGGGCCGACTGCACGAGTTGCCTGCTCGCAGTGACGACTTCGCCACGTTCCAAATGAAGCGCCTGTTGAAGCGTCGTGCTGTCCAGGAAAGTTTGGAGCAGGCCGAACAGGAGATGGGCGGCGTCACTCTTACCTATTCGGAGTTGAGTGACTTTTTCAGCGAGGAGGGCATTGTCACACCGACGGCAATTGAGCAGAATACGCGACAAATCAGCTCCGATGAGCACACACGATTTCTGCTGGTCAGGGATCTCAAAAAGAAGGCTCTAGCTAACACCAAGCAAGAGGAGGTGAAATTGGAGAAGATCGAGGAGGTGCCGCCCAGCAGTGATCAGGACGAGAAGCCAAGCACATCGTCCAAAGTAGAGTCCCTTGACAAGGACGACTTAGGCACAGAGTACGATGCGGATTTAGCCAAAGCATTGGCCCTGTCTATGGAGGAAACTAAGGTGTACGATGAGAAGGACTACGAATACGATGCGGATCAGGAGCTTCGCCTTAATCGGGCACAAAGTAAGCAACTTAAGAATGCGGCCAAGGGACCAGCTCGTGCATACATGATCGAGTATGGCGGAATGAACGACGAAGAAGTAGAAAATATAATGGAGGCCACCCAACTGAATGACACCCAGAGTTTGGAGAGATTACTAGAGATCACAACAGACCACGTTGGCACGGCCAATGATACGATTGAAGAGGTCAAACTTATCTCACAAGCTATGGAAGAGAGTAGACAGATTTCCGAAGCTATTGAAGAGAGCAAACAGATTTCAAAGGCTATTGAGGAGAGCAAAGGTAGCTTAGCCGAGGATACGGACTCCTCTGACTTGGAGGAAGTTGTGGAAGTGGGAAAACCCCTACAGATTTCTGTGGACATTACAAAGGACCTAATGCCTGCAAACGATCTCTTTGCGGATATATTTGCACCAAATGATAAGGAATTAGAAAAAACCGAAACCGATGATGATGATGACTTCATAGAGGTAAAAGAAAGTGAGGAAATGGAGCTGGATTCAGTCGATAACGTTATAGAAGTCAAGGAAAGTGAGGAAATGGAATTGGAATCTGAAGAAAAACCAATAACAGAAGTAAAGAAACCATCTGAAGAAGTTGTAGAAATTAAAGACAGTCAAGAAAGTATTCTAGAGGAAGAAAAACAGGATAAACACACGCCAGTTAAGCCGAAACCCGATTTGGACTCCATTCTAAATGATCTAAAGAAGGAAACAGCTGCAGTGAAGAATATACAATTGAATTTAACTGAGGAGTCAGCGGAACCAAAACCAAAGATTCCACTTAGCTCCATTTTGGAGGACCTACAAAAGGAAATCACTGAAGTTAAGAATTTAAAGCTAGAGCAAGTTAAACTTAACGATGCCCCCATTGAATTATCCTCTGACGAGGAAAGGGTACCAAAAACCTCGAATTTACCGAATGGAGATGTAATCGAGTTGTGCGACAGCGATGACAATAAAAACATTCGCATTTCACCGAATAAAACGCCCAGCAAGAACAAGTCTATTACGGACTTCTTTGATGTCAATTATGTAGTCAAGCGAACTCCTGGAAGTCGCCAACAACTGAAGCCGCCACTCCTCCCGGAACCCCCAAGGTTCCGCAGCCCTTCTACAGAAAGCGAACACCCAAATCTGGACGTAAGAGGGCAGCCAATGTGGCGAGGATGATAGCGATGAGGAAGTCTCACCCATGAAGAGGACCAGCAAGGCATCTAAATCACTTTTTGAATCTACGTCTCCAGAGAATAACAAGGGAGCTGAGAAGGAGAAGTCTCCAGAGAAGGCCGTAGATCCCAGGAACTCATCAACGATGCCGCTGAGGCCTTAAAGTCCCAAAAAACCGCTGCTGAGCTGCAGGAAATGGCAACCAACTTGGCCCAGGAACGCAAGGATCTGGAGATCGAGCGGAATCGACAGGATCGCATGGGTATGTCAATTAGTCAGCGTATGAGTATCGATTGCCAGGAGTTGTTGCGTCTCTTTGGCATTCCCTACATCGTGGCCCCCATGGAGGCTGAGGCTCAGTGTGCCTTCCTCAATGCCACCGATCTAACCCATGGAACCATAACGGACGACAGTGATATTTGGCTGTTTGGCGGTCGAACAGTCTACAAAAACTTCTTTGCCCAAAACAAACATGTGCTGGAATTCCGTTCGGAGCAGATCGAGCAGACATTCAACTGCAACAGGGGCAAGCTGATCCAGTTAGCCTGCTTGGTTGGCAGCGACTACACCACCGGTATTCATGGAATCGGTGCTGTAACAGCCCTTGAGATTCTGGCCTCCTTCTCCGGACAGGAGGCAGCCCAGACTGCGGAAGGGGTGTCTAACCAAGCGGTCCTGCAGACGTTAATTAAATTCCGGGACTGGTGGCAGGCACACAAGAGCAGTAATCTACCTCCGGAAGCTCAGCCCGCCTTTCTCTCCGTAAGAAGCTGAAAAATATTGAACTGCACGAGGGATTTCCCAATGGAGCAGTGGTTGAGGCCTATCTTGCGCCCACGATCGATGACAATCGTGACGCTTTCAGCTGGGGTTCTCCTGATGTGGAATCAATAAGAGAGTTCACGCGCAAGTCTTTCGGCTGGACAACCTCGAAAACCGATGACATTCTCAATCCGGTGATGAAGAAGATCAACGAGAAGAAAATCCAGGGTTCCATCCGAAACTATTTTGCGGCCAAGAGCGCCTTGCGCGTACAGCAGCCGCAGGTTAGCAAGCGCGTCCAATCCGCCATTGATAAGATGTCCGGCAAGATTGATGTGGAGACACCGGAGAAGCCGAAAAAGGTGACACGCGCCAGGAAAACAAAGACTGCGCCGGCGGTCGATGATTCAGCAGCTGGCGAAGAAACTGCTCGACCCAAACGTGGCAAACGAAAGGCTGCCACAGCAACTGAAATGGAATCGGTGGACTCCGAACAACCTTCCACATCACATTCGGTTCCAAAGCCAGAAAAATGTCCTCGGATACCGAACACCCAGGAAGTAATACCTCAGAGGGAACGGGATCTGGAGGAGATGCGTTTGAAAAAAGCAAAGGCTGCGGAGATCCTTAAGAATCAACAAAATCGAAGAAAAGTTAAAAACTTTTAAAATAATAAGAAGAAATATAGAACCTGCATGAATAATGCATTACGATTTGTCATGTGAGTTTCAAGAAGATTACTTTTTAATATATTTGGAATTTAGTAATCAAAGATATCTTAGACTTAAATTTTCATTTTAATTAAACATGGAATATTTTGGAGCTTAATAATTAAATATTTCAGTAACAGAACTCATTTCGAGTCTATTATAACTAAGCTTCATGGAAACTATTTAAATCGATCAACGAATTTAGTTCTGATTACAAGTTATAATTTATAACAATAACATTTTATGATAATAGAAAAATGTGATGTAAGAATGGCTATAAAATATCACCGAATTTGAATATAAAGCCTCTAAGCCTCTAAATGCCCAACAATACAAGAAATTGTCCCTGCAACCCACATACACTCTTCGTAAGCTCTCGATGTAGCATGCACTGGAGAAGACTTCGCCTGGGAGCTTGTCTGACCACTGGATTTCACCGTTCCTAAAGTTCAGGAGGACAACGCGACCGTTGGTGGCACTGCACCAAACCAGGAGACCATTTGGCTGAACTGTTAGCAGACTTGGCGTGGCATAAACGGGAGCGCCGATATTTATCTTCCAGTAAGTTCCAAGTCAACTGATCCTCGGACCGAACCAGTTTTACACTGCAAACAATATACATGGTGATCGATGCAACCGAACACAACAAAAGATTGCCCCATAAATGTGGGTGGAGTCTTCACCACCAGCGATGAGAAGATGTTGCCTTCTGCGGTGTAAGTAGCCAACTGAAAATAATAATAATTAATGCCTAATTCAGAATTAATTCTATATTCTATACTCACAATTTTACCGTTTCCGACATGGCAGGCATGGACGCGACCCGCCACTTCAGCGCAAAGAAAAATATTGGACTGTGACTCGAGCAGGACAGGTGTGGAGAAGATTGGTTCCCGGCACTTCTGCGTCCATTCCACAGAGCCATCTGTGATGGCCACACGAGCATAGGTGCCGTCCAGCGTGCATAGAATCAAAGATTGTTCTTTCGGTAGCTCCAAAGGACTGGCAAAGATGGGCTTCTCGCCAATCCTCAGACACCAGAGAACCTCTTGTCGCTCAGCGGACAGACAATACACATTATAGTCTTCCGCATAGCTGCACACTACGATCCGACAACCGTCGATTGAGAGAAGTGGCTGCGATTTGATCATGCCTCCGATCTCCACACGCCATAATATATCACCGGATTGAGGATTGAAACCGTACAGGCAACCATCGTAGCAGCCAACCATTGCCATCTGCTCGCTGAGGAAGGTCACCTTGCACTCGATGCGATCGGGTAGCCTCAGAATACTCAACTCTCTGCCGGTCTGTGGATCCAGGGTTCGCAATATCTTCGAATGGGCTCCCACGCAAATGTAACGTCCCTCGTACTCCGTCACAGGTGAGTCCACGCACTTTTCAAAGTTCACCTTCCAGTGGTACTGTAACTTGAGGATTGGCTGCTCAATGCGCTTGATTACTAGGCCGCAGGCGCCGGTGCCACAACTACTGGGCTGATTCGTTAGTAGTGGCTCCACAGGCTTTAGTTTGACATTGTTGGCTACCAACTTGGCCGTGTCTAGGAACCGTAAGACGGTGCGTAGCGGCGTGTTCTCGTCCAGCAACATTTCGAACAAATGGCGCTGCTCGTCATCAATGCACATCTGTAGACCAATTTCACGACAGATCGTGATGGCGTGGAAGGAAGTGCCACCGGCTTGGCGAAAGCTTAGCTCATAGCCACAGGGATTTTGGCAGTCCTCATCCAGGCGCTGCTTTTTCGTTGACCCCGAGTGGTCGTCGTGTATATCCACACACTCCAGTCTGTCGTGCAGATAACTCTTTAATATTTGCTGTGCAGGCTGAGCCAGTGGATGCATTCCTTAAGCAGCAGCTCCTTGTCCAGCTTGCCATGGACGTTGCAGGGAAAGTGCTGGAGGTATACAAACCTATCAGGCTGCTCGGCCATGGACACCTTGGACAGGATATCAAAGGTCTGGGCTCGTTGTTGGACTTTCGTCTTGGGCTCGAGGGAACGAATACAACAGATTAGCTTTTGCAAATCCTCCAGCCACAGGCAAGTGGCCAATTCGCCGCTTAGCAAGCACCTTTCTATTTTGCGGGTGATTAGACCTAAACAAAGCAATTAGGGAACTCATCTTAAATTTTTTGGTGGTGAAACTTACCCAAGTTGATGCGATTCCCTGCCCTCTTGACAATATCGTTGGCTCTTTCGCCATAGCGAAGGGAGCCATCATCCAAGCGGTTAACTAGATCCCCCGTCGCTCGAAAGCAAATGCCTGATTCTTCTTCGAAATCCTCCTTGTCATCGATCTCTGGTATATAGCAACGTCTTGTCTTACTGCCCAGGAATAGCTCGCCATAGTCCAAATTCTTTTCGCTCTGACATTGAATACGCAACACGGTATCCTCGTCGATAAGCGTACCCAGTCGTACAGGAGCCTGCAGGGACTGAATGATGTGGAGAAGGCTCCAGCAGGATATCTCCGTAATTCCATAGATATTACAAATGTGTTTCTGCAGCAAGACACGCGGTTCCATCCAAGTGACGAGCTCAGCATTGAAGGAAAGGGTTCGCCGCCAAGAAGCAGAACTCTATTCCAGGAATATTTTTTAAAAAGGTTTTGAATTTCAAGAAAACCACAATTCAAACCTCAATGAGCTAGTGCTGCTCAAAACTCGCTCTCTAATGGCAGTGCTTCCGAATTGGCGGAACAATGACGGTGTCATCTGCAGCAGACTGATGCCGGGCTTGGTCATGTTGACGGGAAAGAGGGCGTTCAGCACCCGGCTCGGGGAATCCCTCATCGAGTGGTGACTGATCAGCAGGGCAGCACCATTTTGAAGCGCCAGAAATATCTCCACAACGAAGGATCAAAGGTGCAGGGAGTGCCAGGTAAATGATGTCTGCCATCGAGACATTAAGCTTCTGGCTTGAGGGGCACATTTATGATTTATTGGCCTTGGATCATATCAAGTGATCACTTACCTAAGGACTCTACGTTAAGAGCAATGCATTCATAGGGCACATGGATCAGCTTGGGTTTCCCCGTCGTGCCGGTTGTTGTGATGGTGTAGCACATATTGGCAGGCAGGGGTTCTTTGCTTGTACTTTGGGACTTTTGTCGGTGCGCTTCAGTTTGAACAGCTTGCATTCCTCGTTGAGTACCTGGATACTGTCCAGTCTCTGAAAGTACAAAGCCCCCACGGCTAAATGTTCGCTGACCAGCAAGTAGTCGACGCCGGCAGCGCACATCTGGTCATGCAGCGCCTCGGAGAGCAGCATCTTGTCCGTGGCAAAGAAGTAACACTCGTGGTTGAGAATCCTGCGTGGTTCAAAGTCATTAGTTTACATATTATCTACAATGTTAGTTCATATGTACTCACGCTAAGATAAGAAGGCACGATGCTGGCGTGTGCTGTGTAATCCGAAGGGCTATTCCTGATCCCGCTGGAATGTGGTGACGGCGCAAGAACTCCAGTAGTTCCACCACACCTTCCACAGCCTTGGTGTAGGTCACGGTGCTATCCTGCGGCTCCATTCGCTTTATCAAATAGGGCACATTGTCGAAATCTCGTATGCGGCCGATGTCGTACAGCTTCTTCTGGCTTATGCTAGCTTCTACCTGGTTCGGCTTTTCTTCAGATCTTTGGGCTGTCTCCTGGCTGGACTGATCCTGGTCTCCTTCAGGTGCTGCATCTTTCGGTAATTCCGCTTTAATCTCGGATGTTGCCATTGATATCAACAGGTTTTATTTACAAATTCGGCCTCTAACTAGAGATGGTAGAAAGCTGCCTATCGATTTATCGATTTCTTTGTCATCAATCGATTTAAAACTTGTTGAAATTGAAAAAATAGCCGCCATTCTCTTGATTAAACAAAATCACAATTAATTAAATCAGTTTAATAAAACTAAACAAACATTTATGAAACAATTGAATTTCTGAAAACAATTACAATTGAATTGAATAATAATTGAATTAACCTTAGTTTTGTAATATGATTTTTTATTGTTCAGTGCCAAATACACGTTAAATATTTCTCATTTCATTATTTACATATACATTGATCGTACGAAGCTTATAATGTGCTTAATAATCCCTTGTTAGTGTCTTGTTGATTGGTTTTTCTCGTTTGATTTGTCAATAAAGCTCTTGGCACACATGTGCATGCATTTTGAGGTAAAACAGTTAATATTACTCGAAAATAGTTCCGAAGAATGCATAATAGCGTAACTTAATTCTAGGCAAAATTTAATCCAAGTCCCCTCTACATATCCGAATTTACGTTGCTTTAATTCCTTCACTCTCTCATCCATGCTTAGCCGAATCTTCTAGATTGCAATAAATTACGTCCTCAAGCAGGAACTATTTTGTATATCATCTCGGTGTTATCTTCGTTTAACCTGAGTTGAATCGTATGTATATCCTATATCCAGTCCTATGCTTGCTTCTTCGCGCTCAAGGCTTGGCCTTCTTTACTCAGCTTCGTGTACTCCGTCTGCATGATAGTGTGGCACTCGCCGATCAGCTCCTCAATGTTGTCCTTGTTGTACTTTTCCGTTGACACTTCGGGCAGGATGTGGATTAGGGCATGACCCGGGCGGAAGGTCTTCTTTTCATCGTCCATAAATGAGTACTTTGAGATGACCACGGGCTGGATGGGGCTCTTGCCCTGGAGCGCGATATGGAACGAGCCTTTCTTAAAGGGCAGCAGCGTATCCTTGTTGTTGCGTGTGCCTTCCGGGAAGAGCAACAGTTTACAGTTGCGCTCCTGTATCGCCTTGGCCTCCTTCTGCAGCGAGTTAATCGAATCCGACTTGCGGGCACGATTAATATAAAGGGTGCCCCAGAGCCATGCCCCGATGCCGAAGAATGGAATATACAGAACCTCCTTCTTGGACACGACCGTGGCTCGTCCAATCACCGGCCACAGATAGGCTAGCACACACAGATCCACTGCACTCTGATGATTCATTATGACCACGGCACCATGGTCCTTGCGCACATTCTCCAGGCCTCGCACCTCCATGGTGATGCCCATCAAGCGGCACAGCTGCCGGAAGGCCCAAGATGGGACGCTGTTTAACATAGAAAAAGTTTTGTAAATAATAGTAACTAATAGTAGTGAGAGAGGTGAAAATTAGAACCAAACAAGTTTAAATTAAAGCGTTAAGAAATTAAATTGTTATAGTCCTAACTTAATATCTTTTTTAAAGATAGAAGAGCACGATGTTTGTGTGCAAATTTGATCTTTTAGTGTTATTAAGGCCTCTGAACTTGAAGTTAACCTTAAAATCTGCTACATAAGATAGCTAGATCTTTATAAGAAGACCTCTATTGAAAATGGTTGGTCATACTTACAGGGCATTACGATAGTCCCTTGGCCTCAGGATCATGAAGGGCACACAAAGCAGGACTATGGCACCCGCTCCAAAGAATATAAAGATCATACGCATCTGATATGGAGCTTTAGCGGATATACTTAGGATTAGGGCCACCACACAGGCCAGGCCAATAACTTCACAGGTGCAAGCCATTTTAATAATGCCTCTCAAACCCAAGAGAGTCGACTTCTGCAAAAGAAATAAAGAGAATATAGTTAAATTAAGTTCACAAAGAAAGTTTTACCAAAACTTAGTTTCGAATGTTTCCTCTCAGGTCTACTATCTAACTGATTTTGAATTTTGAATTTTGATCTATTTGGTAGACAACTCTTAATGCCTGGCTTACTCATACTTTGTTACATCATATAAAAGTCTTATTTATTTATCAGAATACAGACTCTTTTTATTGATTTTCGACACTGCGATTGCTCATATATAATATTGGCGTATATTACGAGATTGCATTACGAGAACTCAAAGTGGCAATTACTTTCAATTATCTTTAATTTGCATATTGTTTTGATTGCCCAATAGATCTTATATACGTTTGTTTTTTGGGGTCTTAAATCTTTTACTTAATAGCTGAGTACCGAGAATCATATTTGTAGTTAGTTTAATGGCAGCACTTTAAGATTAACTGAAATCCATTTAAAACGAGCGATATTCCTTTAGCAACAAACCTTTTAGGAACCTTAGCAAGGTCCGGGACACATCCAATTTCTAAGATTGGAAAGGTACGACTGAAAACCCGTGTGACGAGAGGCATCGATTGAACTGGACAGAAAGGCTTATCAGGAAATGCCCGATAGCTATTGTTTGGATTAAGGCAGTGAACTTTGATATCGCAGCTTGAACATTTTATTATATGGTAGCACATTCCTAATCAGCTCGTCCAAAATAAATGACGAATAGTGCAAAGATTTGAGAGATCAGAATAGTAATCAAGTGTTGGGCGATATGCCTTAAGTGCAGGTGCAGGCAAATACATTTTAAGATTATGGTTGTTACTAGGTTTTTTCTTGGTTTTTATAGCATTTTATTTATGAACGAATCGATGTGAAGATTGTTTGAAATAATAAAATACTTGTGTGGGAATAATCTAAACATAATTAGAAATGGCACTATGCCGGGGGTATATAAGGTTCTTTGCTTTTTCAAGAGGCTAATCTTGAGATAAAGTTTTGACATAGGAACGTTGGCGCATAATATATGGTTGAAGGTAGCCTAGTTTTTATACCAGGTGCTCATGATGTTGGAGTAGTTTTAGTATACAAAATATTGTTTATGAATAAGGGTGTAGACTGTTGCCAACCGCCCTACCGCCCTAAATCTTTTATAAACTATATGATTATCAGAGTATGAAGTGAACCTACAAAGATACACATCTTCACATATATATAAAAAGTTCAAAACAATTGAATAGTTAATATATAATATATGTATGTTATCTAGCCTGGTTTATTGTTGAATTTAAAACTATCTTTTTCGGGGCACTCACTATCTTTTTCTTGGGTTTGAACTCTAAGCTTGTACTTTGTTATTAAGACCAAAGCAAATCTACAGCGACATGTCTGCCACACACCTTTCTATATGACTTTACTAATTAGTCAGTTTAACGTAGCTACTCATGCATACATACTAGGTACATACTTATATTAGACAGTAGTTGACACAAAGTCTCTGGCGGTCACGGACTGAGTGAGAAACCTTTCGAAGCTTCAAGTTCGGATAATTTACTCTGGAAATTTTACGTCTAATCGAGATTAGTAAAGTGGCTTTCGGCATTTATCATCTTTATCAGCTTTATCTTTATGACCAGATCATGTCAATATTAAGTCCAACAACCAACACCACCACGAGAGTTCTAATCAGATTGTTAGCCTGCTTTTGTTTACAGTGTGTACTATAAATATTTGTTGTGCTAAAAGAGTTCTCTTTTTACGGCTTCCAGCTGGTAGTTTTTTCACGGAAAGAACTCTAATGTTGGCAATTCCAATTATGCTGACAATTATCGTTACAGTTACTACTTGGTCGGTATTTGATGACAAACTGTTGATACTGGCATAACCTTTTCGAGGAGAGTAATTGTAATTGTGCGTTGAATGGGCACTTAAGTCCAATCATGTCTCGAGATCAGTGTGTAATGGCATAAACTGCCTTGAATTTTCATTGATTTTTGCCAGAGTCAGAAATAGAAAATTATACTTTGTTATGACTGCGTCAATTTGCTATTGATATAAGGGTTCTAATAATGGATAATGAATAGGGTTGGGGGTTTACTTCTGCAGAATACTGACTGTTTACGATACTTTTTCCGGGTACCTATCGTGATTTATTCGAATTATAGGGAAATCAGTAATGAAGCATGATTTCATTAATAAACCAAGAAAATGATACAGCTTTGGGAAGCCGAAATTTATATACCCTTGCACTTTGAAAATGGGCCAAGAAAGGGGTTTTAAAATGGTTCATAACTAAGAAATAAATGAATTAATTTCAATTTCTATACTAGTTTTTATTGGGAGATAGCTTCTCCTGTTGATGCTGATCATGAATATATATGATTTATAGGGTCTGAAATGACTTCTTCATAGTCTTTTGAGCTTCTGACTAAACTAATAATACTTGGCAATTATATAAATATTGACCAAAATCGAATTTAAATGTTGGTTAGGAAAAAGTAATCACTTTGGGAGGGAAAAACTAGGATAGTTAGCCTTCTGCTAATTTGTTAAGTAATGAAAACAATTTGCTTAAAGTATTTAGAACTTATCTGCGAGAATTTAAGAACTGACGCTAATGTTGTAATAAACTTATATGTATAATAAATCATGTGTACATAAAATGCATATTACGACACCTCTGAATATTAGTAATCCTACTTAAAACGACATTTACAACTTTGGCACACTTTGTACTTTCCTTGTGACTGTGTGAAAAATGTCAATTAAATTATCGACAGCAAATGTTTGACTATTTGTTTACAATATACAATATTCCGCCGAATGGCACAAAAGGGGCTTACGTTTTACGGTTCCCATTATCACTTTGTGACAATTACCGCGAAGCTTTTCCTGTATGTGTGCGACAGCGGAACATCATCGATCCATTCCCCAGGCCAGCATAAGCTTCGGTTACTGATAAGATAGTGGCATGATTTCAGCCACGAAAAATAATGGCTTTACAAACACCTTAGGAAACAGCTGACGAATGCACGAATATGGTTGCTGCATGTGGATGAGCTGGTGGACTTCAGAAATCTCATTTGCCAGCCAATTAAACAATCATAGCGTCAACAGTCAAGTTCAAAGTCAACGGGTGCACAGCTCAGCCGGAGAGATGAGAATTTCCAGACCAAGCTTAGTCATTAAACGATCGGGCGTTTTTTAATCAAACGTCTAAAGATCATTGCCTTACGAGTGGAATGTTTAGAAACTTGACACGCCAGTTGTTTGTAAATAATATACACAACAGCTGTTATTTAATTCCAAGAGATAAACTCTGGCTTCGAATTCTAATATACACAAAAGAGGTTTTAAAGTTACAAAATCCATCCTAGAATAGTTATTTTTGTAAAACTATTTTCCGAATTATGAAAAGTTCTCAGAGGGCAGTTCTCAATCATTGTTATTTCCCACTTAAATTTGTTGTTGTCTAATTTCAATTGAAATCTTTTGAAAACTTCCTTATGAAATATTCATTTAATTTTTAAGTTTCCAAGTGATACTTTTTAAACTTCCCATTCTTTTCTTTAAATTTATAAATTATTAAAGAACCAACAAGTTATTTCACACGCCAAAAGGAAGCAGCGGGAGTCCCAATAACCTAAAATCAACAGGAGAGCTTAAAGGAATGTGTGTAAAAGGAAGAAGTGGAGAGAAAGTGGAGGAGAGATGTGGGGGAGGCTTCCAGAGAAAAAATGACGACGTACTGGGAATTAAGGGCAGTGTGCCAGACAAGGATAGAGCGACCCCAGGAGAGGTAATAAATGTACGCAGGACTTGCTCCTGTGGCTTTTATTCCTTGTGGGACGAAGCACAAACCGCATGGGAAAAGGAAACATGGACCAAATAGGGGAAGTATTAAAGACGAAAAAGCACAACAACTTAAATAGTACAAACTCACGAAACCGTTAAAGGTGAAATAAAGTTGTTGCCGCTGCTCCCGGCTTCTATTCTGTCGCGTTGTTGTTGCTGCTGCGTGGGCGTAATTGTTGATTATATATATACATAAACATATATATGTATATGATGATATATATGCGTTTGTATTGGTGTATTATTTGCGCGGGAGTCTCGGCTGCTGCAGCATCTGCACTGCAATAAATTCCACGTACCCTTAATGGCAATTACACCTGCAGTTTCCAACTAATCAGGTTTAGACAAAAGGAATTTCACCGCACTAGCACTGATTCACACATTCGTCTTGAAAAACAATTATTGTTTTATTATTTTCCGCCGCCCGAGTGCCGGCACTCTGTACTACTCAGCAGCAGCAGCGAGAGGCGTCCGCTTCAAACAAAAGTCCGTGGTCAATTGAAAAAGCTTTCGCTTCGCGTGTTCGTTGCGCTTCCGTTGATTTAACTAACTAAGCAGCGGCCAGGCATTGGCTTTGCTGGAGCTGCGCATGTGACCCAGGCGACGCAGTGGAGCTTCTGGACAGGCTTGAGGTTGAATCAGATTGCGCGACGGACTGAGCTCCAACCAGTTGCTTATCCTTCTCTTCCTTCTATTAGTTGTCCCACATGGCGGATGAAGTCCTCGTCCTTAGTGTCATATTCTTTCTAAGCGAAGCTCATGATAGGCATTATCCTGGTAGTTCAATTTAAATACAAAAGAGAAATAGAAAAGCTTTCCCGATAATTTATTATTTAATAATTTTTAATTTAAATCGAGTATGCAGATTTGTTAATCTAATAAAAAGCAACATAGGACAGCATTCCGAATTGAAATTAACTCATTTTTGGCCAAGTAATGCTATTTCAAACACTTTGATTTTCCCATAAAATTTTCATTTATAAATACACATTTTTAGTCCTTATATAATACACATACTTTTGATCTTGTTAGTTCTATATAAAGAAAAAATAGTTATTGATTGACACAAATAATATATATTTTGATTCGTCATTAAAAAAATCAAAAATAAATAAATACCACTGTGCACAGCAAAGATTATTCCATTAAAAAGTGTGGGACAAATATGCCTAAAAGTAGACAATTTATTATTTAAGGTCTTTTATTTCCAAATTCAGCTATTTAAGGACGTAGCCGGCTAAACAAACACATTTCACAACAACTTTATTATTAGCAACAACAGAGTTTAGTTTCTTTTTATTTTTTTTTTAAATTTCCCATCATTTTTCCCTCCCTTTATTTTCAGTGTGACCATTTAGAACCGCGTCCAGAATCCCCAGGCTGTCCGTGCGCGTGCAATATCCATTCCAGCTCCGGCCACTCTACGCTTTATTTTCCGCAAAAATTGTACATTTATGCAGATTTCCATATTTTTTCGACAATTTACTGTGTTTCTAAAGTCCAAAATAACGCACACACACGCGGCAACACAAATAAGAGTCAAAAATGTTTCGCTATCATGGTTTTAATAAGTAATTTCTGTGTGAAAGTGTCTTCTCCCACAACCGGCGAGACTTCGATGCGAATCTTTTTGCCAAATTAGAAACAATATCGTGGATATACCATGCACGCGATCGAGAACACGTGCCGCCTGTGCCACCGCGAGGTCGAACCCGACTCCCCCAACATCTTTGAGAACTCCCTGGAGTTCTGCAAGGAATTGTCCATTGCAGAGATCTCGCAGCATCTTTGGGACGTTCACGTGAGTGTTTGCTGCATAGCAAAAGTGTTCCAATAGTAATCCTTTCCCTTTCAGTACGAGCGCCATGAGATCTTACCAGAGCTGGCATGCCCAGAGTGCCTGGAGCTATTGCTCGACGCATTCGAGCAACGTAAGGGTATGCAGGATCGAGAGCAGGGCCTGCAGGACCAGTTAAAGGAGATGATGAAGACGGATCCCAAGTACAGACCCGGCTTTAATGGCAATCCTGGTGATTTGTGGCGGATGAGGACTGCCAAATTGTGGAAGTAGATGCGGAAAAGCTGTCGGAGACAAGTGATGATGAATTTATGGCTTGCTCGGAGGGAGATTACGAAAACTTCGAGGAAGATGATGAGGAAGAGGAGGAGGATTTTGATGAGGAGGAAGAGGAAGAGGGTCAGAATGGCGATGATGTGGACATGCCCCTAGGCATGGACGCCGCTCAGATGGCGGCTATGGAGGCGGGCATGAAAGCCAACAATGTCAATGCCGATCCCAACTCTGGGGCGATGAAACCTAAACGAGCCTTCCTCTGTCAGTATTGCGATCTGGGCTTCACCTTGCCCTCCGACTGCCAGCAGCACGAGAAAAGCGCCCATGACCCAGCAGAGCCGTACTGCTGCACCTTCTGCAACCTTCGGATGACCGCCCGAACCGCTCTGATTTCGCACATCAAGTCGTTGCACGATCCCGATCGTCCGTATGTGTGCACACAATGCCGAAAGGGATTCGTGCGCCGTTCCGACTTGAAGAAGCACACGATTGTGCACACAGGCGTGCGGCCCTATACCTGCAACGTGTGCTCAAAGAGCTTCTCGAGGAACACTAATCTGAACAAGCACATACGCATTCACAGCGGCGTAAAGCCCTTTGTTTGCCAGCAGTGCCCTCGATCCTTTCAGACGGCCGAGGAATTAATGAAGCACTCGCGCTCCCATTCTGAGTTAAAGACTTACCAGTGTGGCCGATGTCCATACTCTTTTTCGCGCAAGGATAAGCTGCTGGCCCACCAGCAAGTCCACACCAAGCAAGACATTGAGCAGCAGCAGCAACAGCAAATGGGACTAATTCCGCCAGCGGATGCCGACCTGGCGCAACTGCATCAGCAGCAACAGCTACAGCTACAGCTTCAGGCCAAGCCAAAGGCTCCAACAAACTCAAAGTCCTCGCGCAATTTCCATTGTGATGTGTGCGACAGAACTTTCCAAAGAGAGCGTGACCTGCAGCGCCATAGAGCCCTACACATGGACACACTGTTTGCCTGCAAGATTTGCAACCAGGGATTCAATCGGCGAGAGCAACTGCAGCGCCATGAACTGGAGGCTCATGGGCCCAGCTTTACCTGCGGTATCTGCTGCATCAACTTTCTGTATCAGGTTGAGCTGGAGAACCATCTAAAGGTCCATCAACTGCAGCACAAAATGGCGCAGAGTGCCCAAGAGGCGATTAATGCCGCCGCTAGTTTGCCCCTCAAGAAGATCGATCAGGTACCAGTGGCTGTAATACCTCCAGTGATTCAGCCCTCGGCAGCTGAACTCTCATTCTACAGCAACATGATTCCAACCATGAATCTGGGTTTCTACAGCGAGACTCGTCCGGAGGAGTAGAACACAACATAGTAAGTAGCTTGCAAAGTTACTACTTAGATGGTAAGAATAATATATATATATTTACTTGGGGTTTCATCGTAAAGATTCGTAGCCAAATATACTTGGCCAAACAGAAGTTTGTAAGCAAAATCAGGATTAAGAACAATTTTGGTATTGAAAGTCTTCACAGTTTCTTTTACCAGTCAAACTAAATTTAATGTATAAAATCTTTTTCTAATCTAACCTTATCTGAAACAAAATATCTATAAGTTTAAAATGAATTTCCTAGTTTTCTTGCTTAAAATCGTTTTCAATGAAGTCTTTTCTTTTTAATTTTTACAAATGCAAATTGAAAACATGATAATTATTATTTGTACATTATTTGAAAAGTAGCAGTAGAGGGCTATCATTTCGTATACGAAAATATGAATCATTTTTGAAAATAACTTTATTTTGTATTAGTTTTTGATTTTACGTAAACTTTCTCAATATATATATTTTTCTGGCATTCATTTTTATTGCCAATTATGCTTAAAAATAAATAATGAAGTAATAAAACTAAGTTCAAAACAAATATTCGTATTTCCTTGGATGGGAAAAGACTAAAGTAAATGGAAAAATGTATTCACTTTGGTTCAACACTGGAACACCAATTTAAATGGAATGTCTGAAATTCTCTTGGTTACTTTGCTTAATTAGGCTCTTATCCATTCTGGCTAAGAGTGATCTTATAAACCATTGTCCATCAGTTTCTAAGCTGTGGAATTTTATGCTGGGGCTCCGTCTGTGACTCGTATTTCAAAAAGGATACAAGGGATCCTTTCTGAACTTCTTGGCGTACTACTCCATACTTTACCCTCATTTTTCGGGACATTGAAAACATTCCTTGTAAACAAACTTGCCCCACAAAAACTACATCAAGTTAAAGCTGCATGCAACATGTTTGCATGCAACAAGTTGCAAGTGGCTTGGTCTTGAGACTGTCTGTCCGCTAAGCTTCCCAATCGCGGCACTGCCGCCAGATTGTGTCTTGAGGTCGACTCGTACGGTAGTCCCTCTACTTGTTCGGTACCCGCGACCCATCGATCGCCTTCGAAGCCTCCTCCACGACGATCCTCTCCTCGGCGTGTGTGCAGTGAATTGTGCTGGTGCTGACAGTGTAACGCTTGATAGAATAATAAATAATAAAAAATAAAGGGGGAGAGAGAGAGCCCCCAAAGAAATGTGGTCGAGCTGCCATAAATAAGGTGCGGATTTCAAACGAGACGATAAATCTATTCCCGCAACGGGCACGCAATCGGGGAATTTCGAACTCACCTTGCGGATCCGCTCGGATAGGTTCCGTTGAGAGCGGTAAGTACGCAATTACCATGGAAGGAAGGGTCATTCCGACTGCGATTTATGTATGTGCCGATTCCCGGCTTGGGGTCTCTGGTGTTTAGGTGTTGGCGTCGCCCGCTGGGGCGCCCTCGGGCTTCCATTCTTAACCACATCGTTCTCATCATCATCGTTCTCCCTGCACCCATGACAAATGAACATGTTGCTGGTCACCCGACAGTTTTCCTTTGATTGAATAAAGCATATCCACAAGGCAGGAGATATACCTACACACATATGAGTGTGTGTACGTATGGGAAGACAACTTTAGCTTGCATGATTTGAGCAGCCACTTTTGTCATTTCCAAAAAGATAAGGGGCACGAGACGAACTGGCTTACATAAAAGGCAAAAAGGCAGCTGGAAGCTGGCTACCTTCGTGAGGCACTTTTTGTCCATTTAAATCTTTAGAAATGCGAGGGGAGTACTCTTATAGCTTTTGTCGGGAGAAGTTCTGGACGGATGGCAGTTGCTATAAAATGGAAGCTTATCTTAAGTTTTTGTTTATTTAGAAAGTATTTATTGTCAAACCTCGAAAGAAGCTTGAAACTAGTTTGAATTACTAACTTCGGGAAGCCGAAGATTGCAATTGAATTAAAGGATTAAATCGGAGAGTGATTATAATTAAGCTTACAATATTCGCATTTTTATGACCATTTTTTAGAACAAATTTAAGTTTAAAAATCTCAGAACTAAGTCAATAGTGCTGATCAAGAATTTATATGATTTAAAGGGTCGGAAATTACTCCTTCACTGTTTTTTAAGCTTCTGACTAAAATTTTAGGAAATTACTCCTTCACTGTTTTTAAGCTTCTGACTAAAATTTTAGTTTCCTTTAAGGCTATAACTAGACACTGATTAAAATTGTTTTACATTGAACATTATTTAGATTCCTACACCATATGTAATCTATTTATTTTATTGGTTAGCTACGAACTCCTTAATCTTTAATAATTCAATTTTAAATATTTGAATTCTTCAATAAATAAGTTACTACAGTGATATATTATCGTAAGCTTACTCTCCTACATTGCGTGTCTTTTACTGAGAAGCACCTGCGGTGCAAAAATACAGGGATTGCGGCAAACAATTTTAAAAACAATCTAACTTTTGCGGATGTGAAGGGTTAACTCAATCTCATTCTCGGAAGATAAATGAGCTCAGTTTAACGGAAAGTATATTCCAACACGCACCTTCAGTCGATTTAGATGTAGTGCAATAAAAGCCTCCGGCTGGCTAGAACCTAGTCATAAGTACAAGAGTGCAGCAGCCCACGCAACAAGTTAATTACGGCTATTTACACGAAGTACGCATAGGAAGCCTCCAGGTAGATCTATATCATGGCACTGTCAATTATTACTTACCTACATTTTTCAAGTCTCTAATGAAAGCTTCAGCATTTTAATGATGGAATTTTGAGTTCGTGATTAAGCGATCTGAGAAGTGAATACCCCATGCTCCTATTTGCGAAAAGTAATAGTTAATGAAATACAGATTACAGGCTGATTTAATAAACGGTCATTATCGACTACCCGTTAATATAATGCTGAAATATTAAACGAAGTTAAAGTGATAATCGTAACTTAGGGCAAAAATCGGGCTTAATTATACCCTTTCAGGGTATTAAGATTTTAGTCAGAAGCTTAAAAAGCTGTGAAGCAATCATTTCCGTCCATATAAATCATACATATTCTTGATCAAAATGTATTTTTTTTTTTTAATTTTTCGAAAAAAAGATAAAAGGTTACATCGTTAAAATTTTCAAATATTGAAATATTTTTGAATTCCTTTAAATTTAAATTAAATTAACCTATTAAAAACTAACACAAAAGAGGTTTCCAAATTGAAATTAATGCTTATTTGCCTTAGTTATGAGATTTTAAAATTTGATTTCTAGAAAAAATGGTTATATAAAATATTAATTTCTATATATTACAAAATTGGAATATTTTAAGCTTAGATAGAGATAATAGATTGCCTATACGATCCAATAATTCGGTTTACCGAAATGATTTACCTTTCTTGTTTCGACGTAATTTTTCTTCCTAACCTTACTTTCGCAGCTTTATAATTTAATCTAGTTCTTAAGTTTTATATTTCAATTCTCTCAGTTAAGTCTTAACTCTCTCATGAACCCTACAACCCAAAAAAAAAGACTCTAAAAACTTCAAACTAAATCATTTACACTATAGCATTCAAGACAAATAAAAATTCTAATTTGAATCACACATTTAATTCAATATCAACTTTCTGCGATAAGCAACTTACACATTCGTTGGTTGTCAGACACACAAATCGTCGTCTTCGTTGCTGTCTTCGTCTGTCGAAGGACTGATGGGAATACGAATACATCAGTGTCAGTCAGGCAGACGGCAGACACCTTTCCATCTGTCACTGGCTGCCACCTTCTTCTCCCATATCTCCCAGCTAATCTCTCATAAACACACAGTAGACTCTTTTCTTATTTGTTTTCCCGAAACTCTTCCGCGGTGAGAGCTGAACGTTTGCATTTCACATCCGTTTCGCTTCATTTTGATCAGATGGAATTTAATTCACAATTCACTTTCTTCGAAGACAATGCCAGCGATGTGATCCAGCAAATAATAATAATGCATGTATAACGTTCCACTTGGCTGACAGACAGGTGGAGGTATTAAGACTTTGGGATGTTCATTATCTTAATTCGGATCATTGTCATCATCCTTTCATATATCAAACAAATTCAAGCTTATTTGAGTAATCGGTAGTGGAAGAGGTGTAGTGATTAGTGGGTCATGTAGAATGTAATAGTGGTTCATCAACAGCCGAACTGATCTAGTTAGAGAAGTGAAGACTAGGTCTAGATATAACTAATGAATGAAAGCCTGGTTCAAAATTTTATAAACCTTAAATTGTCACTTAAAATATTATCCGGATTAACTCTGAATCAAAGCATGTGAGATCTTCATAGGATCCTACTTTATTATAAATATATTTATAGATTTCCAAGGTATCCCTAGCTTCGATTCGATGCTTCGGCATTTACTTTCTTGTTTTCGCTGTATTTCGCATCGGTTACCCGTCAAACAAAAAAAAAAACAAAACCAGTTCCCTCTGATCCCCATCCTCGTCGATGTACCGATTGCGAGGTATTTGTTTGGCACGACATTTGCTCCTGCGCCTTGAATTGTGTGTGTGTTTTTTGGTTTGTGGAGCTGTCCGGTGATGGCAGCCGCCTGCCTCCGACTCTGGACTCTCACTCGGTCGGTGGCTGCTCTGGTGACGATGGCTATGACGTCGTCGTTGCAGATGTCTTCTCCGTCTCGGATCCCTGAGTCCGCTTCATGTCGTCACGCAAACTTTAATTCGTTCATTAATTCAGCCGGCAAACGGTTAGCCGGCTCGGTGGGCGTGGAAGTAGCTGGAAGTGTTAATTAGTTGTTAGTGTCTCTCCGGCAAGGCCCCAAGGAGCATAGTATGTATTTAATGAGTGCCTTGGGAAACCCTAATGTCAATCGTGAGTGCTTCTGCTTAGTGCCACGGTGCTTGGCTAACAGCTTATTAATCTTCTTGGTAACAAAACAAAAATACGTTCACTTCTTTACAAAGTATCAAATGAATTTGTCAAGTAGAAATTCTTTTCTTTTCTTTTACCTTTACACTTACACTTGGAGAACTTACTTTCAGTGTTTATAATTTGATGATTGGCCTCGAAGTTGGTATATTTTTAGTCTCTGTTCCAGCCAGTTGATTTCCATAATTGTGTAAATTGTTCAAGCAGGAGCTTTTGATGTGTCGAATCTC